TTCAAATGATTCCTTTGAGCCTGTGAGGCCTATGGTCCCTGAATAGACTTCTGCAGCTGCTGCACCTAATTTCATTTTGGCATGAAAATAGGCTAAGGTCTGTTTGTGCAATGCAGTCTCTCTCTTCTCTCTCAAGCAGGAGCTAGCATCACGATTCAATAAAATTTAAAAGTGCTTTTCATCACTTAGATTTGTACAGACTGATTGCACCTTCAAACAGAATAAAATTAGGCAAGGAAACAGGCAGCAGAAAAAAAAACACTGTATTGTTTATAGGTGACAGTTGATTGGCAGGTAGAAATGTAATTATGGATGATATAAAAGGCAAGACAGAAATGCAAACTATTGATTTCGGACTAATTCTGAGTTCTATTCCTGATGCTGATCAACAAGGCATGTTCACTTATGGTAATCCAAGGGGAGCTTGTAGTATTCACATGTCACTTAGGACAGTGAAGGTTAAAGAACTTATTTTTCTCTGATTCAAATATATCTGAAAAGAACTGCTGTCTGAAATAGATATAGGATTTCAGACTCTAATGCAAATTGGAAAACATATTGTCCTCATAAAAATCAAAGCAAAATAATCACCAGCAATTCAAAATCCACAGTATTATCTTGGATATAAGGATGAAAACATGAACTGTGTCAAGCTGTTTTAGCCTAGTGCAGGGTAAAAAGCAATTTAATATGGATCACAGAGAAGTCAGAAATCAAAACATTGTTGATCCTGAGCTCAGCAACCACTGTCAGAGCAGACAAGGCTGCTATCTCATATTTTTCTGTCTCTTCTGCGTTGGAATTGCCACCCAGGATCGCCCTCCCAGGTTCTCTGCTACTTCCTTCCAGACAGTAAGACAGAAGGCTGGCAGAAATTCCCATTCGCAATCCATGCTGCCCAAGCTGGGAAAACTGAGAAAGCTTGTTCATTCAGTTCAGTGACAGGTAGATAACATTATTCAAGTGAGGGAAGATTCAGAGTTAATATACTTCAAACAAAAGTGTGTGTGTGTGTGTGTATATATATATATATATTTAAATTATGACAGATTATTGGTTTGCTCAGTTCCTGCTCTCCAAGAACAAAAGCAAGAGATTGACCAGCGAAGTATCCTGTACTCTTCCACAGACTCTCATAAATTATCTTCCATTACAGATGAACTGTAGAAATTAGTCTAATAATAATTAAAGTTAAAGCATGTACAAATCTCATTCTAAACCCTTTCTCTATTTTTTAAGATGGAAGACTCATAAATGAAGAATACAATTTCAAAAGTAACCTGCAAGCACAATTCACATCTTTCCACCATCTGCTTTTCTGGTTGAACAGGGAAAGAAGTTTTCAACTCATTCCACTTCTCCAACCATGCATTAAAACCAGTCAGTCACAAGTCCTTGGTCTCAGCTTACGAAATCTGGATTTCCACAGCTCTAGGAATGTTTAGTTTCTAAGAAGGCACAGAAGATACATTGCTGAATATGAACTAATTAAATATTCCCTCTGACTGCAGATCAGTAGCATGAACCCTGAAGATCTTACTTTTCAACTTTAAGACTATTTTTATGCATGATTCTCTGCTCTGACTAAATAACAGTCCATCAGAGAAGCAGAAGAATTAGACAACAGGGAAAATGATTCTTGCTACAGGACTTTTTCCTCACCGGATTTCTTGATGCTGCAAGATAGTTTCTCACTATGGAGTCCCAAGGGGAGTAAGTTCACAAAAAGCACAGCAGAACTTAGTATAGGAATATGGTCAGTAACAAAAATCCTACTGTTATTTGGAGACAAAATAAGCTTTCTGTCTTGGTAAAGGCAATTTCAGAATGCCAAAAAGCAGAACCTATTTAGTGTTGGAGTGTAGAGACGAGCTGGAAGAGGCCAGAAAGTGAAAATAAAACATAAAGTGAGCTTTATGACATGTAAGTCCAAGAAGAGACTTTTCCATCCATCATTTTTTTTTCTTAACTTTCAGAAACTCAGGGCAAAAGCTCCTTGAGTACATACAAAATTGTGAGTAATGCATTTCTCTTTCTTAGAGAAACTAGGTTAAATTATCTTTAATAACACTAAAGGCTGACGTTTCTTTGAACAGACGGTAGCCACAAAGGTACCGTTAATGGACAAGTGAAATAAAGGTATCTTATACAAGAGCTCAAATGGCCTCCATTCAAAGACTGCAGGACAACATTCATGCTTTTACAGAAAAAGGCTCTGCACATTTTCTTTTACAAATAGTCAGTCTTGAGCCCTTTAAAACCCAGATAGAATCCCATATATGACCCATCCATTTCCCATTATTCATAAAAAATGTCTTGAAATCCAATGTGTGTCGGCTTTCTAAAATTTTRTGGGTTTAAAACATAATTTAGACCCTTAGCTGTTTATACATTTGAATTAGCAAAAAATCTCATCAATTCCATTTTATTGTAGGAACAGTTCATGCTTTTATGAAGTATGTTGCTTCCTTGTCAGTCACCAGATTATTCTAAATAATTTGTGATCTCTTCATTGTAGAGTGATAGTTTAGGAGGAATATTAAAGCTGTTCTGATTATTTTCTTTAAAACGTAAGATTTCTGGCACAGGTATGTTGGCAAATTCAGAATTTACTCTACAAAGTCATTAAGAAACACACAAAAAAGTCCTTTTCAGCTTTCTGAAGAAAGACAGAATGAAGCTCAAAATCTGTTCTCATCACGTTAGCAATACAGTACTGCTTACTTCAACACAGTAAAGTCTTCAGAAGAGTACTCATGACTAATGAATTTCTAAATAATAATTAAAATTCAATATTCCTGAGAGTAGATGACTAATTTCCTTGTTTTGTTGGAATTACATAAGGCTGATTTCCCTCCCTCCCCCCCAAAAAAATCTTGTTCACTTCTCTTCAAAGCAACTTTTATAAGGAGAAATTATACTTTGAGAATTCAAAGCTACTTTCCTCTGCTGCTTTGCGAGCAGCAGAGGAAAAAGTACTGCTTATAACTGTTTTTTCTTGACCAGAAGGATTAGCAAGAGTTACAATTTGGGAAGCAGTATTCTCTGTATCAGAAAGATATCTTATGAAACCTAAATAAAAAGCCAGAGAAAAGCTGTATAGTTCATGGCTTTCTGCAAATGAGAACTTCATGCTTCTCCATGACATATAGTATTTCCATCTTCATCTAACACAGTGACTAGATAACACACTGTTTTTGTACCATTACCTAAAAAGGAATACCAGAATATCCAACAGGTTCTACACACTTGTATCAATAATGGGAAAGCAATACAAGTAGCTTGCTGCTATCTTCACTTATAGAAATGGCATGCACTCATTATATTGTGCTGACTATATACAGAGCTCTACCTGTTTTACATGCCTTACAATCTGCTGACTTATCATAGAACCATAGACCTTATGGTTGGAAGGGACCTTTAGAGATCATCTAGYCCAATCCCCCTGCACACRCAGGGTCACCTAGAGCATGTGGCCCAGGAYTGAGTCCAAGTGGGTTTCACATAYATCCAGAGAAGGAGTTTCCACAACCCCACATCCCTCTTGGCAACCTGTTCCAGTGCTCTGTCACCCTYACTTATAAAGAAATTTTTCCTTAACTTCCAGTGGAACTTTTGGTGCCTCAGCTTGTCGCCGTYTCCTCTAGTCCYWTCGCTGKCCACCACTGAAAAGAGGCCGCCCCCTCCTCCTCACTGCCTMCCTTGAGGTATTTATAGACACTGATCACTGATTTATAGACCTCAGCCTCCTCTTCTCCAGGCTGARCAGGMCCAGCTCTCTCAGCCTTTGCTCATAGGGCAGATGTTCCAGGCCCYTGATCATCCTCGTAGCCCTGTGCTGGACTCTCCAGCAGCTCCACAYCCCTCTTGTACTGAGGAGCCCAGAACTGGACASAGTCTCCAGATGTGGCCTCACCAGRGCTGTGTATAGGCGAACGATCCCCTCCTTCGAATTGCTGGAGACGCTYYTCTTAATGCACCCCAGGATCCCAATGCCTTCAACTAGACTCTATGCTACTGATCACAACTCATCCAGCAATTGTGCATCGTTTTTCAAAAGCTCTTCTAAGGAAAGGGCATTACTTAACATAAGGTTCATCTCATCTCATAAGAGAAGGTAAGGTTCATTTTAGCATGAACTTTTAGAAAAGTTTGCTAAATTACAAATCAGTATGAGGTTAGAAAACAAGGAGTCATTTTTTTCAGTATACCTGTAATCTACAATTTGGAAGTCTTACAGAAATAGCAGTTAAAACATCAGTTTTTTGTTTTTTTTTTTCTCCTAGTGGCAGTCTTTACCTGTTTGCTATAATGCACTATAATGTACAAAAAAAAAAAAAAACTACCCAATTGAAATTGCTATCTTTGACAAAAAATCAAAAATTATTCAGTACTARAGAACTCTCTATTGTCACTCAGATGTGTGTGAGAGTATGTGCGTATTAAAACCACTTAGGCTTACACAAAAAAGCTCARTTGAATGTAGCTCTGTTCATTTTCTGCTGTTAATCACATCAATACTGTTCTACACGCATAACTTCCAGTTACTGCATACTACCCCTACAAAAATGCATACCCCTTTTTTCCTTTTTCCTTGAAACAAGCTCTCTCAGGATTCTCTCTAGCATATAGCAAATATGACATTTTTTTTGATGGTAGCAGAAACTTAATATAGTATGTGCTGTTCACCTAGGAAACCTTCCTTTACCTGCTTTAGCAATTAGGATTTCTGCCTTCTCCTGACTTGAATGAGAAATAACCCTTTCCAGCCACATGAAATGAAATCATGCTGCTCATTTTTCTCAATCAAAGCCAATACAACTCTGGAATTCAACCACAAATCCTTTAACTGTATTAGGCATTTACTCCCATGCACAGAAACACAGCCTATGATTTTCAATAATGGAAAAAAAAAAACCAACCAAAAAAAAGCCAGCCAAACTGGAGTGCAATGTCTGAATGACTGACGGGAACCAAGGGAGGGAAGCAAACTGTCCTACCGGTGGACTCCGCTGTTGCACATGATGACGTGACATGCTCCGAGCCTGTTACAGAGCTCTGAGGCCACCGAGAGCAGCCCAACGCCRGACGCGCTGCAGGCCGTGTAGGCGCAGGCTGCGGTGCGCTTGGATCGGATGAAGGACCCTATGAGTCGGTAAAGTTCATCCAGGCAGTTGAGAGGTCTCATAAACTGCAAGACAGAAAAGAGAGATTTAAATATTTGCTGCCAAGAGCACTCAAAGTGCTCTCGGAGGGTCGTGACATGTGTTGTGATCTCTAGTCACTACCAATGCGGAGAGAGACTAGGTGAGAAAGCCCAAGGCAGACTCTATAATGTAAATACAAAGCATACAATCTTCTGCAACATGACTTACAAAAAAGATTTCCTAACTTTTGATTGTTACTATCACTGACTGTTTAATTCTCTACAGAAGTGTTTTTCACTTCAATAAACTGATTATGCCCATCAATAAGCTTCTATTAATGTTATTTCCAAAGATAGGAGACAACCTGCTTCCATAAAAATATGCAGAAGGGATGCCAGGACAGGTTAAATGGCTAAGAAAATCAACTTATAAACAGGACGATAGTGTCTTTTCTTTAGTCAGGATTAGAAACTGTCCATTTGCATAGCAGCATGCAAAAAGAAAAACAAGCAGGAGTAACAAAAACATACTACAAATCAAGAACAGTTAACTCTGTAGCTGAACTCAAAACAACCTTCAGCATTTCTGTACAGAGAAGCAAATGACCCACCTACATTCAGTAAGAAGGCAGCTTCATGTGGAAGGCRGCTCTCAGAAGAGCAGCCTTCAAGAACAATTTAGCAATGAAAAGCAGCATCTCATAGTGACTTATGTAAAAGAAAGGTTCACGATATAGTTTTGCAGACTCCCTAATTGCAAATTCCTTTTCTCTTTATTCTAAAGACACTTAAAGATCGAAAAAAGAAACAAACAAAAGAATCAGAGAAGGAATCATTTGAAAGACAGCATTCTGTAAAGACAGTTTTAACTAATTAGAGAAATAGCAGCCTCGCTTGCTCTTATGTTTACCATCATCAGAAAGTGTGCAGGTCAAGTAAGTCAATTATAATAATGATTTAAACCTGGACACAAAAAGTTTAAAGTTGATTTAGCTCCTATTGATTTAGCTTACAAATATTAAATTGATATAAATTGGTGTCACTTGCTCCCCCGGAGGTATGGAGAAAAGAGAAAAAGTCAAGGGCACAAACTGAGATCATGCACTTGCTCTTAGCTCACTCCATTTACAAGGAAAATGCAATAGATAAAACCAGCATTAGCATCTCCTGGTCAGTTCTGATTTATCAGATGCTTTTGTCTTGTCCCTGGCCTTTTCACTAAAATAGAGAGGGAACAGGTTTGGGAGAAATGAGAGCTGCATATATAGCTAAATTTCTTCTGCTGCACTTGTGAATGATTAGAAAATGAAGTTGCTGACTCCCTAAAGACAGATCTTGCAGTCCAGCACAGATTCAAGAAACAGGCTCTGTCTGTCTGTTAATGCTCATTGCATTATACCAATGTAAAATTTCAGTCTGCTTTGGGCTGAGCAGTGGATCACTGCATTTTTCAAGCATGCCCCTTTTCCCTCACAGCTTCGAATACTTGCAATTTTCAGTGGAATGAAGAAAGCCAAAGAAAAGAATTACAATAACACAGTGTGCAAAATGCAAAGTTTAATTAATTACTTAACATTTTTATTTACCTTATCTATATAAGCAGCTTTAGATGTTGAATTTGGAGGCAAGTTTGACTTGTCCAAGTAGAATGCTCTGACAGAAAAAGAAAAAAAAGAAAAAAAAGGTTATTTTCTTAAAATTCTTGTGCAAAATCTTTATAGGTGATTATTCTTAAATATTATTCTAAGATTGGACTTTTTTTTTCCTAATTTCATGCCAGTAGACTATCAAATACAAGGACGAATAGGCACTAATACTCTTTCTTTTAAAGAAATGTGGAACATTTTTTCTCCTTCTGAAGACAAATTGTCCCTCTGCCATTTCACAATAGAGTGCAATATTTTACTCTCTAGTTAGTAGAAAAAAATGAATCTGAAAGTGACCCATCAAAAATATCCATGAAAGGGTTGTGGCAAATGTCTTGATTTTAACGGTGACTTCAGGAAACTTGGCAGACAAGTAATATCTGAACCTGATGCATTACAAGCTTTTTATATCAGCACAACTGCAATAATACGAGAATAGCATCCCAAGTATAGAAAACTGCTGCCACGGAGGAAAAAGCTCACAGTACAAAAAGAAACAGAAAAGCAAAAAACCTATGGGTGGCAGACATACATAATACAATCAAAATGGCAATAAAACTATCAATTTCATAAACTCATGTACATATTAAATTGGTAATAAAACTCATTGGTAAAACTCACATATGCATATGTAAATAAAAGCAACTTTTTGTACTACCTACATTTTTGAGAATGACACAGTGCATCAAAGAAGAAGCTGTAGAAAATTGAGGTTTATCAACAGACCAAAGCACAAGAGAGAAAGGATACTCATGGCATGGCACTTACCTATCTATTGTGTACTGCAACTCATTATAGTCACACACCTCCTTCTGTAACATTTCACTTATGAATGCTACCATAAGGAGTTTCTATGGAACGGAAAAATGTAGTGTACAGCGTGTTACAAGACTAAGGTTGGCTGGTTTCTACACAGCACAAAGGGGACTGAGATTTGGTACAGAGGATTTTCATGTTATCCTTCTCTCCTAAACCAGGGGARGATTTCCTAACCAGCACCAAAAGAATGAGCTGCTTTGACCACCAGCATTAAGATGCTAGCAAAAGGTAAACGGGAATCATAGAACTCTTCTCCTATCTCCTTTAAATTGTAAATTCTARAGCATTTTTTTCTCTTTACCTTATGAACAAAACAATTGCTCACCAGGACTGTGTTATTATTAAGCCTTCCGTAGACAGAGGATATATTTGTGTGATAAGATCATAGGATTAATTCTGGTAATGGAAAAGCTCCTAAAATGTTCTGGCACAGCCGGAAATAAGAAAAACTTGCCAGATGTCCTGCCTGGATGAGGCAACAGCTCCCACTACYCAAACAACAGCTCCCACTACAGCATTCCCAGCCAAGGTAAGAAAACAGTTTGTGGGGCCTGCATGAAGACTGGGTTCTCCAAGGGAAACTTCAAGGTATCACCTGGATCCAGCCCTAATGCCTGTGCACAAAGAGTGGCATCTGACTAAGGGTTATAGCTCTTAAGCTGCATCCAGCCTGGAGAAGGACCCCAGCTGTCCTCTGGAGTGTGGTAAACAAATTTCAGCTGCACTGAAATATGAAAATAAACACTGGAAAGAATGCAGCCATGCATTCAAACTCAGAAATGAAAGGATTATCTGGAGCCTCAGTCACAAAAACACTGATACCTGCATAGAATAAGAAGCCCCATTCTTTTCTCGTGGTTTTATCCACATGAGTAAGGCTATTCAAACCATTGCATACTCGTGAGGAACAAATGGCAGATTTCAATAGCCTTTTATTCTTTAATAATGTAGAATAAATGTACTAGTACTAATCAAAAAAAATCCATCAGACTTCAATTCTAGCTGATTTTGTTGCCTGTATTTTTGCAGGATTTGAAAAGCATCCTCTCCCAAATTTAAGGCTCAAAATAATTCCATTAAAAAGCACAGCAAAGCTAATCTTGTTCCATTATTCTATTAGGCCTGTTTTACCATCAGAATGCACTCYGTGTCAACGAAAGCTGGAAACTATTGGAAGGAAGAGAGATTCGCAGAGAAAATTACTTGTAAATCACTATGAATGGCCACAGCACATAAAAGCTACCACAGCAGCAACACACCAATCTTCTTCTTTGTTAGCAAAGCTAAAATCTAAAGCATAATCCTCCCATCCGTGGAACATTATCAGACTAAAAGCCTATGCTGCTTTCTCCTGCTATGCCACAGGGAAATCTGCTTCATTCACAGTCTATTCAGCACTCTTTAGACTATTATTTCGGTAATTTCAGCTACATTAAATGAAACCAGAGCACAAATATAGAGCAGCACACAACTAATGGAATACATGGAAAATTATCCACTCAGGGTACAAAAGCAAGCAACATGGACACTAGAAGAGAATATATATACAATTATAGAAATTACTATATTAATTAAGGCAATTATTTATTAACCTAAAGAACAAGCAAAAGATCAGCTACACACAACATTGATTTCAAATATGAAAATATTCTTTTACAAATGAAACTCTTCCCCACACATGATCAGATAACACTCCCAGATGTTCCTTAAGTGCTTTATTTTTATTGCTTTTCAGAAAARTTGCCTTCAGTATTTCACAGAATGTGACAAACTATGGACAGCACATAAATTTCCAAAGCACTTCACTTAATTACTAAATGCCTGTTAAGGTCCTTAATCAAATTTTATAGAAAAAGTTAATGGCAATCTTGGCAGGGTGCCCAACTTGGACATTTTCTAATCCATTTGAAATGGAAAAGAATGAAATCATAGTTCTTTGTCAGAAAATGTGATGCKGTTTTTGCTGCTAAAGACTGTTCAATTTCTCTCAGTTGTAGCAGAGTAGCTTAAAAAAAAAARTGGAAAAAGATAAACAATAGGCATCAAAAGTAATGGGTCCAACCTCTGCAAGATGTTCCCTCTGTAGACAATGGACAAAATAAGTAAGGGAAAACCTATGGGGAAAATGAAGTAACAAATGGCTCTGGGGTTCAGAAATAAAAATCTATCACAAAATGAATGCTTTTTGAACAAACTTTCCCACAATGTTTGTGCAAAGGAGATGCAGAAGTGGAGATATTTTGATCTTAGTGAAACATTTTGCAGGGTCTCTACAAAACGGACCGGGACATGCACAAGCCTGCAAAATTGGAACAGCATGAACTATCGAGGCCCCAAACGTGCAGAGATGTATTTGTAACTTTRTACATGCATATAACCCAAACACAGCCAAGTTTCTAGGCTTACTTTCTGTTGCTCCAGGAAGCCCACAGGTTTATCCCAAATGCTGATGACCCTTTCTTGGAAACGTGAGATCAGTTAAAGGCGGCAGTGGGAGGCAAAGAAGGGCAGGTAATTGGGTTATGGAATTAAAGAGCGGCAAGTTGGGACTTACAAAATGGTTTCTGTTCTAGGAAGGTTTTTGCTTAGCTGCTTTTATAGCAGAGAAGAATTAAGTCTTTTCTTTATCACTGTGGCATACCTTCAAGAAAAGGATGAGAATATCTACTTGAATGCCACTAATACATTTTTTGAATTAAAAAATGATTTTTAATCATTTGGTCATGTTATTCAAGATCAYGTGCATCAGTATGGTCAGCATGACAAAAATCCAGCAGTATCTGTGTTCTGCCATCTAGTCATTAACTGTGCATGTGCACACGTGTATGCAGCATATCTATATATATACCTACCTACAGAATGTAGACATATGTATAAAAGCTTCCAAATTAAATTATTTATCTGATATAAAGTATCCATCAYAGAAAACTACTTATTGTCAGAGCAAACAAATGGAAAAGTCTGTGTGTTCTTTCTGGTGAAGAGTAAGTCTAAATAAATGACAAATAGTCACGTATAATTACCCTCTAAGACCATATTAAGGGATTTTAAGTCAATTACTTTAAATTGCACATGTAAAACCTACAACAGTTGACACTTGTTGACACTTTCTAACAGTGAATATTYTTTAAATCGATGTTTATTGCCACATGACACTATTTCCATTTACTTTACTGGTGCTTCTACAATTACTTGCAGTATTTCTATTTCTTTATTSAGGCCAGACGTCCAGAATAAAAAGAACTTAAATATTACTTCCTTATTTTCATGCACAAGGCAAGAATAATCTTCATATTGACATATCATAGTAAGGTAATTTTGTCAGTAATACCCTAATCTCATGATATATATAGCACAGAAGTCTAAATATATGAGCAATCAGATGATATAGCACATTATACGTGCCAGGGAAAATACCTATTTCAACAAAAAGGGCAAAGTAAGGAGAACACAGGCCCATCACAAAACAGGATTATTAAAATCAGSAGGATTCTAGCCCTGACATCTTAATGTCAATGACACAACTTTATGTACTTTGTATGTATGTTTTATTATACTTATGTATATAATACATACCTATATCTATGTATGTATTATCAGCAGATAAAGGTTTAATTAGTTAAAAAAACTTCATAACAATATCACAATTTTAACTTCTCAAACAGTATACACACCAACAGTCTGACCTCACACAATTACTCTTACTTGTGCAGTCTGATGTGCAGAAGACAGGATTTWTAACATCATATCATGTGTAATTCCTATTTCATGTGTAATGAAGGTGCAAGGCAGGAAACCCTTTCTGCGGTTTACTCTCCAGGCACATAAGGTGGCAAGCCAGCTTTTGGCAGTCTGTATGTTAAGTCTAGCAAACAGAATTGTGAAAAATAGTACAATCTACTCTCCAGGCACATAAGGTGGCAAGTCAGCTTTTGGCAGCCTGTATTTTAAGTATAGCAAACARAATTGTGAAAAATAGTACAATCTATGAGAAGGATGCGACTGTAAGGTGAGACCATATGGAAGAAGTCACAAGGAAAACACACACAAAGAGGAAAATAATTAGATTTACTTTTCTCTAGGAAAAAAAAAAAAAAGGGAGGGGCGGGGAGGGAAAAGGTAAGAAAATTTTAAAAAATGAAACGCAGAGGTTTCTTGGCAACTGCCTCCTTTTACTGGAATACACTGGGTTGAGACTCCAAAAACTGAATTCCTAAGGAATGTGACTCTGGTAGAGTGCTTCATGCTGCTGCTCTTTCTCATGGAAACCTGCAGCACCTGGCCCAACTGCTGGATTCCCACCAGTTCAAACTCTCTCCAGTCTCTGCAGATCTGTTTTAGGGTGACTGAAGGTACCCAATTACCAACTAAGGATGAAACCTGCAAAGYAACTCAACTCTTTAATCCTTTAACCCACATATCATGGCCTCACCTTTACATGCTTTTATACTATATGCTATTTACATAAGCGAGGGGTCACAGAAATGCTAGAATAGCAAAGAATTCTATTCTAAAAAATATATATTCTAAAAGAATAGATTATTTTTAAAATGGAGAAAAAAAATAGCTCTGTACAACATTATCCCCTTTTTATGTGTTGCATTCTAATCACAATTTTTTTCCAGGAATCTAGAAAGAACACTGCTCCCAGTAAGCCAAGTCTCTGGTATCTCTACCTACTTCTAAGATCACCTGAAACTTCCTCTTTTATTAAATGAAAGGGATTTGCTTGGGTCCTAGGCCACATACAGCTGCCTTCCTGCTTCTCCCATCATTATCAGAGAGGTGATGAACCCATTAGTAATGACCAATTACTTCCACATTTATCTTCCACAGAGTAGATTTCCCCTTTTTGGCTGCTCTTATTTCTGATATAGAATACATGGATAAAAAGAAAACATGCCAAATAGTCATTCAGTGGTCAATATTTCCAGTTGCTACAGGCTTGGACTTTTCCTTCCAAAAGGAAGGTCTTCAACTCAAACCACTCTGAGTACATCTTCTCTGTATTTGGAAAAGGAAAAGAAAGCAAAATGTTCATCCCAATGAGCAAGGACGTTCATCCCAATGAGTAAAGACTGAGAATACAGGTCATTTTGAATTTTTTGGCATATCCTGTCAAGCTGCAAAATTTTCAGTTTCAGGACTGATCATATTTTGTCAAAAATCTGAAGAAGAGTGAATTTACACTCAGAGAACAAGTATACCACAGAAAGAAAAATAAGCTAGATTCAAGCCAGCTGGAGTTATCTTTTACACCAGTTAGACAAATTCAATTTATTTTGTCCATCATACTTCGATGTTCTCTCTTGTTTTGCTTCACTGAGATGCAATGAATCTCAATTTCTTTTCTACCTAAAATGCTTCTCACTATGCTTGTCAGGAGACAAATTTAGCTATTATTTCTCTGTTACATCCTTTGGATTGAGTGTTAATTTTGAATCTCTTTCGTTCACGAAGACCTTGCAGTTAGTGTGAGCTCAGCTCTAAGGAACTACCTACTTCATCTGGAACCACATCAAAAAAAAAATCTAAAAAGCACTACATGGCTATTTATATAGTCATATAGAAGTATATAGTAAATTTGTTTGTAGTATTACAGTCCAGTTGCATTTATTTTAACATAAATATCTGGTCTTAAAAAGGATACAGTTTTGCACCTATTTTATAAATATTCCACTGCACTGAAAAGAAAATAAATTCACAGACAAGAACTTGCTTTTTGAAAGCTACAGTACCACACAGATTACTGCTTTCTCAACTTGATGGCAATGGCAAAAAGTGTTAACGAGCAAACTGAAGTGGTCAGACATGAGGAATGGAGAGAGGAGAGTAAGCCTGAAATCACAGGACCACAGTGGCACATGAAGCACTAGCATAGGCTCCTTAACCACATGAGCAATCCAGTTTGGAAAAGCTTTCYGGTACAAACTCTGAGGAAAGAAATCTGCCAGATTTTAAGTGGGTTTTAATCATTTATTGCAGTTGTTGATAAATGAGCTGGCCTTTGTAATAATGCAGACATGGATGTGAAGACTTGAAAAGTTTGTTCTGGAGACAAAAGACATATTTCTTCCATAGTAATTAATGAGCTGTAGGTGTCCTTTATGTCATCATACGTCATTTATATTTAAGTAACTATTAGAAAATTCTAGTTCAGTCTGAAGCCAAGAGCGCCATCACATCTATTCTCTGCCTTGACTAAATTATGCAGGACAGGGAAAACATTAGCTTGCCAAGAAGCCTACAGCTTGAGAAGCTGCTCTGTGTGTAACACACACAAATAAAAGCAGGTTATGTTCCTCAGATGGGTTTTGTTACACGATTGCATAAACACCAGGAACAGAAATATTTTCCTTCTCTAATGTTTAGAAAAATTAAAAGAAATCAAAGAATGAAACTATTAAAACTTCATGAAGGTATGATACCCCTGACTAAAGGATTAAATTAAGTCTGACATCATTCTGTGAAAGGCTACTTATGCCATAAAACAGACACTGAAACCTTTAGATATRAGAACTGTTCCAACTTACATTGTAAATGAAACACTTTTAGATGACAAGTACCACGTTCAGTATAATCAGAAGTTCAGTGTAATCACGGTAGTTAGCCAAATCATTTGTCGTTAAATTCACTGATTATAATTGCTTCCTCAGAGTAACAGATCTTCATTTACCTCCCAACAGGATATCAAAGAAAGCAACAGGAAAAATAAAATAAAATAAAATAAAATAAAATAAAATAAAATAAAATAAAATAAAATAAAATAAAATAAAATAAAATAAAATAAAATAAAAATACCCTTTACTATTTGCTTTACTTTTTGTTTTGTAACTGCTATACACTAGGCCACAAAAGTACCTGCCAATAATCCTGGACATAGTTGACTTCAACGACTAGTTCTAAATCAGAGAAAATAATAGGCTAAAAGAAAGAAACACTTCTTTTCAAACCTTGTCTATTGATGCACAGACAAATTAATTACTACACAATGTTAATTAGCACCTTCACCAGTGTTGGGGATGGGCAGCAGTCTTCAGATGTGTTTCACACAGCATGATCCTATCATCTGAATGAAAAACTAGGCCATGGTATAGTTAGGGATGCAACAGGAAAGTGCTCTGCTGAGGATAAAAAAAACTTTACAGGGAAGTAGAGCTCTCCAGAACTTCCTCTTGAATCTTCCCAATACAATCATTGTAATCACTTAAGCATCAACTTCTAAAGACATTTAAATATCCAAATGCAATTATATGTGCTTAAGAAGTATGAAAAATGTCTAGACCTCTGATGGCCAGTGTTAATTTAATTAATTTCTCACTGGCCAAAAATTTAAATTCAAATTGTACAGCAACGTGCAGATTTGGGTACAAGCAAGTTTGCTCTCAGTGTCAGTATGCAGTGGAGCACATTGCAGAGATCCCACAGCTGGAGGCATATGTGGCATAACCACAGCGCTGTGACCCACTGAATGTCTTTTAACAAACCTGCACCTTAACTAACWGCTCTTAGTAGCAATCTCAGTAGCAATCACAATATTTATTTACATGAAACATAGTTTAAAGCTACCATACTGTTACTCCGTTAAAGAGGAAATGGGAAAATATCTTACCAAGTATAAWAAAAATATATTTAAAGGACATTATTATTTTTATTTTTAACTAAATAATTCTTATAAGTAGTAATATTCAAAAAATGATAAATATTTAAGTATTTATTTTTAATTTAATTTTAAATAGTTAAAGTTTACCCATGTGCAGAAATATTTACCCATGTGCATGTCACACAATGCCAATTTACAATGCCAATTTGCAAGAGAAGATTTAACAAAATCAAGCAATCAAGTAATTATATTGCATTCATGAGTTATCATTATTGCTATCAGAATCTGTAGTAGTTACGGATTCAATCGGCACTGGGCTCTGCAGGATTTAAAAAAAAAAAAAAAAGAGAGATCTCTGTCTGCAAAGGTAACAAAACTACATAAATTAGACAAAAGGTCAATACAGTCATCTAGATGACAAATGGAAATCTTCATCATTCAGTGGGCAAAAATCTTGGTGCAATTGCAGCCAAAACTGTAATTACAGACAATTACAGACAGGGAAGCCTCAACACCCTCAGGGGACCCACTGGGGCCCTCTTAGCACAGCTGGCAGTGTATCAGTCTCATAATCTGAAGGTCCTGAGCTCAAGCCTCGGAGAGGGCAGTGYTTCTGGCCRCCTGAGCTGGAAGACACCTCTGGAGAGCAGAAGAACCATCCCCATAATTCAGGAGGCAACAGTCAGTGACTTGCTATTCCACTTGGCCACATATGACATGGGTTCCACCTGTGGGTTCTGAGGAAGCTGGTGGAAGTGCTCACCAAGCTGCTCTCCATGATCTATCAGCAGTCCTGGTCAACTGGGGAGCTCCTAGACAACTAGAGGCTTGCGAGTGCGACACCCATCTGCAAGAAGAGTCAGATAGAGGGAATCTGGGGATCTGGGGAACTACAGGCCTGTGAGTCTGACCCTGCTATCAAAGAAARTAGTGGAGCAGATCATCCTGACAACTCAGGTATCAGGCTCAGCCAACATGGGTTCATGAAAGGCAGGTCCTGCCTGACTTACCTGACCTCCTTCTATGACCTGGTAACTTGTCTAGTGGATGAGGGAAAGGCTGGGGGTGTGGTCTACTTAGACTTCAGTAAGGCTTTTGACACAGTCTCCCACTGCCTTCTCCTGTAGAAGCTGGCAGATCATGGTTTAGGCAGGTATAGTCTTCGCTGAGTGAAAAACTGGCTGGATGGCAGGACTCAGACTGGTGAATGGAGTTAAATCCTGCTGGCAACCAGTCATGAGCAGCCAATCCTCTTCAATACCTTTATCAATGATCTGAACAAGGGATTGCACCCTCAGCAAATTTGCAGACAACACAAAGCTGGGAGGAAGAGTTCATCTGCTTGAAGGTAGATGGGCTCTGCATAGGCTGAATTCATGGGCTGACGCCAACCACATAACGTTCAACAAAGCCAAGTGGCGAGTCCTGCACTTCAGTCACAACAAGCCCATGCAACACTACAAGCCTGGGGCAGAGTGGGTGGAAAGCTCCATGGCAAAAAAGAATCTAGGAGTACTAGTCAACAGACGGCTGAACATGAGCCAACAGTGTGCCCAGGTAGCCGAGAAGGCCAGCAGCCTCCTGGCTTAGATAGGGAACAGAMTAGCCAGCAGGACTAGGGAAGTGACTGCCTCTTGTACTTGGTGTGGGTGAGGCCACACTTCAAATACTGTGTCCAGGTTTGGGGCCCTAACTACAAAAAGGACATGGAGGTGCTGCAGCGTGTCCAAAGAAGGGCCACAAACATGGTGAAGGGGCTGTAGCTCAGACCTTATCAGGAGCGGCTGAGGGARCTGGGGTTACTTAGTTTGAGGAAGAGGAGGCTCAGGGGAGACCTTATCACTCTCTGCAACTACCTGAAAGGAGCGTGTAGTGAGGGGGGGAGTCTATATCTATCTTCTCTAAAATAAYTACCAATTGCACAAGAGGAAATGGTCTCAAGTTACAGCAGGGGAGATTCAGGTGAGATAYTAGGAAAAATTACTACATGGAAAAAGTAGCCAAGCATTGGAATAGGAACTGTCCAGGAAAGTGGTGGAGTCACCATATGATCACAGAATCACCAACCTTGGAAGGGACCTTTAGAGATCATCTAGTCCAATCCTCCTGCACATGCAAGGTCACCTACAGCATGTGGCACAGGACTGCATCCAAGCGGGTTTCAAATATTTCCAGAAAAAGACATTCCACAACCTCTCCTGGCAACCTCTTCYAGTGCTCTGTCACCCTCACTGTCAAGAAATTTTTCCTTAAGTTCCTGTGGAACTTCCGATGCTTCAGTTTGTGGCCATTTCTTCTTGTCCTATCACAGGCCAGTACTGAAAAGGGGCCAGCCCCATCCTCCTCACTCCCTCCCTTGAGGTATTTATATGCACTGTTTAGATCCCCTCTCAGCCTTCTCCTCTTCAAGCTGAACAGGCCCAGCTCTCTCAGCCTTTCCTCACAGATGTTCCAGGCAGATGATCATCCTCGTAGCCCTGYGCTGGACTCTCTTCAGTAACTCCACTTTCTTCTGGTACTGGACAAAGTGAAAGTTTCACAGACACTGTGTGAAAGAAAGTTYCCTCATACCAGGGACTGGATTCAATACCTTATGTTAAGCCAAATACAGAAGTTGGAGAGAGATTCTTTACACTGCACACAGCATCAAATTCTGCAACTGTTTTCAAATTGTGTTTCAGGCTTCCTCATACAAATAATAATACTATCATTTATATTTCATYGTTAAGGTAGTATCTGCAAAAGTTCCAAAACAAGAACCATAAAGAATAAAAGCTTTATGACTACCCAAATCAATGTCAACGATATGTTTGCACTTTTAGGTATTATTATTTCACTTCTGATATTATGAAAAAGCTGGTCCTAAGTCCATAGTTGTTAAGACTGAATTTTTCAGTAAAAGCAAGGATTTGGCATCTTGACTTTATAAGCTAATGGATAAAGGTTATCCTTCCTGAAATCCAAAGAAATTTTACAAATACACCTCATAATTCACCAAATAAATAACCTGTAAATGAATTCTTGGCAGCATACATCAATATCAAACTGCCATCACCCAAAAGAGATCACACTCCTCCAATTTTTCCATATGCTCAACAGTTTCTATCAAGACTTTGCCACAAGAAATTACTAAACTAAGCATAGATACTAGCGATTAATTTTATTGTCCTGATCATTTACATCACAAGTCTGGCCAACACCTCTGTTTTTAAGTGGGACAGAACCAAAGTGGTCTCATCTGTTTTACATGAGAGTTTTATTATCTAAATGCATGCATAATTTAAGAGAAGCTGCACTTGCATCAAGAGCTCTCATCAATGGATGWCTCAGCTGCAGTGTCACTGTATTGTGACTGACTTTTGGTAAATTTTGGTGAATGAAAACTTTTCTTAGTGACATCTTGCAAAACCAAGCCTTGGATAATATTAACTGATCAGAGTTTTAAATCTCAGTGACATAGGAGTGCTGTATCTTATTACAGTCACAGTATGAACAACRACTCTAATCAGATTGCACACATGTTAACCAATGTCAGTGAAGGGTCTTGTCTTGTCCAAATGATAGAAATCACTTTCCAAAAGTACCTAAGCATACTGGGGTCAAACATGGGCATGACCAAAGCTTTCTGCACTGATTCATCACACAAGTCTTCTCAAATAAATGATCTCAAGGAAACTTTTTCCAAATAGAAAGTACTACTAGTAATAATAAGTAATAATAATAATAATTAATAGTCAGATGAAGTAAATAAATATTACATTTGTGATTAGAAGTGCACTGACAAATGCAACAGAAAGAAACAAAAATATACTGTATTCACTGGATATGACTGGCTTTTAAATTGCTTTTGTTACAACACTGCTTTGAATTAAACAAGATTTTAGTAGTATGCTGTTAGTCTATTGTTTTGATAAGCACTAGGGAAATATACTTTCACAAGACCTATGAAGAAAACTTAGAAAACTGAAATGGGACAGCAATTGGAAAATTGGAAAAATGATGCTGACATTTTTCCACTTATTCACCTCAACCCATTAAGATGCACTTGGATGAGAAAACCAAATGCTCTTCTTTCTCATCTTTCCCCTTCTTTCATCTGTTCTCTGTTCTGCTTCTAAAAATCTGCCTAAAACTTGTAGTGAGATCTGGCATGGGCATTATATTCAGGTATAAAAATGTGAAGAGATGTGATCTTAGGGCAGTCCTTTGCACATTTTTCTTCAACTTGTATACAAGAATTGTACTCAGAATGGTGCTTTCTACAGATACATTTAGATACAAGAGTTATCTATCATCATATCTTCATTATTTTACTTTATATCTAGTAGACTACTCTGTRTACCAGAAATTCTGCCTTTATGTGCAACTCGTTAATGATTTTTTTATTAAAATACGCAACTGAATAGCCTTCACATAAACTGAGCAATTTGAATTGTGCAATTCATATCTGAAGTTGATACAAGTATCCAGATTTTTTTTACTACCATTATTATTATGGAAAAAAAAAGATGCCCAATCTTTTTTGAGCAACATTTCTTATATCTCATTCTTTTGTAGAATTAAATAAATAGAACATGTACAGTCAGATCAGATGTTTAGTAATTCTGATGTTCTATTTGTGATCAAGTAGACATTTCCTTTTCTGCATGCAGTAGTAAAACAACCCTGAGGCATTTATGCTACAATTTTCATGGGAAAACAATTTAGGAAATAATGTAATTTTACTTTCTTTGCAATTTAATTTAACAGTTCAGAAATGAGAGTATTCAGAAGCATAGGTCCTGGATCCTATTCAATCACACACCAAAGGAAAAACACCATGCAATGCACATCTGTTTAAAGATTCTTGCCATAGAAACTGAGTCAAAAAGAATTCAGTAAGGTAAACTCTGGAATGTTGTCTTATTACCCACCTCAGTTTCTGGTTATACTGCTTGACTTTTTCTAGAGAAGCTGCATTAATTTGAGCTTGAAATTCTTCTACCGAGACACTGTCTCTGTAGTAATATCCTTCCATGCTCTCCAATGCTATGAAAAGAAAGAGAAGAGAAAATTTCATATTAAATATTTAGTATTCCCTTTTCTTGTAGCTTTGCCTTAACAGCCTTGCTTCCCAAGCCTTGGGATTACTTGGTTTGGGAAAAAAAAAATCCAAACTTCTAATATCTAAAAATAAATGCTAGGAATAAAAACAAAATTCCCGCAGATATTTGAATCTCTGTTGTACAAAAGCCCTACAACTGCTTCGAAATTCTTTATTTTTTTTACCTATCAAATCTTTTTTAAATTATTATTAAGTCAATTAAAGTGTTGAAGTTGTTGCACCTAGATTTGGGATGACTTCCTTATTCCTGAGGATGACAGTCTATAAATTTTATGGAGCCCATTGAAAATAGGGAATGTTGGGAAACCTGGTTCTAGATTTACAAGATCGATTCCTAAAGTCTCCTTTTCTTTTTTTTTTTTTTTTTGTATTGATCAGACCCTCACTGCCACAGGCCAAACTTCATTTTCCCACTAGCATCTTCTTGGTGATGCATAAGCAATTATTGTTCATTACACAAAATGAAAACTTTTCATTTTAAGTGCAATGAAAAATGCACTAGACTCGGCCTGATAACCTATCTAACGATGAAGCATATATTACTTTTGATTTCTGCACAACTTTCCACATCCTTTACATTATTCCTCTTTGCCCTAGCACTATTGCTAAATCTTCTCATTTATCCAAGCAGCAATATTTGAGAAGTTAAACAAAGAAGAGTGATTGATACAACTGTTAATAGCTAGCTTGCCTGTTGTGTAGCAGCTATAATGGTTGGGGGAAAAAAAAAAAAAAGGCTGACTCTACAGGCAGATTAAAATAGGATTCAGGATAGTTATCAAAACATAATGCCCTGTTACAATCAGAGGGCTCTGCTCCAGTTCTGTGATCTTTGAAAGTCAATATAGACTCACTGAGAAAAAAGATCAGCAACAAGAAAATAGGTGGAGTACCACTGAGAATAAACAGCAGGAGTACATCTGAGAGTAAAAAGAGGGAGAACCATTGAGAGTAAACAGAGTAGGCCTTAGGGTAAACACGGGGAGTACCACAGACAGTAAACAGTGGGAGCAGAACTGAGCGTAAAGAGTAGGAGTATCATTAAAGGTAAAGAGTGGGAATAGGAGTGAGAGTAAAAAGGGGGAGTAACACTGAGGGTATACAGTGGGAGTAGACCTGAGGGTAAACAGGGGGAGTAGGACTGAGTGTAAAGAGAGAGAGTATATCTGAGGCTGAACACATGGAGTAGGACTGACGATAACAGAGGGAGTAGGAGTGAGAGTAAAGAGCAGGGGTAGGAGGAGGTACTAGAGGGAGTACCACTAAGGGAAAGGAGGGGAGTAGGACTGAGGGTAAAAAGGGGGAGTAACACTGAGTGTAAACAATGGGAGTAGGCCTGAAGGTTAAACAGGAAAAAAGTCTTGAGGATAAACAGGGAGGATTAGGCTGGAGGGTAAATAGGGGGAGTAGGCCTGAGGGTAAAAAGTAGGAGTAAGAATTAGGGTAAACAGGTGTCGAAGGGCTGAGGATAAACAGTGGGAGTCAAACTCAGGGTAAACAGGGAGTAGGCCTGAGGGTAAACAATGAAAGTAGGACTGCAGGGACACAGGTGCGGTAGGCTTGAGAATAAAGAAGGTGAGTACTGAAAAGGGTAGAGATAGTAAGAGCGTAAAAAAGTAGTTTGTACAAACAGGTAGTTGAGGGTAAACAGAAGCAGTACCACTGAGGAAAAACAGAAGGAGTACCATTGAGATAAATGGTGGGAGTATCATTGAGAGTATACAAAGAAAGTAGGACTGAAGGTAAACACAAGATTAGGACTCAGGATAAAATATGGAAATAGGCCTGAGGATAAACAGGGGGAGTACCACTGAGGGTAGACAGCGGGAGTAGTGCTGAATGTAACAGGGAGGTTAGACCTGATGGTAAACACGGGCAGTAGGATTGAGGGTAAAGAGTGGGAGTAGGACTGAGGATTAAGAGCAGGAGTAGGAATGAAGGTAAACAAGGGGTATAACACTGAGGGTAAACAAAGAGAGTAGGACTGAGGGAAAATAGGGAGAGTAGGCCGGAGGATAAAGAGTGAGAGTAAGAATAAGGGTAAAAACATGCAGAAAGTCTAAAGGGTTTAATCGGGAGAGTAGAACTGAGGGTAAACATGAATTATCACTAAGGGAAACACGGAAGTACCACTGAGGGTAAACATCAGGAGTAGGAGTGAAGGTAAACATGGAAGCAACACTGAGGGTAAACAGGRGGAGTAGGACTGAGGGTAAACATATAAGTATCACTGAGAGCAAACATCGGGAGTAGGACTGAGGGTAAACATGGAAGGATCACTGAGGTTAAACATCTGGAGTAGGACTGACGGTAAAGAGGGGTAGTAGTACTGAGGGTAAACAGTGAGAGGAGGACTGAGGGTAAACATGGAAGTACCACTGAGGGTAAGCATGAAGGTAACACTAAGGTAAACATTGAAGTAATACTGAGGGCAAACATTGGGAGTAAGACTGAGGGTAAACATCAGGAGTAGAACTGGGTATAAACATGGAAGTACCACTGAGGGTAAACATCAGGAGTAGGACTCAGGATAAACATGCAAAGACCACTGAGGTTAAACATTGGGAGTAGGACTGAAGGTAAGCAGGGGGAGTAGGGCTGAAGATAAACAGGGAAGTACCACAGATGGGGTATGCTTATACTGGGGGAGCATCACGGAGAACCACAGTATCACAGAACGGTTAAGTTTGGAAGGGACCCCTAGAGAGCATCTAGTCCATCCCCCTGCTCCAGCAGGGATACCTAGAGCACATGGCACACAAGCTTATCCAGGCAGATTTGGATACATGTTGATTCTCATCCCCTCTCTCAACTTTCTCTTCTCCAGGCTACACAAGCCCAGCTCACTTAGTTTTTCCTCATACAAGAGATGCTCCAGTCCCTTAATCATCTTGCTTGCTCTCCRCTGGACCCTCTCAAGAAGCTCCACATCCACATACTGGGGAGCCCAGAACTGCACACAGTACTCTAGGTGCATCCTCACTGGAGCTGAGTAGAGGGGCACAATCAGCTCCCTCGACCTGCTGCTTRCACTCCTCCTCCTGCAGGCCAGGAGCCCATTGGCCTCCTCTGCCATGAGGGCACATGGCTGGCTCATGGTTAACTCGTTGTCTATCAGGACTCCCAGATCCCTCTCCACAGAGCTGTTTTCCAGCAGGTCAACCTCTAACTTGCACTGATGGCTAGGGTTATTCCTGCCCAGGTTGTTCTTGTCCTTGTTGTCCTTGTTGAACCTCATGAGGTTCCTCTCTGCCCAACTCTCCAGCCAGTTCAGGTCCCTCWKGATGGCAGCACAGCCCCCTGGAGTGTCGGCCACTACACCCAGCTTGGTAGCGTCCGCAAAYTTGCTCACGGTGAAATCTGTGCCCTCATCCAAGTCATTAATTAACAACTTGAGCAGTACTGGGCCCAGTACTGATCCCTGGACGACTCCACTGGCCACAGGCCTACAGCAAGACTCGACCTCATAAATAACCACCCTCTGAGCTCTGTCATCCATTCAGTTCTCAGTYAACCTCCCTGTACAACCATCCAGTCCATACTTCAGGAATTTGCTGATGTCCTGGTACATGGACATCGTGGACACATGGACATCTCATCATGCATCCACCCCAACATCTCATTGTATAATGACCCTTAAGGGTAAACAGGGAGAGTAGGCCTGAGGGTAAAGAGAACGAGTACCACTGAGGGTAAACATCGGGAGTAGGACTGAGGGCAAACTGGGAGAGTACCAGTGAGGGTATACAGTGGGAGTAGGACTGAGGGTCAACAGCGGGAGTTCCGCTGAGGCTGAACTGTGGAAGCAATATYGAGGGTGAAAAGCTGGGGGTACCCCTGAAGCTAAACAGTTTGATGATTACTGATGGTAAAAAAGGGATTACCACTGAGCGTAAACAGGGGGAGTAGGACTGAGGGTAAAGGAGTGGGAGTAAGGCTGAAGTTAAAATAGGAGGAGTACCATTGAGGGTAAAGCGTGGGAGAAGGATGGAGGTTAAACAGGACGAGTAGGACTGAAGGTAAAGAGACAGAGTATGATTGAGGGTAAACAATGGGAGTAGAAATTACAGTAAYTTTGGGAGTACCACTGAGGGTAACTGGGAGAGTACCAATGATAGTACACAGGGGGAGTACCACTAAGTGCAAACACAGGGAGTAGGTCTGAGGGTAAACAGAGGGAATACCACTGAGAGTACACAGAGGGAATACAACTGAGGGTAAACAGCATGAGTACCACTGAGGGTAAGCAGGGGTAGTAGGCCTGAGGGTATGCAGCGGGAGTAACACTGGTGGTAAACTGGGGGGGGACTGGGGGGGGACTACCACTGAGGGTTGAGTGGAGGTTAAAAAGGCAGGTTACAAGTGATAAAATCATCAGAATCTCCAGGGTTATTGAAAGTCTTAGAGGTTAGAGAGAAATCCTATTAATTTGTTTCAAAATTTCCCAAGACTTTTTCAATATTTTTGTCAAATATTATTCAAAAGAGGTAGAATTATTGTGAGTTGTATAATCAGAAGGAAAACCTGGTCCTTGTTCTGAACTTCTCCTGCAGTATTTGAAAGCTGTTGCTGTCCCTACTTCATAGGAAGATCATTTCTCTCAATACCATCCAGATGTCTGTTCCTACGGCCAGTCTAAACATGTTTTTTTCTAACCATGGGAAACTGGGGGCCACACCCTGGTGCCTTCACCTCCCTCTTTATTCCYTCTTGTTCCCTTCCCACTGCTTTTCAGTGTTAATTTCTCAATTCCACTCTCTTATTTCATCAGTTTATTGAATTCTATCAGTTTATCTCAGAAAGGAAACAAAGCATGCAAGCCCACTCCTAAGTACTGCTGTTTGTTTTTTCCTCTTTTAATTATATTTGAATTGTTTTATGTATTTGTAACATTTGTCTTAAGCAGTATTTTGATGTGCAGAAGGCACACAAACTCAAACTGTAAGTGACCTTGCCATGTATTCCCCTGAATATCTATCTTCCAAACCCACCTGGATGCAACCCTCTGCCACGTGCTCTAGGTGACCCTGCTTGAGCAGGGAGTTTGGACTAAATGTTCTCCAGAGGTCCCTTCCAACTTCAACCATTCTGTGATTCTGTGTTCATAGCCTAGCGAATTACTTTTTAATCTYGAGGCTGCAACCTCACTGTGGATTACTGAGCTGTTTCTGTATGTCATCAAATTCATATAGATCTTTTTCTAAGATTCCATTTATAATAAAAATTGTATTTCTTGCCCTGTGGAAAATATAAAGGCAAGAGCTAGTGTCAATTCTGTTGCTCTAATTAAAGTACTTCCACCCTGTGAATGTAAATGTGTTTTTTAGTTCTGATATCACCTGGCAAAAATTCAGTAAAACGAACTAGGTTAGAGGAAAGAAAAGATTAATGTCAGCTATTTTCACATACAGAGGGACATGACAACTTCTAATGAAACCTGATTTGGGAAGATGCTGAATACTTGAACCTATATTTATTTCCACTAATAATCTGAAGAGCTTAATGCTTCTCTGGATCAAGTAAAACAAGATGAAAAACTAGCATATTTCTTTTAAATATCCTCTAAGTTCCTTTCCAGGGATCAGACATGTTCTAGAGTCAAGCAGTCAACCTCATCTGCCTTTGTTGCATTAATTTTATCAAAGGAAGGATTAATAATAGAGCATTTCAGGAACTAAGCAAAGACTGCCACTAAAGGTCACTGTTCTTCCCATCAAATCACCTTCACAGAAATTAAAAGGAGGAAAAAATGAATACACCGCTTTTTCATTTTACCGTGCTCTTCCCAACAACAAATTTATAGAATATATTAATAATTTAAATAATTTAATTCAAATTTAATTTAGACATGGAAGGATGCTCAATCTTTTCTTTATCCAAGCCATATGAAGTCTTGAAAGACATCCAAAAAAAAAAAGACCACCTGAAAAAAAAATCCAGATCTTCGTATAACAGGTTGTTAAAGAGTTTAGCCTTATAATACATTGGGAATGGGAAGTTGTTGAAACATATTTTTTTCTGGAAGGAGCTACAAGATTTTAAAATTGGGAACATTATCATTTTAATAACACATGCATATTCTAAGAATTTTATCACTCTATCAGAAAATACAAGCAATAAGTAGAGTTCTGATGGAAACACAACTGCAGTCTTAAACCTTGGGCTGCATAGAGAATATTGATTCTGCTYGTATTGTTTAATAAAACCAGTTAATAAATAATTCTTTGGTTGTGAAAGAACATGCAAAGTGCACTTCTCCTCTGTGCTTCCAAAGTTTTTCTGTACCAAAAAAAAAAAAGTTTCAACTTATTAAATTTCAAAAAAAAAAAAAAAGTTTCAACCTAGCTTCTTTGGTGCTAAATCACACTAGGGAAATCCACTGGACTCCACTTATAATACTACATTACCACAAGTGCACAATTGCACTTGTGATAATGCACAATTGTGCACTTGTATGCACTATATTGCTAATTTTGCTGACATAAATCCCAAGTTKACCAGTGAGATCATCCCCAAACAGSAAACTCARTCATCAGTGGGGACTGATGGGGCATGCTGTCCTGTCTCTCTTTTTCAAAGGGTATAATGTATTTCTGCCCTGTATATTGAAAAACTCTAGGTATATGGCCACACCAATCAGGTTTTACAAGTGGAAGGATACATAAGATAGCCTAGATAAATTTYAGGCACAGGGCTATTCAGGGCATGGCAGCATAAGCACACTGTAGGATCAGAGTGACACAGAAATATAAGTAGCAGCAATAGACCTGCAGTGACTCGCAACTTTGACAAATTATTTCAAAAAATATGAATTTCTAAGTCTTCCATTTGAAAACATAAACCTTTGCATATTTAAGGAGGAAGGAGCTCCATTCAACTTGGAAAACAAGGAGTCAACACAGAGGAATCGTAGCACTTACAGAAGATTTTCTCTCTTCAGAGCTAATAAACTTCAATTAAAGGAGGGGATCTACTGAGTTAGTTTGATGGAAGCTCATCTAGATCTTGAAGGAATTAAGTATAAACTAGAATCACAACTCACTCAGTATGGGAAAAAAAGAAGGTAAAACGGAAGGGAAGGGGAAGGGGAAAGGAAGGGCTATAGAAGGGAAGGGAAAGGCAAGGGAATACTAGGATTTCAATTTCTTAACCAGGACTTCTTATTTTGGGGGTCTAATGAATTATTTTTAAGAGTGATCCTTGAGAAGAAATRAAATTTGATATGATTAATATTTTTCAGCTATTTAATAGTTCTTTAACAGAAGCATCTTTAATCTTCAGCCTTTCCTTTAGCTCACTACAGAGATGTTCATCCTAAGAGTCAGTATTTTGGGCCTCCAGAGATAGAAAGGAAAAACAAATTCTGCAAAATAAATTCTGCAGCATACTGAATCCTCCCTTCCCAAGGGAATCTAAACAATTAGTATTGCAAGACTGCATTTGAACCAAGATATTTTCTGTTCTCTTTCATATGCTTTTATTTTTGTCTTCTCTACTGAAATGTGTCTGCTGCTCAGTGCTGAAAAATCCATTGAAATCCATCTCTATTAGTGTATGCAAATTCACTTCAGAGATTTATTTTTAAAATTCATGTGTTTTAAGTAAAGCTATTACTTCATTTATTTTATTTTTCACTATTTCCTTTTATATTGTACTTTCAGAGCATAGATGAAACCCTCTTCAAAATATCCATCTGTATGTCTGATTTCTGCTTATCTGACTACTGACCCTGGAAACTTACTGCAAGATACTGAGGGCTGTCAGCAACCTCTGAAATCAAAAGTGACTCAAGGCAATCTGCACCTTGCAGGAGGCATTCATCATTTCAGTGAATCAAGCTCCGTGTTCCTGATCTCTATAATGACACTACAGCTAATCAGACTGCCTGCAATTTATGAACAGTCTGAGCATCAGTGCCATTCTTCACTTTGGCAATGTTTGCAGTTCCATAACTGCAAAAGTCTGGAAAAAGTTGTTTACATTTGCCTAACAAGTTAAAGAGACAGAATTCACAGTCCTATTTGAAGGAGCTGGAAAAGGGATASAGGAGGAGTTAGTACTTTACTATTTGGAAAGCAAAATATCTTTAAAAGTGAGTTTCAGGGACTGAAAGTCRTCCACTAACATACACACAAAACAAAACAATAATGAGAAAAAATGTTTTKCTTTGGTATAAGGATCATATAACAGATATAAACTTAGAAATATATACCCATACATCTTTTTAAAAATGGAAAAAGTCTGTATTTCTTAAATTACTAATTTTATGTCAAAATTGCCTCTAGAAATCCAAATTAAACGGCATGTTTAAATATGAGTACTATGCCCTTAAATTTAAGAACAAATAAATCAGAGTAAATAACTAAGATTCTAGTGAGATTCAAGTGTTTTTTGTAAGTATTGGAAACAAGTCAGGTTACCTTGTGAAAAAAGTACAGGATGAATTTTAAATCCTCCTCCATTCTTTAGCCTTTGAGGAAGCTGTTCAAAATGGTAAGTATCAAGGTAGAAGTAAATCTTCAGGGTTTGTCGACTTCCTTCTGCTTGGTATGTGATTGGAACATCTAAGAATAAAGTAGATGTTAAAATTTCTTTTTGTTTTTGGAAACTGTTACACCGAAAATTCTCATAGCTTAATACAGCTACCATGCAAATGCTACAGCCATAAAACTAATATAAGGACTATCTTACATTACGCWCAGTGTTGCTGTAGTCACTTTGGTCTTACCCATTTTTAGCAAAATGGCATAAAGTACCAACTGCTGCAAAAATACTAACCAAGTAATGTTAAGACATTGTTGGCAATGTCCAAATTTTATTTCCTAATAAAACTGAAGAAACATGTTTGTACAAGGCATGGTTTCAAACCACTGGGAGGGGAGCTTCAGATGCCTTTGTCATGTACATGATGCATGAGGTCAATGTGGTATATACTACTGTCCTCTCCACAGACCCACATTTGTCTGGCAGAGCGCACAAATAAATATACAGCAGCTGCTTCATTTATCATTAACATGAGGACTCAGCTCAGAAAAGAAATGTATTGTGATAGAATATATATAAAATTATAAGAGCAGAGTTCATTATACTTGATGGCTAAATACATCAATTGGCTTAGAGTCCAGTGCAACTAACAGTATCATTTGGTATTTACATGGAATCTCCAGAATACATTTTGTGTATTATGCAAGATGAGGAACATATAATGACAATTAAAAAAATGTTCTGTTTAGGTAAAATTCTCTAAGGAAGAGAAGTCAGGCTAATCCCATTTAAACTTTGTATAAATTTCCTGTTTAAGTATCTTTTACATGAGTGAGTCTCAGAATCAAAAGTAATAACAACAAAATTCAGTGATTTGTATTAATAATATTATGTAGTTCTTACATTTTGTGTATGAATTATTTTGTATCTAAAAAGAAAGGCTGTCAAAARAATATTTTTCACATATTTTTGCTTATATTGATCATATAGAACCAGAAAAGAAAAAACAAATTTGCCAGTGAAAGCTGCTTGTCTTCTGGATCTATGCAGTCTGGATGATTGTGGTGGCAGCTCTTAAATTAAAGGAAAAACAAAGTTTATTGCAATTCCAGAGCACATGACATTCCCATTTATCTCTCTTTTAAAATGGACAAGGAGGTTGAGCAACTTGAACACTTTGTAAGACAGGTATATAATTAGCTTTGCACTACAGAGCACTCCCAAAACTCCAGTTCTGTATTATTACCTGGTCTGGCAGGGCTTCTTTCTAAAACCAAACCATTTAAAATGAATAGAGGGCCTATTTGACCTATACATAGGTAAAAATGTTCTTCCACAGGCCCGTTCCTACTTCACTTCCAATCCTGTAGTTAGGGCACACCACTGAGTTCTGAGGAGCAGAGGCAACCTCTCACTGGTAGTTCTGTGGAGGAGCTTTTTTCCTTCCAGTTTTACTTATTGCAGAAGTTCTCTCATGTGTGGTCTCAGCCCAGCAAGGGAATTGTTTTTTAAAGTTTGATGTTAATCAGAAACGTTTTCCTCCCTTCCCAAGGGAGCTATGAGACTTTGGAAAAAATGTGGGGCTTCTTACTCACTGTACAAAATTCATCTCAGGAAAATCTCCACTGGCCAAAAACACACAAAAAAAGGAGTGGCTGAACATGGGTGAAGGGTATGAACACTAGAATGCCAAGACAGCCCCTTCCTGAGATCAGTTGAGCACCAGGAGGAAAGGTCCAACATATCCCTGACTGCCTCCACTGCCAGGTCTTGAAAGAAGCAGCTTGCACAATTTCAAGCTACCTTAATAGCTTTTGTCTCTCTCTAAACTCAGCCCAGAACTTCATCATTTGTCAGAAAGGAAGAGCAGCATTAAAATGCATGTGGTATTAATGCTTCCCCCTCTCATCTCAGCACCATTTCTCTATTAAAGCCTTTAGGCTTATTCAGGCCTTTAGACATGACTCTTCAATAGCAGCTAATTAAACCAGGCACTTCCCTGGTGCAGTCACATACTCCCAGCTGAAACTTCATTAAAAACAAACACTTTTTCCCTCAGAGGCTACAAAGTTGCCAGATAACGATTCTGCCTTGTAACTGATGTTGTTTATTAGGAAACCTAGGAATATTAAGAAAGCTACGGATCTACTAATATTCCATAACCCCAAATTATGTATCATCACTTCCTAACTAGCCTATCACTTGTGGGAGGTAATGTTATGAGAAAGAAAAAAAAATAAGAAGAATATATAGTATATTTCCATGGAGTAAAACTCACATTAATTTTAATTACTCACTTGCAACTAGTGGTTCTGGCTCTGATTGTCTGAAGTAAAAAGTGACCTTTTCCAAGTCAAATAGTGCAACCAATGTATCTTCTAGCATGGCTTGCTCATCAGCCTAAAAAAGGCAACAAATCATGTGAGAGCGGGATATAAAAAAACAGGGAGTGTTGCATAATATTTCACTGATACAGTGTATCACTTCATTAACTCTTACATCACCAAAAYACTTTCTCTATTCATTTTCACTTGTCTTCTTACTACTATCCCAAGATAATTATGCATTGAATCCTACCATTTCAYACAGTAATATAATAGGTATTTTATAGTTACCATGACTTCTTTAGGCTTTAATCAAATAATAATGCAATTACTTTTAATGTAAGATACTAGAAATAAGCAGTTTGTCTAGTTTGTGAACATAGGGTAAATTTGAAAAACAAAAATTCATCTTTTTTTAGCAATTTTTCAGAAATGCCAGTGCTTCGKCATTTCATTTTTAAACAGACTGGAGTTCATCATGCCCATTCCAAGCATCAATAATTTAACCAGTAGCTCCAAGGTACTGCAGATCAAAGTGATCTTCACCTACGTCTACAAGACTATCACAAATCAAGTAGCAGAAATGCCAGTGTTCTGATTTGCTCATACRGTTCCCTTTGTGTAAAACCAAAGACATGGGCAATTCAGCCTAATTCATCATAAAAACTCAAAGAAGTAAACCAAAACTCAGGAAACTGAATTGTTTTGTTTTTTTAAAGGGGGGTGGGGAATACTCATCTACAAGTATAGTCATCTTGAGTTAAATATGCAGAACAATTAGAGCAGAAATCAGTAATCACTTTAAATAATTATATTCTATATAATCTCCTTTACTACATTAAGCAAGCAAGAGCCATACACAAGTCTGAAACATACATTTTCCCCATTTAAGAACTGAAACAGCAGGAAAGCAAAGAATAATAAATTAGCCACCTATAAAATTAGAATAAACTAGAGCGTACTAAAGCACAGTGAGAGGATCATACAATCACAGAATCATAGAATGCCGAAGATTGGAAGGGACCTCAGAGKTCATCGAGTCCAACCCCCCTGCTCACGCAGGGTCACCTAGAGCACGGGGCACAGGGCTGCATCCAAGYGGGTTTTAAAGATCTCCGGAGAAGGAGACTCCACAACCTCYCTGGGCAGCCTGTGCCARGGCTCTGTCACCCTCACTGTTGAGAAATGTTTCCTTAAGTTCCTGTGGAACTTTTGGTGCCTCAGCTTGTGGCCGTTTCCTCTAGTCCTATCATTGTCCACCACTGAAAAGAGGCCRSCCCCTCCTCCTCACTGCCTCCCCTGAGGTATTTATAGACACTAAGAGGGGAATAAATGTGATTTTTCTTCCCAATCTGTATASTGAAATAGTATTCTCCTTTGTATTACTGAAAAAGCAACTCTGCTATTTTGTCTCCTTGTTCAATTTATTAAATCTCTAGGGATAGGGCAATGTCTTATCAGCAGAATAGTCTGAAAACTACTATGTAACATGGGAATTTTTCTGCAGAGCTGCTCATTCTTTATTGAATACTGGCCATAATGAGTGCAATTTCCTTCAAATGCCCTTGTTTAAAATAATATGGATCATTTGTAACCAAAACAGTGCTAAGGAGGTACTGCAAATATTGCCTTTAAATGCCTTTCCCTTAGTTGAGAAGGGTTGTCACTGAAGAAGTTCAGAACTCCTATACAAATATATACAGAATTCACCACAGTTACATTAAATTCAATAATGCATACCTCCAGTTCCATATTAAATGAAAATAAGTAAGCCAGTGCTCTGCAAAATGCCTGAGAATATTTTATATGATATTTAATTTATTGAACTCTCCTGCCTTAAAAGCTYATCAGGAAGACTTCCCAGTAATTGGCTGCTGAGACAGAAGAGATGGCAAAAGGGAATATCAGGAATATTGCCTGCGTTTGGACTTTCACACAGTGAGATGTATGATTCAGTCACTAGTTCGTGGCATTTCCCATGTCAACACTTAACTCAATTAAACAATATATAGACAGCCACAATATTAAATGACTTAAAAGCTTAACGGTCAGAAAAAAACACTAGTGCAGGAAAGTCAGGTGCCAAATGCACAAAATACTTTTTTGGGTYGAGCAGCTCAAGAGGGAGAGAAGATAGAGCCACAGAGCAGACTGTGCAGCCTGCAGTTGTTCACGTTAGCAGGAACCAATGTGGTACAAGAAGCAGCTTAAATGGCTGAAGAAGAACAGATGAGTGTATCCAGTTGCCAGAGAGCTATAGATTTTTTTTTTTTGATAAAAAAAATCAAAACCACATATTTTATCTTACAGTGTTGCTTACTGCAAACAATTACTAGCTATCACATAATATGACACTTGATCTTAGGGAACAATTATGATAATTGTGGAGAATCTAGACCAAACTCARTATCTGCTAACTCAAATATAATATTTTGTTTGTGGATAATGTATCCATAGCCCATAATTGTAATTATCTGAATCACAAACTTCCCGAACAGCAGCTAATTAAGCAACAGGTACAAAGGATACAGAAAATTATATTTGTAATCGACTGTTTCAGACCACCCTTGTTTAGGGAACAAACATGGTCTTTTTAATTGCCACATTAGGACTCTTACCAAGTTGGGCGACAGCAGCGACTGGAAATGAAGGAGAACACCCGCATTAGCAATCTGCTCCAACCACCTTCTGCTGGCCTCCAGAGTCTCCATTTCATATTCTTTGCTATTGTCAAACATCTGACTTAAGGCCACCATTAGTTGCTCTGAAAAAGCACAGACCGTAGCCACAAGACTCTGACAGAAGACCATGTCTCGCCTCAGCTGTATCTCACTGTCTGCAAAGAGGAGAACAAAAGAAGAAAAACAGAACAGAGCAGAAGATTCATCAACAGCAAAATAACTAGGATGGATTTTTTTTCTTTGCATTTAAATGTCTTGTTTTCCAGAGAAAGAAAAGTTCATAGCCTAATGTTATTCCTATTAAGTAGCAGACAAAACCGAAAAATTGCACATTTAAGTACTGTTTTATTGTTCTAAAAATATATAAAAAGTCAAAATTTAAAATGTAAGCTACTTCTACATGAACACGCATGCTTTTACTGTTAATTTTAATATACTTGTCCTCCATTCTGTTTACTTTTAATGTTAAAATGATGGATGTGAGCTAGATCTCTTACTAGAAGAACAAGCTATGTCTGGCGAAGACAGCTCATGTAAACTACAGAAAAGTAACATGAGTGTTGCTAACCAAGCACAAGCCACCTAAATATAAATTCAAAATACATAAAATAAGCAGAGAGTAKCAGCACAAATACAGGCAGCAGATGGTTTAGGGAATCAGCAAAGTCCGAGACAGGTCCAGAGGTAGAAGACAACAGAACTGTGAGCAGCTTGCTTTCAAATAAGATTGCTCCAGGACTAGGCAATCTATCCATCTACCAGGAAAGGCACAGACATATGATTAGCTAAAGGTCAACACAGTTAGAAAAGACAAAAAAMCAAAGAGGGTGGGGGAAGAGGTAACTCAAGGTCCTGGGACATTCAGTTCCTGGGCCAGTCTGTTTCACAWGCTGAGAACCAGAACTTGATTAGTAGCAGATTTTCCTTTAAAACTCATTGAGGAGGTGAGGAGTGTCACCAAGACTCTTTGATTGTTTGCTTTTTCATTAGCACACACTGTCTAGTGCATCGATGCTTAATGAGTAATAATTTAATTAGTTACATGCATGTCTTTTCCTAACGAGGGCTCTGAAGGCTGATAAAGGCAGTGAGTATAGCTGCATCCATTTGCTCTTCACAGAATAAGAGGATGCATGCTTGAACCAACCTGAAGTAACCCATCTCAACACTAACACCCTCACATTAAAAGAAGTAGAAAATTTAGCTTCTAGTTGTATTGCTCTGACCCTTTTAATTCTTAAACTAATTCTTAAAGAACTCTTTAACTCTTCATATATATTTCTACCTAAGCTCTCTTGTCATAAAGGCGGTTAATGGATTTCTTCTGATAACGTTGATGTTGCAGGTATTTCTTGCTAGTACCAGTGAGAAGGGCAAAGGAAAATGGTTTCATTAGGAGGAAACAAAGGTTCTTTTTTATTCTCAATAAAATACAGAACTGTGGTGTTTAAAATTCAACRCTTCCTCCTTCTCCCCATTCTTGAAAGTCTTCAAGCATTTTCATCATTATGAACCGTTAGGCAAATGTCAATCACAAATGTTACAGGCACATTTAATCTTTTTTTCAGAGAGGAGGGGAAGATTAGATGATCCCAAGCCTGAAATTTTTGTCTTTACTTTTATACTTCTCTGCTTGCAAGAGGTTTAGCTCCCTTTCTACCTTTTGTGTGTAGCTGACAAGACTTTAGATAAGTGGAATAATTAATAGGAACAATTCTATACTCACAAAATTAAACTGACTTTTAAATATATCTTTTATTTGGACTGAAAGTATTTTCCAAAGCAACTCCTCTCTGTCACTTTTTTCCTTTTGAACTCTACTTTCAGGTTTTCTTCAAGTATTAGTAATTCTGACCACATTTTTGCCATCATTTTCATCTGCCAACCTCTCTTAAGCATACTCTTCAGGATGTTGGCAATATTTTCTGCAGATAGTGTAATCACCACTACTTCTACATTGTGATTTTTTTTTTTTTTATCATTGAAATTAACCTCTTTCTCCAAGATTAGATCTGTGAAATCCAATATTTACAAGTTTTTCAGCTTTAAAAATGCTTCCATCTTCAGAAATCAAACTGGGTTCTCCCTGGTCAAAAGCATTTTTCCAACATCACAGAAGTGCTTAGGAGATTGAATCTGACATATTCTCTCACCTCACTTTGCTCAATTTTATCTTAATTTTCCAAATGGATCTGGCTCGTCTTGCTAGCTTCTGAAGCAGGCCTTTTGCATCTCTAACATCTCGTTTCCAAACCTCATCTTATACTACTTGAACATGAAATACTGAACACAAGAGCAATTTGAGCTTCTTATTCAAAAAGATTTTATACAAAATAAACTACAGAATTTATGAAGGTAGCTAGCCATGTAAATTACAAAGTCAGTCTTAAAAAAAATAATGCCTGGAGTATTTTCTTGGGTCATTTCCTATTTTATTCTCTGTAGAATTATTAATAATTCTTAGAATAATTAGAATAAAAAGGAACATTATGCTTCCCTTTATATAATATTGTGATGTGTCCTAAGAAAGTCACCTAAGTTCATCTGCTGGTCAATGGTTACATTAATAATTTCTTAGAATGAAATATGACCTCACATTTTGGCACTTATGCATCTGCTAAAGCTGCAGAGAATCACCTGATATAACTATTGGTTTCTAAAAACCGAATAGTTGATATTACTTATTTTGCAAACACACATTTTGTATAGTTAAAGCTGTATGCTACATGAGGTGATGGAGAAATACACAGAATATCTGGGCCACTTGCAAAAAGCAATGACTTGTAAAAAAAATATTCTGGATTACATTATACTGTTTAGGCAAAATAAGAATCAAAGGAAAGATACGAGTTAGAAGAATAAGGCAAGTCTGAAAATTTATTGTCTGAGCAAAGACAATAAAAATAGATAACAAATAGGAAAGGGCTCAAAAACAAACAAAAGAGCAGAAATCCTATGYACAAGTTCAGTCATTAGGCAACTAAACATGGCTAGCCCTACCCCCTTCCCATTCACTTCCCCTCTCCCAAAATAAGCAAGATAAAGGTTACCTGGAATCAAAATTACCTGTATATTCAAGAAGTGCCAAGAGAATTCGTGCCTTCACCTCTTAAAGAAAAGAGAAGACATATTGAGAACAGAGTCAAAAACATATCACCAACATAACACATTTTCAGTTTTTCATTTTGTATCAGCTTAACCTCATCTTCCTGGGTAATCTGTCCTGGTTTATACTTACAAAACAATATTGAATCTGCATTTCACATAACTTTACRTGTAACTGGATAAAACTCGTAAGAATCAAAAGCATCAACGCATCAGCCCTGAGAAAAGAACTATGAAGAAGCAGCTGCTTTCTCAAAGTACCTCTGTACCAACCTACTCTGCTCAGGCCTTGGCCGATGCCTGCATTGAGCAAGAGGTTGGACTCAACTTCTAGAGGCTCCTCCAACCTACATGACCCACTGATTCTGTGACTATCAACAAAGCCAACCTGACTTAGTACCTTGGGTTGTTGAGTTGAAACATTTGGCCAAAAATTTGGCTCATTTAAAACGAGCTGCACCTAATATCCTCAGTGTTTGAAATCTTTGGGAAAAAAAAACTCATAATTTATCTTTTGTTATCTATAAATAATGATCTCTTGCTTATGGGAAAATTACAGGACAGAGTAATTCTCCTTTATCCTTTCTAGAGCAATCTTCTCCCTTTCAAAATATATCCCTAGGCAAGAGAGTATTTTAGGTTATTTGTATTTGTAGTAATTTATCTGGGGTTAGAAGAGAACCTTGGATGTTTCTTACCAGTCATTTGTTTTTTCAACAAACTCCAAATGCTATGTGAGTTTTCACCTGTTCTTGTTACATGGTGTACAGAATAGAACAACCCTCTAGCAATTTCTCTTTAGATCAGATATGATCTATAACACAAAATGACTTCAAGTTTTTTTTATCTTAACATTTTTTTCTCATTTATTCCTTTTTTTTAATAAGACTTGAGGTGCATTTTTATTATTTATGTKCAAATATGGACTTGGACTTTTTATAGACTTACAGACAGAAAGACTCCTTACATCTTCATCACTAATCTAAATTAAAATACATGTTGATTTTTAACAGTTACCTATTTCCTCTTTAAAACTAGTATTACTGTGCTAGTAAAACAACTGTATTTCCTCATGCAGTCACAAAAAGTCACCACTATCCAAAAGCTGTCCAGAAATTTGACTTGCTCTAGAACTTTTTTCTGACCAAATATTTTTCCCTCTTTGAAAAAAAAAAAAATATATTTAAATATATAAATTTCTCTTCTTTGCTCTCCTCACACCTTTCTCCTTTTCATCTCTAGACCTGAAATGAACCACTGACATTTCAGAACATAGATGTTGCATTGCACTCTACTCCATCCTCTGCTCCCAGTGGCTTACAAATGTCATTATGACAACTAGCTTTCTTTTTGTTTTTCTTCTGAAGGGTGTTTTCTTTTTTTCCCATCCTTCCTGCTGATTATTCTAGTTCCAGCTCTAGTCATCCCTTATTTTTTCTCTCCATGCTTTCAAATTTTCATATTACACATTCTCACATACATCCAAAATCTAGTAACTAGATTATTCTTTTTCTATTTGGTGACTTCTGAACTCCTGCTGTCCCCTGCACCAAAAATCAAGCCCTGCATCTTCAAAGTTTTGCCTCTGTCAACAACATGGATTTTTTTTCTTCTTGGTTTAACAAATTACTAGACACAATTTTGTCTCACTCCAAAAATAACTTTCATCTTTTGTTTAGCTGTTTAGCTCCAGCTAAATCTTCCCAAGTTTTGTATATTATTTCATCAGAGACATCTTTATCAACTTGATTAGTCCTTTAGGGCTGACTTTCACTGTAATTATGGTAGATGTTTCCATCTCTGATGATATGGAACGGCAAACGTGAATGAGACAAAGAACCTCTACATCTGCTTCGATTTATGGTACAAAAAAAAGTGGTTTTTTTTGTTGTTTTTTTGTTTGTTTGTTTGTTTTTTTTCCATCTATGTGAACCTTCATGGTTTTTTTTTTTTTTTATTGTTCTCCCAATTTCAACAATAATAAAGAGAAAACTTTCAAACCAAATCATTCTCAAGACACTTGGAACTTTCCATTTTTTCATACTTATTAAACAAAGTACATTTAAAAAGTCCTTTAAAAATCTAGGAAGTGACTGTGTTATTTCTGTGGGGTTCCTATGCCACTGCCTGTTTTAAATGACTGATCTTTCTAATTTTTTTACCACCTGTTCTACATGAGAGCAGAGCAGTAAGAAATCGCAGTAGCCAAAGAGATTTCTACAAAAATAAAAATGAATCAGTTTTCAGTAAGGACATGCATTTACTGCATTAGTTAAGGAGTTAAGTTTTTATTTACAAGAAAAAACATTTTTACGTGGTGACCCAAGTTATATCTGTGGTCTCTTTTGTCTGCTTCTTCTTCCTAATATGAGAGACAAAAACATTTCCTTTCTTCAAGAAGGAAAATAATGCTTTTTATTTAGATTCTTCAAAGTAAAGATGTTTATCTAAGATGTTCTTCATGTTTACTTCAAATGGCTTTGAAAGTCCCACAACTTTGTTCTACATGAGTTCAACAAGAGTCATCAGAGAAAGTAAGTAGTCAAATCAGTGGCCATTTTTTGTTTCTTCGAAATCTGGTAAATTAGACAGGAAAGAGAGGAATGTCAAATGCTGTCTCAGGCTGTCAGCTCAGTCCTAGTTTAGTTCTTCTCTGAAGTATTCAGGCCATTTGTAGAGACAATATATACATCAAAAGGAGAAAGGAGAACACAAGAAATGCAGCTCTGAAGGGAAAGTTCAAGCTCCAAAGCATTTCTAACACTGCTTGCTTTCTGCTCATCTGCTTTCAGTTAGATGGGTTAGATGGGCAGCTGTGGGAGGGGGCTGCGTCTCTATCACAGCCCTCTCCCAAAGCTGCCTGGGGGGTACATTTCTGCCCTAAATCTTTTCAGCACTATACCCGTTCTAGCTATGTCTTGTAAACTGAACTAATGCTTGAGAAGCAATTCTTCAATTCCCTTCTCTCTGTTTTCTTTTACATTATTTGGGCCAGGGAACCACCAGAACCTTGGCTTTCAGGTATCCTGTACATCATGCCAGCTCCTTAATCACACTCCTTAATTACACAGACAGGCCAAAACTGCAATGATGATTTGGACCACTGCTCCAGAGCACTGGCAGGGGAAATCAAATCAAAGTAAAAGCTACAAGGGAAGGGAGAAAAAAAAAAGCTATAAAGACTGACAATGTGACAATGAGGAAAGAGTAGCCTCAGATGAGAATTTTACATCTAAAGCTGCATAGTTGATTAAGTAGATGGCACAGAAAGCAGTAGTTGAAAAAGTCTGAGAAATTATCAAATATCATAGATGGAAAGAGAATATTTAAAAGCTGCAGAACTGTTGCTCCAGATAAAGTTTGAGACCCAGTGATGAAAGAAGGCAAACAAGATTGTGTTGCCGCCCTTGGACAGCACAAGAGTAACATAATTTTACATTCAGATCTGTAAATCGTGACATCATTTGCAAGCACGACAGTTGCAATAGACTCAGTTAATATAATTTACTAACAAGAGAAAAACTTTTATCTTAATTTCCAAAACATTAGAAAATGCCAGCAGTTTTATTCTTCAGTAAGCATCAGGATCCTTTTCCATAAATAGCACCACTACATTAGAGCAGTATTGTAACAAGAGAAGTTTTGTATTRCAGAGAGGTTGGACCTGCTGAACTCTCCTTTGAAATTTCATGGTAGATTTATAACAAAATTTGAATGACCTGAATGAGCTCAATACAAGAGACCAATGTTCAATGGGGTAAGTCTATTAAAGGTTTTTATGGTGCACAAGATAGGTGAAAACGGCTTAGTTAAGCTTCAGGAAGGTATTAAAGTGGTATAAAGAACTGCTAAAGAGACACAGCTTCTTCCTTTGCTAACTGTAAAAGCAATGATGAATAATACTTGAATATACTTCAATATGTGTATAGTTAGACTGTCAGGAAAAAGGATCCAAAATTTTTTGTTTTTCACTCAGTGACAACCATCATTAAATTAAAAAGAGACAGTCTACCCACTGTGATTAACTGCAAAATAAGAGTTATTTTTTTGTTTGTTGTTATAATTTTCTAACCCAGGGTCTGAAAATATAATTATATCTGAAATAAGAAATATCAAAAGTCAGAAAAGGAGGAGTTGTTTGTTTTGGCTAGTGAATTCTTGAACTTTTATCTTAATAAAACTTATCACAAAGTTCTTTTCCAGTAATCTGAAATGTAGTTGTTTCTTTATGGAACACCACAAAGATTAGCCAACAAAATGAAAGAAGTTAAACATACACAAATCACTCAAAGCTACAATTGAAACAAATTTTTGTTCCCATGCAAAGACTCACACTGCAGTACTGAGCAGTTTTATAAAAATAATTTTGCTCATTATTTCTGTTCCTTTATTAAACAGCATACAAAACAAGGCATAAGCTACATGTAAGATTTTCTGGAAAAAAAAATGGAAATGCAGTTTACTTTCTTATAAAGCCAGGGAACAGAATAGACATTAGCTCACATTRTCAACCAGCAGTGAAGAGGAAGAGAATACTGGGTGGTCATGGGAGGAAGRCAGAGCAGATTAAGGAGACATAGGATCAGCTGTGATGGAGTGAGTGAAAAACAGTGGTAGTGAGTTAATTTCATCACAAACGAGGGAAATAGGGAATGATCCCAAATCAATGACAGATGGAAGCCAAAAGTCCTTCATCTTTTTTTTTCAACAGAAAGTGGCAGGAAGAAAGGGAGTATAATTTCAAAGAAAGCTCTGTTTTCATGCACCAATCTCATGAAGTTTTGTGATAGATCAGTCAAGCCACCTGGACTTCAGCAGCAACTGAAATAAACCAGCACAGCTATGTAAAACCACAGTATGGTTTTAGCTCCTCATCTGTTTCACTTGACACTTTTCTCTTCTGCATTTGAAGTCAATAGGGTGATAATCAGACAGCTGAGATGATACACTYCAGTAACCTTGTAACCACAAAGATGTCCTCAAATTCAGATATTTCTGACAGACTGTGTGGTGTTCAGCAAGCCTTGCCTAGCAGCATCACGAAGCTGTTGTACCCTTCACGTTTCCTTCCTCCAGCTCACTATCATAAACTAAGTGTTTACTTATGGTCATGTTCTCCTTACTAACCTTCCACAAATTTTCTGATATTCTGGGCAAGGCTTCGGACACTGCTGGGAAGGTTCCAAGGGTCTTGTTTAATGTGAAGTCGTAGCCTCTTTGGACAGCTAAGCTTCGGTTCCATTTCCTGCTGAAACTCTAAGCAAAGACAACAACAACAACATCATTCTGTTTAAATTCTGTGCAAATGCCAAATATATTTCTTCCAAATGTTTCACCCATCAAGGAGGTGTCATCTTCTATGATACTTGTCTTTAAGTGAGGGTGACAAGTCTAAAGTATCTCTCTAAGCTCCTGACTTAATTAAAGGGGAGAGACAGCAACTTCCATTTATTAACCTAGACTTCCATTTAGTAAGTAACCTAGACCTGTTAGAAGCAAATGTAGGAAAAAAAATGAACCCAATTCTAAAGATGTTGGTAATCTTTTGAAATTGTATCTTGATAATTGCCACCTACAAACCTTTTACAGTTCACTACAAAATTACTTAACAAAAACACAGTTTAGACAAGAATAGTTCAATTAATATGCAAATCTAACTTGCAGCAGAGAACACACTCCAACAAAATACTCAGAAAATTAATCTTAATTCAAAATTGTTTACTGCCTTACTGCCCAGGCTTTTCAGCTAGTCTATCCCTCAAATCATGGAAAATGCTCCTCACTCATGAGTCCAGTTAAGACTGTAAATAAAATATCTGGCTTGTCCATATCTTTTGTCTAACTGAACATTCAATGCAAGGATACACTTTGTTGTACAAGACTGACAGGTACTCAGTTTAAAACCATGTGGAATACAATTTGCCCTGTACCCAAATTATAGAAAAAGGTGATGGGAGGGTAAGGGAAGACCAAGAAAGAGGAGGCTATACCAAGTTCCTCACAAACTCATTGCGAGGCAAGTACAGGAGATTTTGTAAGGGAAGATCGGTGATGTACAATAATTATGCTGTATTTGCTTCAGGAGGTTTTTTGCCTATTTTCAGCTTATAGATGGCAAGAAGGCAGATCTTCATTAGTTCTTTGCTGAAAGATATATGCTGGGCCACTAAACCCACTGTACAACTATACATATTAGCCATCAAACATTTATTCTCTCATTGTGTTCTTATTCTTTTAAACATAGTTCATTAAAAGAAGCTCCTGTCACTTTTCATCACAGTCTTATGTATATTGTAAGTCTGTGGTGATTGACAGGTGATAGACTTAAGCAACAGGGTAAGTGCTAGCAGAATATCTGAAATTACATGTAGGATGTTTTTTATAGCTATCAATAATACAAGTTTTGGTATTGGTATCAACATTACTATATGAATATACATGAATATATATATTGTATGTATGAATATACATACAATATATGAATAAACATATTTGCATATTATTTACAAAACAGCTTCACAAATAAATCTGTAAAATACTAAAAAAAGCAGTAATTATATAAATTAGAAATTTGCTTCAATACTTCAATAGTCGCAAATGAGACAAAAAGTAAGTAAAAATTCCTGCAAAACATAAAACCTGCTCTTGCTTCTAAACTTCAGCAATTTTATGGTCAGTTCAGTCTATGCTTTAAAGCTAACTTTCCAAAAGGGCTGAAATACACATATGCATCGTGCAGTGAATAAAGAAGCGTAGGAAAAAAAGAACATGTAAGAAAAAAGTTTTCAGCTAAAACTACTAAGATGTACTTAAAAATTTCCAAGAGCAATTATTGCAGAATGTGACAATAATCACAGTCAGTCCTTTAGTAGCCAGCTCTAAGCATGTACAGTCATTTCCATTGGCCCTTTCTCTCCAAGAGCCACCTTTTGATTATGATAGGGAGCCTTAAACATTACCTTGCAGACCTCGACCTGGGGTAAAGTATTTTGTCTGTTCAAAGACCCTCATCACAGCTGGTCCTTTCAGAAGGTTGGCAATTGAATCTACCTGTTGGGATCAAAGTTCTGTGAGTACAATTTTCTTTTCACAGCAAAGATTAGATATCTTTTTCTTTAAGAAATATGAACTAGTGAAAAAAATCAGCTTCAGATTCCTTCTTACCTAATAGCTTTAGTTAATACTCAAGACTAGAGAATGTTAGAACAAATCTAAAGGCCTGTTTAATTCAGTAGCTTTGAACCATTTGCAGTGAACAGAAGAACAAAGAATCAATACATACCATCCAAAGAAACAATGGAAAGCAAAAGTAAAAAGAAAAAGAAGTATTTGCTATAGATATTTTAGCTCAAACGTGGATATTACTATTAAATTCATGAAAAATAATCTCATACTTGACCAAACAGATGTTCCAAGCAGCTATGGAGTTTATCCTGTTTATCATGAGAGATTCGAACACTTATGGGAAGCTCATCACCTGAAAAATATTTTTAAATTAAAAATTGTTTAGAAATTTCAGTTTATTTCCCAGAATCCTTAGAGCTTGGATAATCTGCTGTGAACAAACACCATAGGCTTTCACGACTTATATCCACTATGGCTGGAGGCACAGAAACACCAGCCTGGTAAAGTATTATCCAGAAGCCTATGTCATGCTCTACACTCTCTCTATGTATTTTGCATTAAAGAGTCACAGGATAAAATATAGGAACAATTTTTAGAGAAATAATTCCAAATTCTTTTGTCCTAGATACTAATCATAAGATTAAATAGCTAAATAGCCCAAATCATTCCCATTTCCTAAATCATAACCATTCACTATTTTTTTTTAAATAGGGACTGATGTTTCAGTACTTTACCAAAAATTCAGTGTCCAAATGCTGAATGTAGTATGAAGCTGTAAATACCATATAAAGAACTATTTGATACACACAGGAGAGAATCTCTCTTATGTCACTGACTTTGTTCTCTTGCTCACTCAACCACATCATCTGAAATCTTTTGCAAGATGACCAAAACTGAGCTTAAAACTTTTCTTCCACTTCACTGTAGTGCTGGATAACAAGCTGCCACTTTTCAAGCCAGAAGTTTGGGGTCAGGGCTCCTTTTTCCTTTTGTCAGTGAGACACTTAAATAGCACTCGTCTCTCCCCCTTTTTTTTTTAGCTCCCTCAGATGCTCTTACAGACARTTCTAATCCTTCTCAGTCTTTTTTATTTTAACAGATGGAGCACAGTGCAGAAGAGCCCTGCTCTGGAGTTAACCAGGTCAGCCTTGGAACTAGAAGAAAATTAGGTCATCAGGAGAGTGGCAGTTTAACTGAGTTGCAGTATTTATTAACTTAAACACTATATTTGGGCTTAGCTTGCACACATATATTGTTCTAGACACCTTAGCTGGTACCTCAGCATGATGCTGGACAGTGACAGATCATGTCATTTGTATTTCAGGTTGAAGATAAAGGCCCTCTGTCTCCTCTTGTATTAATACTTTCCTTCATCGTTTTACTGTCTATCTGTGACACCCTACATGCATTATTTCTTGCAAACAGAATTTTAAAGATTAGACTGACTGGAAGTGCAAAATTCACATGGTTTCTTAGATACTTTAAATCGTGTCATTAATATTTTATTATCTCAGTTGAAAATATCTCTCCTGATATTATCGGGGCAAAATTTTCTTTTCTAAGCCTGTCTCAGTGGTGGCTTACATTCAATAAATATGCCCAGTTCTTTCTTTTCCTAAGTCATTCCTAAACGATAAACTTCCAGTTTAGAACAAATATTTTTATTATTATTAGTCCCTAAGTACATGACCTTGTACTCCATGKAGTTAAATTCCATCTCAATTCTGTTAGCAGCTGCATTTATTTAAATTCAATTTGTCATGGTATAAACAAGAATGTGCTTCCACGCGGTGTCACATTCCTTCCTACAAATATAGACAAATATATCCTGCATTCTGGGTCCTGGTGTTGTCTGGGAGAGCGTTGCATACTTACCTAAAATGCTCCTTGCTCTGTGCCATCTAATGCATTCTCAAGGTCAAGGCATGAAAGCAGTTAAAAACAGTCCTTCCCCATGAGCTCTAACTAGTTCAGCCTATTTACAGACTTTCTGGAATGTTGGCTCTCTTTCATAGAGGGATTTTTAACTGCAGCACTGGCTAAGCAGAAGCAAATGAGACACTTCTATTACCAGGGAGAAGGCACTTTTAAAACAAGAACTGCAAAACTGCAGGGCAAATGCAGAGAATAAAACTGAACAAAAGGAACTGGTGACAGATTCATAGGTGGCTTTTCTGAACATACCTGAATCCATTTCATCACTGTGAAAGTACGAACTGCACTGACTGCTACAAATGCTGGTGAATGAGGCAATGGAGTTCCTGTTGCTGTTGCAGTCACTTGGAAAAAATAAACAACAATAAAGAAACAAAAAGGAACATAAAGTTACGTTCTTTAACATTGGTTCTGTATCAAAACTTTCGAAATTCTTTGTTATTCCCCAGTTCTACTTTAATGAGGAGATGGTCCATGTACTTCTTTACACGTAATTAAATTTAGGCTAGCATATAATTTGCAGCAATGGTTCAGTCTGATTTCAGACTTATAAGGCCAGACTCCCAAAACACAGATGATTCAATTGATCCCTTAGCTGTATATGTGAACATACARGCTGAAAACACACATTTTCAGTGCAAAATAATCAACTTTTCTTAAACACATGACAGTTTTTGGAGCTATGGGCTCAAATGTTTCAGTGACATCACAAATTCTGTACTCCTAGTCTTCCTAATTCGCATATGCATAAGACAAATAACATCTTCTGGTTTATGACCTGCTAACTAGAGTTCAAAACAAGTTCAGAAGAGATTGGATCCATTTCATCGTAACAAAAAAATACCCATCAGCTACTTTTCCCTGTCAGCCAAAATAAAGCTTATGATCCCATTTCTTCCAACCATTCACTGTGTGAGAGATGTGCAGGTTTTCACAACTACRGCTTCTCTGCAAATTTTCACACATAAAATGCTGCCCACATTGGTCTAAGAAGGAGATTTGGAGGTTAAAATATGTATGAAGAACAGGTGAGGATGAGCTAATCCTTAGGTAGGATATGAATATTTCTACTTTTGATGCTATAGCCTCATCTTTTCTCTCAAAAATCAATTATTCTGTACAGAAAGTAGATGAACAACATGACTGCTTCAACAGCATAAACAGAGAAAAATGTATCCTTTTGCACAAAAAAAAAAAATCCTATCAGGATAAATTTAAATTCAAAGTCTTCAATATGGGAGTGATTTAGTCACATCACGAACATCGTTTGGCTTTTTTGTACATTAAAGCAATTAACCAGCAGAGGGAGTCTCAAAAACCCAAGATAATGTCTAAAAAATATACCTAAAGCACATTTATCCTCAGTGGTCTGTTTTTTTGTTTTTTGTTTTTTTTTTTTTTTTTATGAACTATATGCAACATGGTGTATATATCTATATACCAAGTATACATCTTTTTTTTTTATACCTAATGCTGCAGGTATCTTATGTACCCAAGAGATGTCCTAGTTATCTCTTTCTTTCTGTAAAAATATAAATGATTTTTTTGGCATACTGAGTTACATTTTGTRGATAAGGTATATATTTTGGACCTGCAGCCAACTATATCTATGAATGAGAAGAATGTTTTAACAGTAGCAAGATGCTATAATCATGCCCATTAAATGGGTGAAAAGCCATCAGTTACAACATGTTCCTATCAGAGAGTGAACAGTCCCAAGAAGTATTAAGAATTTCTGGCTGGATATTAAGAAACATTAAGAAATGTTTTCTAATTCTATTTGCTTATGAAAGTCTCTAAAGGGAAAAGGAAGGTCACTCAAAACTGGATTGTGCAAAGCATGAGAAAATAAAACTTAGGAAAATGAGAAACAGATCAGACGTTACTGCTTAGCTGTATCATTCCCTGGTTTTATGGGGTTGTATTGTAGGGCTTAGAAGGAGGCTGCACAACACAAAATGAGCATATTCTAACAATTAAAATTAATCTACTAGTTTCCAATACTATCCCTAAGAATATATTGGGATCTGTTGATTTTAAGTATTGCCTGAAGGAATTTAAAAGAAATTAAGAAAAAAAAAATCCAATCTCACTCTAGCGAGTGTTTTAAGCTCACAGATTTTATCAGTTTTCTGCACACAAATCCTAAATTTCATTATTCCCAAACACACATAATGAACTACAAAAGGCTACAGAAGAAATGGACTAAGAAGCGGTATCAGAATAAAAGGCTATTAAAAAAAAAAAAAAAAAAAAAAAGATCAACCACATCCTAGAACTGCATTTTGTTCTCTATATACAAATCTTGTACCAACTGGGAACTTCAAGAATTCCCAGATTTTGCTAGCACAGACCACTGGAGCAACTCCTGCACAGATGACGCATCTTGGACATGGAGAAACTCCTAAATGCACTTCAGTTGGAACTGCACTCTGCTTGTGTTCACTTCTCTACACCATCTCTACATTTATTTCTCTTCAAATTTATATGTATATTTCTGTTCCTACCTCTGATTACGAGTTCACATTTGTCAGTCTGCAGTAATCAAATACTATCTCACGAAATAAATCTCAGCAACATAGGGGTTCTCTGTAGAAAAGCTATGACTCTGTATGGATTTATTTCTTGAGCATAATAATGTGCTACAATAATAAGCAAATAACAAACTCTTATTTTACTTGCAGTTAAAATTTTAATTTAGATTTTATATCAAGTGTATTTAATTTTTATTCCTAAGCAACAGAAAAAAAAAATCTATATGTTTGCTGTAATTACTCCTTCCTTTAAAAAATCTTTTCATTTTAATTCAATAAAAGTAATGCACTGTAAATTCTATAGATGCAATGATGCTACAGTTTTCAGCAAGGAAGAAGACAGGGAAAACAGGGCTTGTTTTTTTTTTTTAAACCAGCAAGAGTGGTTGATTGCTATCTGGCTTTCCACGGTAGATATTTGGGTCCACTTTGGGAAAAATCCTTAAAAAAACATTTCTCTGTTTTACGTAAGATTCATAGACAACCTAACAGAAAGCTTTACARCTCTGACTGTGATAGGCCATAAAAGTTAAGGAAACTGAGATCTAATAAGTAATCTGTAATCATAAATAAAAGAAAGTCAAAAATAAAGATGCATATCTTGTAATGTATCTTGATGCTCATTATTCCTCTGCTAGAGATGTTAGAATCATTTTATTTTGATATGTCTCACGACCACTTGAGCATCTAAAACTCTRTAGGCTTCATTTATTTGATGGACAAACAAAAATATTACTAGTGGAATTACCTGTAAGAATCCCTGTTGCTGATGGTGTCATGACCAGAATCTTCCTGTTCATCGCCTGTCATGCTGAAGCAGACCTTCTTTCCATTCCTCTCTCCCTTTTCATTATCACTGTCTGCTGGCACTAAAGGCTCAGGTGTTTTACGCTCTGATTTRGGAGAATATGTTATTGAAGAAAGAAGGCTGCGAGATAGAAGGAGGGGGGGCAAAAAATACATGTTTTTCAAAAGACAACCAACAGCATAATAGCATTTTTAATCAACATCCTCCAACAAAATAGCATAATGCTTCTTTGTTATTATTCTTCTAAAATATTCAAAGAGAGTATTTTAATTCAGTCTGTATCTATCTGAAACAAAGGGAGAAGGGACACATTATGYTATGAAGAAGTATAACAGATTATTGTTCATGCCTTCATCAGTAAAACTCATTAGCATTACTAAAAACACAATCTGGTATTCTTCTTAGCAAAGAAATGTAGCACAGGTTTGAACACTTGGGGTCACATTTTTACATCAATGTAAATTCAAYTGAGCGTGAAACTTGTACCTTTCTGTACAAGTCAAGAAACCAGCTGTGAAAAACTTGCATTTCCGTAACTGCTTCTGTGTAAAATATACAGCCTGCCTCACTCCCATCCTAAGGCATTTTAAGAAACATTATAACTGCACTTGTGTATTTCCAATATTCAAAATGTCTACCCACTCTCACTAATAAAACTGATAATTAATCTACAAGCTTCCCAGAAGAGCACAAAAGTGACATTTAGTTAAGGAACTGGAGAGAAGATTAAAAACTGCTCTTCTAAAAGGAGAAGAGTAAAACCTACTGGTTCTGGAACATGCACAAACACTGGATGAAGAAGAYTCATGTTCTAGAGCAATGAATTCATACTGAGAATGAGATATGCTAATTTATTTTCAAGGTCAGAGCAGCTAATATGGACAGTTCTACTTTAGTCCTTATTAATACCACTCTCCAGTAGAATGAAGTTTTCAAATTAGTATTTAGATTGGAAAGGTAGCATTTTTCACTTAAGATCATTTGAACAGCTCAGTATAGCTTTCTAGAGATACAAGTGCTAACAGGAAAAAGACAGATGCAAATTTTTATCCTGCATACAGGAAAAGATTCTTATCTGATATCTTAAAATAGATAATCATGATAGATATCATAAGATAGAAAGTTATATTAACTATAAAAAAAAGTAATTTTTCTGGACTTTCAACCCACCCACCATCTAMACAGACCACCATCTTCTGGGCTACGTTGTGCCTTAAGGATTCTTAAGCTTCCCATCAGTGTGAAACTCCATTCTTTTCCATAACATAAGGTGCTTGATAGGATGATGATGGGAAAGAAGATAGGTCAAATAGTTTACTGCTGTGTTTGGGTTTGATCTACCTGTTCTATCAGACATGTTCTTGAATATGTCCTAAAATAAATGTGCTAAGAAAATGCGGACMTTATATTTGCAAAACAGACTACCAACAGAATATACTGAATAAGACTTTACAGGAGATTAGTAAAAAAAATTATAGCAGATCATTCTATCCCAGTTCTTAAAAACAACAATCCATTTTGGGACATCCTTACAGTGCTGCTTGCTGCCAGGAATTAGGAGATAAGGACACGCATTAATCTATACTCTTTCTTGTACTYGTGTTATCATCCTGTGTTGGGAAAGCAAAGTAGGTTTTGGTCTGTTCCATTCTGGTATTTCTCATGGATCTTGTGTTGTAAGACAATAATCAAGAATAAGAAACAGACTAAAAATGTAATGAATTTCAATTTCAGACACCAAAATCATCTTCCTCTGACTCATTATTCATCCAGATACAGAAAGACTATTATATCCTGTTCTTCTAATTGACTGTTTAGTCAGTGCTGCCAAGATCTCCATGGAAGACTGATGCAAGTAGCTGGATCTTTTCGTAAAGGAGCTTTTCATTTTCTCCCTACGGGCAGGCTCTCTTTCCAAGGAAGATCTTTTTGTTCTCAACTATTAKGAACCAAAGTTGATAGTCTGGATAACAGTTCTGGTGCTCCTTATTCCTGAGATCAGTGAGGTGCCTTAGAAATCTGATTCAGGGACTCTAAAAAACATGCATATAAAAGAGATCTCTAAATACCACAGTAATCATACTTTAAGTTTTCTTTGATTGTTTTTTAACAAAGCATTTGCACACTGTATCTTCTTAGGGAYGGAACAACTCTAAACCAAATTTTCTTCAATGTCCATCTCTTTTTCCATTGAAAGGACAAATATAAAGTTCAACCAAAAAAAAAAAAAAAATCCCAATTAGGACTAATTCCCAAGTAGAACTAATTCCTGCATGTAATCCTAATCTACACAATTTTTAAAATGTATCAGAAACAAACAAAACCTATGGTCCTCAAGACAATAAAGGACATCCACAACCAGATTAAAAAAAAAAAATGAAGTCTCTTGTATACCCCCAACAGATATCTTTCCAAAAAAAACCATGTAGGATCCTGAGAATTTTGGCTGCGTGTCAATCAAGAATACAACAAAAAGTAACCTTATGAAAAAMAGCGTGAAGAAACACTTACTTCTGCCTAGCACCTAGCATCTGTGGTTGACATCTTTCTCAATAATRATATTAAGGAAGTACTGTAACACTTTTAAAAATTCTTGAACAAGCAGTCATTTTGAAAGGCTATAGTTATGTCTCTCTTCATCAGTACTTCTTTTTCAACCCCATCTCATGGGGCTCATGGGGAGCCATGGTGAAGATAATGCTAGAATTACTCAATTCTCTCAATTCTCAAGGATGTATAACATCCACATCCTACAGTCCATAAACCCCTACAGATCTGTTTTTCAGGTAAAACACACTAGTTCTTCAGTTCGCTTTCTTCCAGTAATATATAGGAAAGATTGGGTAGATAACACTGCCCCTAAATTTTGGGGGTAGAGACTAGCATTGACTTTATATACATATATCTGAATAAAGATTATTCTTGTATTTTCTTTTTTCCCTTTGAGTCCTAACACTTCTCTCAAGAGTTAATTAATTAAGAATAGTTGTGTTCTAATACAGTACATTATGTACTGCTTTGCTGCTCACACCCAGATAGTCCTGCCTTCCCACATTCCTGTTCAGGTCTTTTAAGTAGATCCCTTGGGTATCCTGTTTCCTGCAYAGAACTGCTTTGCTCCACAATAATTATACACTGCTACTCCACTCAAAGCCTGAGAGGAATAAAGCATGAAAAAAATGAATATTAGAATAGTAAAAGGTATATTTTCCTAAATATATCTGTGTACTTCTTACACACACTGCTCCCAGGTCAGTGTCTAGGAACTTTATGAAGGCATAAAAAGCTAATCCRGACACTCTTATATTTTCTCAAATGTGTGACTCACAAATTGAATAGATTCCTAGGCATAGCATATTTACTTGYGTATGAAAGAAAGGCTCAGAAGGTCCTTTGTTTACAAAGTTACTTTAAGAAAGGCACGGACAGCAATGCTTTCTTTAAAAATTTTAGGCCATACTTTTTTAAAGCATTACTGCAATAGTATGACAGTATTGTAATACATTACTTATTTTACTATTACAATACTAGAAAAAATCACTACTCAAAAAAAATAGAAATAGTGAAAACATTAGGAATTCAAAATACATAGAGAAGCAATGATAGACACCACTTTACAAAAYTGCAGTTCATGAAAGAACAACTTTTAAAACCCAACATTTCTGTTATTGATATTTTTAAAAAGAATTACTTCTGACATCTGTATGACATATGGGACTCTTCAAAACTGAAAGACTTATCATTCTTCTTCATCTTCATTCCAAGCGAGCTAATAGCCCAGCAATAAGAACATTCACTTCACAATTGGAAATTTAACWTATAAATCCCTGACCTAAATTAAGTTGAATCGCTGAGTGACTTTGGATCTCTCACATAATATGTCTAWCAAATTAACAGTATTCTTAAGGAAAAAAGGACTTGCCTACAAATTCACCTCCAGGACTCTTCAGCAATAAGGAGTTAAATAAAACTATGTTTTGGATCTCAAGCCTTTGTTTCCTTTCCTAATAAAAACTTAGATGACATGTGGACTTCATATTCCTTTAACCTCAAAACTATTGCAATTTCAACATTCTAAAGAAAAGATAAAAGTGCAAGTGGCAAAAAATCAGGGGCACTGAAAAAAAAAAACATTGATGCAAAAAAAAAAAAAAAAAAAAGTCCAAATGGTATCGTTTACTTACTCATCTATCTGACAAACACATGTTTCCACCTCTTTCAATGCAGCTTGCAATTTSAGTAACAGTTTCTGATACACATCTTGAGTTTCTAAATCTTCTTCTTTTAAAAGGTACCTCAGCCCATGCCCCTCTTGCTGACCAAGAGACTGTCCAGACGGGGCAGCCATGGTGGTAATGGTATGCTGGACATAAATCATGGGATTCAGGTTACCTGGAAATAAACCAAACAAGTTTACCTCAATATTTTTTTTTTTCAAAATAAACTTTGAAGTGAGAAAAATGACTAACAGAAGTTGAAATGTTTTCCTAATCAAATCAGGTAATTTTGCATATGATTTTGCTTATCAAAGACAAGTTTATTCAAGGAAAGAATGTTATCCAAGGAAAGAAGTTACAACTATCCTTTATCATGTTTTAGTCTAATCTAAATATTGAAATCTAAATATTGAAAATGTCTGATCCTTAGTTTCAGCATTCAGGACTTACATTTTAGGTCTATATCAGAAACAGGGAAGTGTTTCTTCTTTCAAGCTCACCTCACTTACCTTGATCAGTGTTTTTATTTTCTTTTTCATGTGAAGAATGTTTTCTGCTGTCTAACTGAACGCCAAAGGCACTACCAAGCGATGTTGAGGTTTTAGGGTAAGAGACCTCCATCACATTGATATGGCAGTTGGTTGGACAGAAATCACTGCTGTGAAGTGGTGAAATCTTTGACTTAGCTTGTTTGAAGGTAGGCCAAGCTCTGTTTTTTAATACTCTTGAAAACTAGAAGTGAGAAGGGAAACAAATTTTTGATTAACAGTTTTTGACATGTCAGCTCTTGCAAAACCTGAGCACCTGTCTAGAAAAGAAAATTTTGAAATAATTCAAACATCCTGGCTAGATTTGACTTCATAATTTCCACTTTTCTCTAGAAGTAAAGAAAAAATATTTCTCATTTTAGATTTTTTGGATTTGGCTTTTTGAAATTAATGATACATTTTGCAAATGTAAATAGTGTTGGAAAAATGGGAGTGTATTAATTTTCCTTTAAACATAATATGACTTTTCCTGAAGAGGAAGTCTAGAAATTCTCTACAGCTCAGTGCTGTAGATAGATATTTTTAAGTGAATATCTAATAAAAATTTCTGAAACTTTGCCTGAGGCTATAATAAAGACAGAATTGGAAGCTATAAGTTATGAATTTCATACACTCAGAGGGTGAAGATGATAAGATATAACAGCATAAAAACACCATATTTTGCAAACCGCTACTGCCACCCCTTCTCTTTACCATAGGTTTTATCAGCAGTGATTTTTATTTCTTTTCACATTTATGGTCTAATTCTAACCCAATGCTTGGTCATGTAGCCCTCCTTACAGCCTCTGATTTTTTTGTGAATTTTTGTGAACTTAGAAGTATTTATTCCTTAATGGGAAGATGCCAACCCAAAACTGCACAGACTGACAGATCAGGACAGTGAGAAAATACACTAATGTCAGAATCATGAAGCTCATCAGATCAGGCCTTCTTACTGAAAAACGAGTTTGTTACCCTGTGCACTAGACGTTTACTCAGCAAAGAACAGGTATTTTGCTTGTACTACTGTACTACTTCCCCCCAAATCACTCCCAGAAGCATCATTTTCTTCCTGTCTTAAGAAATGTTACTTCACACCTTTTGCCATCTCTGATGATGAATCTACTATGAATAAACAAGAAAGTCTTGTTGGTCACAAGGAGAAATTCTGCAATAATGTGAGTGCTTTGCAATGCAATTTGATATTAGGGAAGAATTTCATGGAAAAGTCATAATAAGCTACAAGTCAATGGCATTTTAATCACAGTACCTTTCCAGTCAAAATCCTGCAGAGACTTCAGTTATGGAAAATAGCTCACACATAATAATACCTTCAAGTTAACTTGAGCAGCTTCTTGTCTACTAAGTGTCAGCATAAATTCAATGGKATTTAAATCTGTATTCATTTTAATGACACATAACTTGACCTTGATGAACATTTCTGTAAAACTGATCGATAAATTGCATTTAAACATTTACATCAGAACAGGATTTCGAAGATTACAGGAAATCCCATTATGGAATGGTTCCAAGGCCAAAGAATGTACAAATAGTTAAAAAGGGCACTAAGGACACTTAATGATGAAAATGTTCTTGCAAGCAGTACATATTTCACATCTGAATCTCCCACACACCCGGTTCCACTGAGACCAAATGCCTGGCTACGATTTAATCGGGTCATAAGTCAGGCCCCAAATTCTTTACATTTACATGTTGAGAAACATCTGGGGCTCATGGCACTGGCCTCAAACATAAGTAAAACACTGTGATAATAAGAATAGGAGCTGCAGAAACCTACTGGGTTTCTATTTATAGAATTCCGACTTCCACAGTGAAGCCACCAGCCAGGCTGAGGCCCCGGCACGCAGAAGGACTTCTGTTACCATGGTTACCTCTACCTTGCCAAGAAGGGGACAGGGCTATCCCAGAAATCTAGTGCATTATTAATGGTCATTAAGATACAAACTGTAAAACTATTAATTTTTGAGGAGTTTGAAAGTTCTAAAAGTGCCATTTATATCAAAAGGATCTGTTGCTAGACAGTGTAAGCACCATGGAAACTTCCTCACGGCTGTTTATTTCACATCCAGTTTAACAGTAAAATTTCACATATTGCCTGGGACTCTTGTAAAAGACTGTACGTGCTCGAGAGTTTTGTTGTTGGGAAAGGTATAAACATACCTACAGGTTACTGTAAATACACTTCTCTGAATGTCAAACTAAGGAATATCCTTTTGAAGAAAAAAATATTTTGATTTTGACCTGATTATTACAAGCCAAGAGGTTTTTAACTCAGGCAGACATCTGAGAGCCTGGATGTTTAGCACTGTTTATCTGCTATATCAACCTGCTTTTGATGTCCCCTTCTGCCACCAGATTCCTTTGTTTATTCCAGTTCTTCTTAGAGAGACCAAGAGCACCCTGAAAAGTCTTTGGAAAGCAGCTCTTTGGCCATGGTAGCTTAATTATATCTATCTCCTTTTCCCTTGGAAAAAGAGGACAGGCCCATCTCCTTTTCCCTTGGAAAACAAGGAAACATTATGTGCCACCTTTCAGAACTGTGTGAAGTAAATATATTTTTTTTGCAATTAATTTTTGCATAGTGGGTCTCAGAACAGACCAATTTGCACATGCCATAGGTCACATCATGAGCAGAGATGACACAGGGCAGGGCCAGTTCTAAGGGACAGCTTCAGGCCTAGTTCAAACTAGCTGCAAATCCTGATAATTAGGTTGATAGTGAAGAGGAAGCACTGGCTGGCATGAGAAACTAAGTTTGCATTAACAAATTGACAAACCGCCAATTAATTAATGTTCTGCTTAGCTAGACAATCGTAGAGAGATAGCTAAAGGTCATACTCCAGGTATTTATTCACTCTTATCTCATTAATCTGGACCTTGCATATCTGAAAGTCAGCACCTTTAACTTATTTCTGTACTGTAAATGTTTTATTAAGCCAATGTAAACTTAACAATGTACAGAGCTATTTTAATAATCTTGCTAGAAAAAAAAAAATCACAATTTGAAGACAAATATAAGACAAATTGAAAAGACAAATATAAGGCTATCAATTTCGATATTTAAAAGTAAGGTTCATTAGAAGAAAAAAATAATTAAACTGCTATTGTTTAATTTTTGGGTAACATTTTGGCAAATTCATTTGGCAAATATTCAAGAAAGCCAGGCCTTTTGTGGGMAAAATACAGTTGACTGCATCCACAGCTAAATTCTACAAACAAGACAGATTATGATCTAGTTGGTGTATAAAACGAGATAACARACATAAGATAGTACATATAATATGCATAAAAACTTAGTTTATGCAGTTATACAGTTTCGCCATTCAAGTCTCATAATAGCTAAACTTTCATCAACATTTCTATTACTGTATGTCTGCATTTTGAACAATATTTCAAACAATACTACATTTGCCGTTTTTTCCCCCAAAAGACAAATATCATCAAACTGCGCACACGGTGGTCATACCTTTTTATAACTAGAGATTCTCCGGCAGATATGTTCAATTTTCTCGCTACAAATGACACTGAATTTACTCTGAAGCTCAGTGGGGATTACTTCGTTTAAGGAATTCAGGCTGTTGCAATTCTGCACAAAATGCTCATCGCTTCTTGCCAGTGCTTCAAGAATCTACAGTAATTCAAACAAAGGCAGTAAATTGTGAAATAAGATTACCACAGTAACTCCTTACTTGTCATCCCTTATAATTAAAGCAGGGAAGGCTGATAATCAGTGGTCTTTTAGAATCACAGACAATGCTGCATAACAAAAATTAATGACACCTGGGAAGCCTTGACCTGACTCCCTCCCTCCCAACTCACACTCCGCATTGCTCCAGTCCGGACCCTGATGCTGATTCCCTCCCACGCACCGAGCAATTGGTTGGTACTTTCTAGACTAGGTCCACCAATTTTATTTTAGGTGCTGTTCATGCCATATTTTAATCAGGTCAAAAAACAAAACAAAACAGAGAGATCATCATGGATGGTTATAAAAAAAGTATAAAAGTTACAGTTGTCTTTTTCTGCCTCTGTGGCTTTTCGARTGTGTTTCTGCATACACACAGCTTGCTTCTACCTGAAGATACAAAAAGACAGACATCCTTCTACTTGTTACTCTCTCCCTGAAACAAATTAGAGAAGTGGCACATGCCATTCTGATGAAATTAAGCAATTTGGAAACKACAGCCTACCTTCAAAAAGATGTCTAACTTATTTTGCTTCCTGAGTACACAATCATTCTTCAAAACATCCAAGGAACAAAGGTGACCAAAGGTGACCCAAGGGTGACAATTAAAAGGTATTAAGTTAAATAATATAATCCAATGAATCAGATTCATTTTTAATCTTCCTTCTTATTAAGCACAACAAAAACTAATACATAAAAAAATTGCTTCATACCTTAGCGGTCAAGCTGAAAAACCCCTTTGGTTCAACCATTTTCTCCAACACGTGGCATTTTATTCCAGCTGTGCTGTCATACTCATAAACCACTCCATACTCCAGATGAACATTGTCAACAGTCAGACTCACATGATCTTTCTTCCCATCAATTATTGCCATAGTGTTAAACTTGTCAATTACCTCTAAAATAAAGAAAATAACGCGATCAATTCTGAAGCAGGCTAGCCRTTAAATAAAAGAAAGAGGTCATAGGCAACATTTCTAGAAATAGCTATGCTTTGATTGCTCCTTAAAAACACACACACAAGCTACTAGCTGCATGATTTAAAATCAGAAAGCCAGTAGGTTTATGGATGCTAAAATATGAGATTGATAAGCAGGAGCATGACAACTTCATGGAGCTCAAGAAGCATAAACAGAGAGGATGCAAAAGTTTTCCTTTATAAACAATTACAGTTGAAGGAAAATAATTCAGTTTTACTCATAATGTAGAGAAGTAAAAAAGCAACAAAAGAAATGGTAATGGTAAGAAATAAATGAGAAGAAAAGGATCATGAAAGCATCTATGATCATTTACCCATCATTTACCCAGAGAACCAAAATACAAGCTATGTATTAACCATCTCTTTAATTATCATCTTTATACATGGATAGAAATCCAGCTTTTTCTAAACATTAAGTATTTGAAAATAAGCTGAAGGATGTCCGATTTGATATATCTCATCCAGTACGCTCACTAATTCATTTAATGTGGCATTAAACGATTTCTACTAGTGAAAATAAATCAGATAATCCTAGGATTGTCACCCCATATATGAAAAACAATCAACTTCTGTGATTCTGAAAGAATCACAGAAGCTTCTTTTTCTGAAAGAATCACAGAAGCTTTTTTTCCTGAAATTGGAAGTACAATTTTCAGAAGACAGCATGTTAAATTTACCTCTTCAGAACACATACAAGAACTGCAAATCCTTATGTAAAGCAAATCTTACAGTCTGTTTATAGTTCTCGCCATGAAAACGAAGGCACTTCCTATACTTTTTGTTGCTATACCAATATTCTGAGCAACAACAAAATAAAAATAAGCAGCACATACCTTCTACTTTGCAATCAAAGGCATCTCCTCCATCATCTCCAGATGGCTTGGTATTTGTTTTCTGAAGATCTTCCTGAGCACTTTCAATACTGTTGTAAACCCACTGTATAGAATCTTGCTAAAGAACAAACACAAACAAAAAATCTTTATCTAAAGCCACCTAATGCATTTAACCAATTTACTTTTTGATTTCAGCATACACTGTTATGAAGCACTAGAAATCTCTGTCAGCATGGCTTGTATCACTTTTATATCCTAGCCAAAAACAACTTCAGACATTTCTAAACAAAATTACATATGGAAAAAGAAAAAAAGGGACAGAAAATATTAAAAAAAAAAAAAGAAGAAGAAAAGCTTTTCCTTCACTTAATTTGCCACATATCCACAGAACTAGCATAGATTATGGAATAACCAACGAAAGGTACACTAGGTCTACTTAATCTACTTACCCACTTGCCACCAGCAAGGAGAATATACACTGCAACCACCACTACTTGTATTTGCCTTTTTAAGAGCTATTTTATTAGTCCTGCTTTATCTTTTTCCCCAGCTTAGCAAAAGACAAACAAAAAGGACAGAATGCCTTTCTCAGGCTACAGAGCCCAGCATGTTATGTCACCAAGTCACTCATAACCACAGGACTTGGTCAAAGGACTACAAACGGCAACCTCACATAATATTCTTTYTCCCCTTACCCTTATTTACACATATGCCCATCACATGTACACCATCCAAGAGGCATCCTCAGCCTCCTCGTAAAATAACCAGATGGGCATCTAATCCCCACAGAGTAACCTGAYACGCTCACTTGCTTTCAGGATCAGCTAYATTCTCACCCTCACCTGGTCCACATCAAGTCACGCTCCCAGCTTACTGGAGACACATGCTTGTGTCTGAGCAGCCCTCAGGGTACAGGGCTGCATGAAGTGGTCTGGCTGCCTGCACCTACTTCACCAGCTGCATGTTTAGCCATCCCTGCTCACACACAAGCAATGCTGTAGAGCTGTTTCACAAACACGTCTGGTTCCAGACAAAACTAGTYAAGATATCTGCTTTCTTCATAACATTTGATATTTATCATTATGGAAGAGGGACAATCAGATACTATAATACTATATACTAGTATTACTATATAATTACTATACTACTTACTATATTACTATATAATTACTATATRATTACTATATAATTACTATACTATATACTAGTATTACTATATAACATATTATRTATGTTATATGTATCTACATGTAGAAGCATATGTGTGTATATGTATATACTGTAGTGTGTGTGTATGCATATATCTAAGTACAGTATAGGGCCTATCAAATATGTCATATACAGAATACATTTCACAAAAAGTGTGCTAGTCAACTATTCATTCCCTCTCCTAACTACATCAGGAAAAAGATGGTGCTATTAGGCCTATCCACAGTCTTTAAAAATAAATTTGTGGAAGTCAAAGTTAAGCAAGGATGACAAAAGTGTAAGCTGGATGTTGCAATTTTCATGCAAAATGCCAAGTATATCGCATTATTTTTTGCTAATGTACAATATTTAGCCACTAACTTTAACCCATGAATCTAAGATAAGTGTAAATTCTTTCTTGATTTGAGATGTAATTTCTTTTTAGGTTTTCTCAATTCAACTATGCCTTATTTTTCACTCAAAGGCAATGGAAATATTTTTTAGAAAGGACTTTAACTTTTAGAGCTCTCTGAGGACAGACAGAACTTACCTGTGCACAAGCCAATCAGCAGAAATGGCTCTGAATCCCACCCCTCTTTGTAGATACATCCGAAAGCTGCAGCTTATCCATGGAGTCTTACACAGATTTGTTATGCATGTGGGCAGCATTAAGCATTATTATCTAACAGATTTGGAATGTGTCAAACGACTCTTTACTTGGATCAACAAACAAAAAGGTTAAATCTGCTTTTTGATTCACATTTAACTTCGCCTAAAACAAGGTCTACCTTCAAGTTWAACCAGAAATCACTATTTCAAAAGTTAATACATGATATAATAGAATATAATCTGCAGCGATGTTCTCCAAAAGCATCACTGCAAAGAAACTGTGTGSCAGGTCATGGAGCAAAACCTACTTAAATTTTTTTTCCTCCAGACAAGACGGAAGGAATATAAACACTGTCCAAGACAGAGTATACTGTAACAACACAGCATATTCACTCTACCAATATGAATCTGAAATGAAGCTTCACACTCCAGGCACGCAAGCAGATTCCTCCCACTGTGAAGCGGACCATGCCCTTTCATCTACGCAACGGCAGACCTCAGGAGAGACTGCAGTATTCTAATTAAGGAAATGATGGACTAATGCATCATGCTAACAAAAATAAGATAAATTCATAGTCATTTTCCAAATAATTAAAATCCAAGATTTCTGAGGAGGAAATGAAATTCTAGACATCATAACACCAGTGGGAATACTACCTTGTATTTCAGTCTAGACAGGAATTCTCATGCATCACTTGATAGTATTACATTTTAAATTAAAGTTTTCTTAGAAATTCTTCTCAATTTGGGGGATTTTATTTATTTGGAATTAGCTGAACCTAATCAGCACCTTTTGTTATTGAAACAAACACTCAGCATAGGAAAAAATAAAGTAAGTATTCCAATATATTACACAAATGGAAGAAAAATCATAGAGAGCAATTTCACACGTGAAGGCATGCGTGCTAGCCAGTCATTGGTTTTTGGATGTCACTAGCCCCTGTAGCAACTCCACAATTGTGCAACACTTAAAACATATATGGTGTTCTAGATCGTTTTCATATCTCTAGACAAAACACCCTCCCTTTACCATAGCACACCTCCCTTTGAAGAATAGGTGAGCTCTGTCTTGATCTGCTAGGTAATAACTTCAGTTCTATGGTATAGTTTTAAAAAAAAAAGATCCAGACAGACCTTTTCATCAATTCCTTATTTGCAAGATGCAGGTCAAATTAACTCCTATTTACAATGCTTATCTTATATCAGTGCAGTAGGTAAGGGAGAATGATTTCAYATTTGACTTTAATTGGATTTTTCTTCTCAATTAACATCCATTGGAAGATTTTGTGAAGTTAATCAATGATGTTGGTTCACAGTTTATGAAAATTTTGCAGGAACTTGGAAAAATACATTATSGAATCCTACTGTTTGTGTTTTTCTTTCTTATCCTTTGATAAGAAAGATATCCTTTGATATCCTTTGATTGAGAAAAAATATTAAGTCAGAAAAACTGCAAGTAAACCAAGTAAAATATACCTGCATTGGGCGCCTGTATTTCCTGCATGCAGTGACGTGAGCAATAACACTTGCATGAGTCTCTTTGCTGACATTAATTCCATTGACTTTGATTATGCATTGGCCAGGGTGGAGACCTGCTGCAGCTGCTACTGTTCCTATAAAAAAATAAAATAAAAGTTGGCAGATTTGTTTTTCTAAACAACTCCTTTAAAGTTTACAGTCCAAGAGCCTCATTCTGTATGAACATCTGCTGCCCCTAGTTCTCCTGGAGTTTCACTCTCTGTGACTCCTAGAAATCGCTTCTGAAGTCAGCCGGCCCCTGCAAATAAACCATGTTCTGTAGCAGATGAGTCCATGCAAAGAGCAATCTCTTGCTGTTTGCATAATTATTGCATTAATGCATAATTATTCTTGCTCATTAGATAATTTTTCTAAAGACTACGTTTTAAGGTGGAAGTTGATTGCCAATATGGAAATGTGGAAAATTTGTCTAAAAGAAAAGGATTATAAAATATCAAAATGGTCTAGCTTGTAATCAAGCTAGGTCTAGGTCATAACCTAGACAACCTTTTTTTTTTTTCTAAATTCTGTTATGTATCTTAAGTCTTTGGCTCTTTAGCTGCTTCAGGCTTATACAACAGAAGCTTTCTGGTGACTGGCTTATAATTCAAAGAAGTATTAGAGCATACAAGAAATTCATGCTAAACAATAAGGGACAAATCCAAATTCAAGGATATTTCCATGTAGCCTATCCATATTTTAATCTCTTTACCAATTCATTTGTAGAAGAAATTGCCTAATTTAAATTAAACAGATAATTGAATCGGCGATTTTATTACCTTGAATAATTTTGAACAAAGAAATAAATATTTGAACAATACAAAATATATGGTTCAGTGATTTATTTTAACAATCAAACAATCACTTTGGGAAAATCCTTTATTCACAGAAAGACTACTATTAGCAGCTGTTTCCACGTCTTTCCAGCATGACTCATCCTGCCCTTTGGAAGGACAACCTGTTGGAACATGACCTTATTTCCATCTTACTGAGCACTCATATCGTGTTGTCTTTTGTTGGTAAAATACTTTGAAAATATTTGACTTCCTTCCTGCAAGGTTAGGTACAGAAGCTTGCTACTACAAAAGAAAAAGCTAAACTGAATATGCAAGGCTGACAAATAGAAAAGCCATGTTATGATTTGCCAGGTGAATTTGACAAGAAAATAATTGAAAAAAAGAAATCTTTTGCACCATTATCAGTTATTACAAATTCCCCTCTCTCTGCTCCCATAAAAATTTACTTAGAAGATTAAAATAGGCCTTTTACATATCTCTCAAGGCAACAGAATTGCTTAGAATTAAAAAAAAAAGTCCCAATTCAACAAAAATTTTTACACRTACATGTGTAAGTGTACACATTTTAAGCATATGCTTAAAATCTTTCAGGCTTAGCAAACCACACAAGCAAGCACTTCTGTGTTATTGAGATTAATGGGAATAAAATATGTGCTTAATGAACAAGGACAGGCAGCTAAATTGAGACCCAGGTGTGGAAATAATTATCTCATTGGCTCAACAGTCTATAGCTTATTAGACTTTCTCCTGAAAATCTAATTTCTGGCACCACAGCCTATAAAAAAAAATTATCTAGCTCTGTCCAAATCTGGCTACTTTGCAGATCATCAGTTTAAGATCCTTAACTACAAAGGAGGTGGAGAAAAAAAAGTCCCACAGTGGCTGAGAATACAGCTTTAGGTGACACTATCATCAACAGCATACAAGAGCAGCAAAAGACACTTTAAATTCTCTTGCTGGTAYAGCAGTCCAGAAAATAGCAAGTTGTTGAACGTAAGTGTTTGACAGTAGGAAGGCAAAACATAGCAAACATGGTAGGTAGAGCAAATATCTGCAATTACTAAGAGAAGATAAGTCACCAGCATCCTTGAAAAGATTTGACAAAAGTATATTTTCTGCAACACACTTGCAGAAGATTGCAGAAACAGCTGGTGACTTAACAAATTAACTGGCAGGAAGYGGATCTCAACATCCATTCCCTGGAGAAGTTAATCTATGAACTGTTTTCTCAATCTGTAAAGGTCACTATATGACCTTACTTAACTTAGTCAAGTATATGCATTCATATAAATATACAGAGAAAAAAAATCAAAAAAAAAAATCAGAAACATCTATCTAAAGAGTAAAAAATAAAGCAACATGAAATAATCTTGTGTTTTTATCTCATATTGTCTGTGAAACCGAAAATGACCATCTAAGATCTAACACTGATTTACCTAAGCCAGGCCATTACGATATGAAACACATCCATTCTGCAGCTCCTATGCCTTACCTCTCCCAACAGCGTGGACAACCGATGGACCAAAGCCCCGGATTTGGAATCCAAGTCCATCTGCAGAGTCAGGAATCTTCACTGTTCTGGAAAAAAAGCAGAGAATGTGCAAATACAGCAAAAGGTGGCATTTTGTTATTTATCATAAAAATGGACTGTAACGACAAGGTTCCAGGGGTATAACACTTATGCTTTCAGCAGAATTGTAATCTCCGATTCAGCACGATGCACATTGCAGGTATTTCACAGGACTTTAATCAGAAATATAAGCAAGGTACAATGTTGGAAGCAAACGGAGAAAGGCAATACAAATTCCTATAGAATTTCAATATGCTGATTAAAGCCAAAGCACAGTTCAAAAATCTCTCCCCAAAAAACTGAAGCTGTTGTTATGATAACAACCTGAAAGCTCAGAGAAGATGGGCAGTCAATCAGACAAGGGCACAGAGCATTAAGATCCAAGATCATGCAAAACATGACGTCCTATGAGCGACTGAAGGTTTTGGAGACTAGATTTCTATTAGAATTTTGTTAATATCTAAATTTCTAATTGGCAGCTTTTACTGAAGATATCGGGGTTTTTTTGAGTTTATCTGAGAAGCTGTACAAATCCCTGAGTTTTGCAAAGAAAGGATTACCTAATGCTCTTCATATGGCATGTTGGCACAGTGCATTATGCCCGTATGTTCTCTCAGGTGTGACAGTAATAAACCTACTGGCATACATAACCTTAACAAAAATACAGTTACAAGAATCAGAATTCACATCTACTCTTCATATGGAAGCCCTGAGTTAACTCAAAACACACCAAGGCTACCAACAAGATAGCAGCTCAGGCTGCAGAAAAGTGGCACAGTTGCATTATTCCTTATCAGAGCTAGGTAGGTCGTGCATGCAGTGCTCTGATTCAACCTTGCAGCCTTTCACTGCGCTCCATTTGCCACTGCTAAATCAGACAAATTTAAATAGAAGCTGAAAAGCAATTTCAAAGCACATTTGAAGAATTCTGTAGTAGGTTTGATTTACAGTTTTAAATAATATCACAGAATTATTTTTTGTACTCCCATTTTATTCTTAGTATACATAGTGTTTTGCATTCAGATGCTATTACAAGACTAGACGGGGCCTAAATCTCACCAGAGTCTCTAAATCTTTAAAAAACATTCAGATGTTCTTAAATTTCTTAAATTGCTCTTAAATTTAAATTTGTTTTTAAAATACATAAATTTCCATTTGGTATATTTCCAAAAACATTGAATTTTGAATATGATCTATATTTAATATTTGTATATTATATAGAATATATTGTATGTAATATATATATACACATAAATGTAAATATAATTGAATAAAAATAAAAATAGAAATAGAATATATTTAGTATTTATATTGTATATTAGCTAAAATTACTACAATCTAGATAGCGTCATTTTGAAAATTCTTCCTGAACATGCTAATGGGTTAAGCATGAAAGACCAGCACTGGCCATTTAAAGTAAGATTTCACAATGGGAAAAAAATGTCTCATCTGCCCACACAGCTGTGCTAGTAGTAGCTTCTAGTAGAAAAGCAGACAGTATGGAGAATAAATTCTTAAATTTCTCAGGGAACATTCACTAGATCTCCTCTGTCAGCCTAGACATTCACACACATTTCAAGTGGTGAGCAGTATCAGAAATGAAATTCATATCTACACAAAAGCAGAGCCATATTTTGCCTTGTACACTTGCTCCAACACCTTCTGTTTGCATGTGAATGCCTGCACGTGTGTGTGTGTGCCTCTTGTAGTAGTAGTAGTAGTAGTAGTAGTAGTAGTAGTAGTAGTAGCAGCAGCAGTAGCAAAAAGTTGATCATCAAACCAGATGATCATCAAACTCATTTGATGATCAAACCAGATGATCAACTTTTTGCCCTATTTTGCCCTTTGCTCTTTTCCTTGTTCTGCACAAGGCTGTATTTCTCAAGGTATTTCTTTCCTAAAATGCTTTTATTAAAGGAGAAATACATTAGCATTGTACTGCTTAACCAAAGCCATCCTAAAGGCAGTGTGAGTGTGCTAGCTGGCAGCAGGGCATGGGTTCCTCCCGACTCTGTGAAATCTCACCAAATTTCTCCCGCTGCTGTTGCTCATTCTCCTCTTTCTCGRGTGCGTATGCAAACCAGCAACAAGTGTATTCACTTTACTAGACTTGGGCATTTGAACGCCTACTGCGTTCAGACATCAGGCCTCACTTCATATTTCTTTTCCATTTGAAGAGTTGCATTGAGGTAGCAAGGGTGAAACCTCTGCAGAGAAATGCCTCCCTTACGTAAAGATGGGGAGTTGTTTACTTGTTACTCTTGTTTATACGACCGGCACAGACACGGAAGAGGCCCATCAGATCCCAGAGTCTAACTTCTGCCAAACCAGGAACTAATCCCCAGACAGAGGAATTTATTTTATAAACAGAGGATCAGATAAGTGATAAAATCTGCCCATATATTCAAAGAAATCTCATTTATATTTGCAGTTTCTGCATGTACTTGAAGTGGTAGAACTGAAGACCGAGAGCCCTGCTGTTCTGCTTTTCCTGACTGACAAATGCAATAAAATAATCAGTTTGCTTGGCTTTAGCAAAGTAAGATTAGATACAAGCCTTGGTGCTTTGATTCTATATCTATGTTTTTATTTTTCCATGTTACTATTTCACTTGATCAGATAACTTTGTTAAGTTATCTTTAAGAGGCATTAAAAAGAACTAAATAACATCTCAGTAACAGCATTTCATCTCCAGCATTTATAATAAGCTCACAGTAGCGCTGTTTAAAATTTCTCGTCTCATAAAATTCACTTCGGCTGCAGCTTTTAAACCCCCACCGTGGCATGACAACTTACTCTCGTGGTTTAGTGCTCACAAGAACCCGTAGGGGCTTCCTGCTGTTTAAACATGCTTTCAGGAGGCAATCCACTTCACTGAAGGGTCGTAGAAACACCAGGTCACCATTGATAGCAAAGATTTTTTTCCCAACTTCCAAGCCTGACATCTAGAAAATAAATATCAGTTGTTTACATGTTTGCTGCTTATAATCACCAATGTTATATTTTCTTCTGCTTGCATGCAGCCACAATAGGACTAACAACACATACATCTTCTTTATATTTTTTATGTCTTCTTCATATAAAGTGCAGAGAAGACTAACAACACAACATAGCTCTAGAATTAGTTATTTTGATAAAGAGCAGACTGTAAACGCAAATATGAGGAGACCAAAGTAAGTCCTAATCTTAATCAAGGGTTTATGCCCACTACTGTATCAGTTAATACTTACAATAATTAACACATCAGCTTTGACTGAGCTAGWTGTTTTGATTTTGCTTTTCTATTATCATATCTAACATGCCCACCTTTCATTCTCCAAAGGAACTAAAACTTATTACTAACAGATGGACTTAATGAATAATTTACTAAATGAATATTTATTAAGTTCCAAACTGAACAGGATCCTTAAAAGTTCTGTGGCCATGTGCCATGTCTGTGAGCCAACAGTACAGCACGTCAGCTCACAGACCATYTATAAACTCTGCTTTAACAAGAAAGGAACCATACGCAGCGAGGGTGCCAGGATACATGGTGCTGCTCAAGGCACACGTGCGTGAACTTACTGCCTTTGGGAACATGACAGAATCTGACTGCAGAAATAGTATGGAATTACACYAAGCTCACGGAGCCAGCTCATCCCGGATACAGCTCTGTAGCTGTATTACATTATTGCTTTGCTGCAGCTATTTTTATCATCATTCCTATCCCATCAGGAGATGTACAAGGGCTTTAAATGCTGGTCTAATATTTTTATATTTTTCTTTTTTACAGGAGACATCCTCTTTTTTTTTAATCTTTGCATGTATAGAGCCTCATACATTTTTATGAAAGGAGTCTGAATTTACTTCACCAAACATCAAAGCAATGCTAACAGACTGAAAGTCTGTACTTTCTTTATTCACATTCTGAAATTCTAGCATTGCAATTCTGAAATTCTATACAATTGCAAAAAAATCATTAAACCTTAGTCCAGCCTTTTCTGTGAAATAAGTCATATACACATTTAAAGAGTAGCATACTTGCTTCATGTTCATTGCATATTTTAACAATAAGCATATATGTTACTCATTCATAATGATGTCACTGGAATATTATGAAATGCATCAAAATAATTAATATTGAACTTATACTATCACTCTCAGTATAGCAAATTACTTGAAAATAAAATGAGTATTAGTAATGGTCACAGTTTTGTTTAAAAAAATAATTTTAAAAGCTCATAACTACAGTTTTCTTGGAAAGTTGTCAAACTATTGTACTATTGTGTATGATTAGATTTTTCTTCCTAAATGAATGCAGAAAATTTACAGCTGTGAACAATTTAGTAAAACATGGAAAATATTTTACAATATTTGATACCTCGGCATTTGATCCTTTCTCCACCACTTTAATAATTGGCACTTTATTTTTATCTTCTAAAATAAAACCATAGGCGCCTTCATTAGATTTAATCTGAAAAAAAAAGTTTAAAATATTGTTCAGTAAGTGGTTAAAAAGAGTTAAAATATAGCTCTGTTTCTTGTCACTATAATGCATTTACTAATCATCAAAGCATATGAACATTCAGTTTACTAACTCACCAGTAATGATTTGGCTATTACATTTTCCACAACTTTTAAATCGTGTTTCATGAGCCTGTGCTTCATATTTGATCCTTCCATTTCTTCATCCGCAAAAAATCGGAACAGCAGTGGTTCATCTTTAAATTCACTTTTTTCTAACACTGTGTGATACAGAAACACAGACATCATTTCTTTTGGGGGAGAATTATTGAATATCAATATCTCTTATGAACCTCATCTCTCATGCATATTTATTAAATGCTAAAAACATATTTTGTGCATGAATCTAGACAGATTTTAATTTCTAATAGAAACAAATTTTGTGTGGATCCATAACAGTAAGCTATCACTGGGTTCATTCTCAAGTACAACATGTGGCTTCAGCAAAGGGAGAAGGACACATTTGTCTGGCAAGGTCTTAGTGAAAATGTCCAGCACAAAGGCTTTCTCCTAAAAGGGATTTACAAACAGGAGTTTGGAAAGTTCTGCAGGACAGCTGTTGGAGATCACTGCTCACCACCATGTTCTGGCTCTCTCCAGGTGGTGAGCATGCCAGCATCAGTATTAGAAATGAGTTTACTGGGGATGGGGAAGCAACTAGAATAGCAGATGGATGCAGTTTTTACATTTAAAAACAAAAGGAAAAAGAACAAACATCTCTGAGGGGAAGTTATTCTCCCTCCTCCCTCCTTTTACTTCAGTGAATGACCTGCCACTTCAATCCTTACATTGAAATCTTGCTTCTGATGGTATTAAATTCAGTCTTCTTATTTGCAGTTCTGCACACATCCTGGCTCTCTCCCTTTTCTCTGATATTGCCTTTGTTGTCTGATATCCTCATGATTTCCTCACTTTTCTATAGTCCATTTTCTCCTACTATCATAGCTTCACAATTTCAAGTCATGTTCTCCTGTATTTTCATTCATTCTTGGAAAAAATGGCTCTTTTTCTTTTCCTCTTAAGAAGTCACTTTAAACATCTGCTACTACTTTTCTGCCACTACCATTAGTTCCCATTTGCTCAATTTTTCCCACACCACAATTTTTATTTTCAATGTCATCAATGTGAACAGGTAAACCTGCTTAAGAACTTTCACCAAGTGGCTAATAAAAATTCCCCCCTGAATCATTCAAATAATGAAACCCTCATTATGTATTATAAAACTAACTTTAAATGGTTTTYAAATACACAATAGTTTTTTTGTTTTCTTGCAACATAAAGCAGAGATCTCTTCAATAATGCAATAAACCTACTTACTTCCTATCCCTTCTGTAGTATCTTCAGCAGCCCCTTCATTTCCTTCCTGCTAAGCAGATGGTATGGAACACAAAGCAAGCATTATCTTGGACATAATGTACTTTCTTACCATGGTGCATAAATCCATTGTCACAAAGAGCTACGCCAAAGATCATGGCTTCCTCCCTGGTCCGGCAATCCCCCTGTTAAACCACAGCATGTCTTATTTTTCAGACTTCAACACATAATTAAAATGCCTCTATACAAACTGGCATAATCTCAAAGCGAAGACATGTCTGCAGATTATACTTACCGTTGCCACCTTTATATACATATAGATAGATAGTGTATATATAATATACTATGTGCATGCATATATTTATACATATATATGTATGTATGTGTATATACATATATATACATAAAGGGATTGTATGCATATACAGTGATATGCCTCACTATAGTTATAGATAGAAAAGCATTGCATTTTCTACAAAAACTGAACATAACAGAATGTAAAACGGCAGCAAAGTTAAAACTGGTATATCTTGACTTAGTGACCAGGCTATACCCATCCTCATTTCTAGCTTGCCTAAAAAATTGATACAACAAATTAATACTATTATTATCCAAGCACTCAGTAATTTTGAGATCTCAGACCCTATCCATTTCAACTAAACTGATGAACAGCGTTACATAGTGAATCACAAAGCTAAGTCTCATTAAAACATTTAAAGTTGAACAGCAAACAAAAAAGATAAGCATAAGAGAGATGAACAGCACAGCTGCTGATGGCTGGTTTCTGTTATTTCCTCTTTCAAGAGGATTACATTTACGCAGTGTTCCAATAATTCCAATAATGAACTGAGACAAAATATTTGCATGTTACTCCACTTAATACAACACCATCTTCCCTACTAAAATTTAAATAACTGCATAAATCCAAACGTGTACACTTGCCTGTGCAATCAGCCAGTCTATGAGCTTGTTAGCCATGACAACAGATTTGTAGGTTCTCAGATGATAATCCTTATCCCTGTTCAAAACAAAATTAAAAAAAAAACTTAAAAGAGTACAAAAGAAAACTTACATTTTATATACAAGTTGGTACAAGTATGAATTAAGCTTTCTGTAAGCGAAAACTTATGGTACAGATAGGAAAGAGGAGGATGTGCACCTCTTTCTTGGGCAATATTCCCACTGGAGCATAAAGGCAGAGAAAAAGGTAGCTATCCTGTCACAGCTGAGATTCTCCAAATGAGAGAATGTAGTTAATACATACAGTAAGCATCCAAGCATATCAATAAGGACCTATAACGTTCTGAAAGTCTGAAAAAAAAGGTCATATAGAACTGAGTTTGTATTCATTTTATGATGCTGTTATGCTGCTTCTCTTGATAGCCCTTCAAKCTTGTTTGATTCTTCCCAAGAGACTAATTTTGAACGCATGGGTTAGGTTCCCATGTTCAAAGACAGTATCTACAGAATATATAAGCTCTTTTGAATGAATCACTGAGGATTTCCCAATTGGGCTCACCTAATTACTGGGGTAAACAGGCTGTGAAGGCGACAGTATAATCGTACACCCTGTCAAAGAGAAAGAAAAGGTTAATTACACTTTTACATGTAAGGAATGGACGCAGTAAGGAAGCTGAACTGTTCTAAATGCATTTCATTTACATCTATTGGAAACTCTATATCTTTTCAGGTGCCAAAACTTAAAATTTTGAGATAACAACAATACTCATGAATGAATGATGAGATGAAATATTTCTAATCAAGCTTAACTAAAACACATGAAAAAAAAAGATAAGCTTTAAAGTAGTATTAAAAGATTATTTTGAAGACATAGTAATCTTAAATAAATATACACAAAACTTGAAAGATTAAGCAATGATTCTATGCATTCTGGTTTTCCTGATCACTGCTTTCAATTTGATTGAAATGTTCAATTAGAGCCAATTATATCCATAGTCATCTTATTTACAAGTTGAAATTACAGGCAGTCTTTTTTTGGGGGAAAAAAAAAAAGAGATAGAAGAAGAAGATGGCAAATGATTTAAAGATGTGGAACTTTTTAATTAAAAATATATAAACAAGTGAAAATAAACAAAATATCTGAAACAATTCAAGGTATCACCATCAAAAAATGGAATTTTGAAAATCAGTATTCCCGAATATTTCCCTGTCACAAAAGACTTATAACTGCATGACAAAACATGGATAATAATAGAAAACTGTGTTGAATAGATTCATTCATAAATTGCTCTGCCTGCTACTTCAGCTTTGAATATTCTCTTAGATATACCTTAACATTATATACATATATATGTTTATCTATGTATATACACATACTAGGAGATAAATCAGTGACATTGTATTTTAATATCCAAATGTTGTCATATTTTCCTTCTCAAAATCATAAAAGTTTGATATCAATGGGTTGTTCTATCWTTTGTTACAGTGCAAAGATGTACCATATTATCTAAGTAGCTATGTTACAATATATATCGAATTCAGGATTTAATGCTTTATTAACTCACTAATAAAAGCCACTCTAACTTACAGGAAAAGAAAAAAAAAAACCCCAAAACTTCTATATATGGCTTTGTATCTATTAAAATGAATTGAAGAATAGCTAAACTGTCAGCTTCATAATTAAGAAACATGGACAATGCATCCTGCATATGAAACTAYTAAATAATTAAAATACACTTCTTGATTTTGTATTTAAAATACATAGCAGCAAGCCAAAATCTACCCTTAGCTATGGATAATTAACTTTGATTCACATAAATACAGAGCTGTGAGGAAATGCTACTTATCCTACCATAATACATTATTTTTCAAGCAGATTTTTAATGCATTCGTACTAATAATAGCAACTCCTCCATACCTTAGAAATCACATCCTGCATCTCATTTCTTGGATAATATGTTCCATCGTCATATCGGAATCTGTACAGCATGTGTTCAGGTTTGAATTGGTGCTTATCTGTGACTAAAGAAAAAATAATAGTGTATTGTTAGGGTAACTTTCTGAAAATATCAAAAAGAAAGAAGACCCAAGTAATTCCTTATAACAACAACACTGCATAGAAATTATTTCAGACAGAGAGGGCAGAAAGCATTCATWAATCATTTAGTGCAAGTTTCTTTATGTCCTTACACATAGTCTGCAGGAATGCAAACAATTTTATGTCACAGACAAYGAACGGGACAGATAACCAGGCAAAGAACAACCTGGAAAACTAAGCAAGACACATCCAATGATCCCAGCCTTCACAAGAGAAARGAAAAAGAACTACTGAGGCCCATCTCATATCATCCAAAAAAACCACAAACAGTGTACAACCCATTGGAGCAATGATGCACTGGAGCAGGGAAGGGAGAGGGAATGTTTTCCCCAATACATTGCCAGCTGAAAGTCTYAAGTACAAGGAACTTGAAGTCATTATGAAGATGTGGAAGCCAATGTAGAAATCCACTTCCCTGAAGATCCATGAAGAAAACTATCTTAACATGTGAATCCAGCTTAGAAAAGCTCACAGAACCTCGCACAGCTCTTTGGCCAAAACAGACACATCGTATTTCTGGGAAAACTCCCAGAAATGGGACTAAAGCAAGTCCTTGGGAAAGCCAGCTCATTTCATCTGCAGACTGTGGACAGCACTTAGCATTAGCACCAATCGAAGATACCTATGTTGTGTTAATTATTTTTCTACTTGAAAACAACAACTTTAATTCAAAACGACATGTATGTGGCATCTATTTCTCATAATAGACTATCATTGTGTCTTTGTTGAGCAGAGTAACAAGGTCCATAGTGGACATATTTTTTCTAGTGTTTCCTATATCAGGTGATRTATCAGCCATTATTCTCTAATAATTCTAATTCTAATAATTCCCTAATAATTCTAATTCTCACAGACATGATTTAGCKTGTTTTACTCAAGAGGATGGATGAATCATCAACTACTAAGAAAACACTTAGCTATTGTATGTTCTATTTTTATTTTATCTAGAATCAGCTGCACATTCCCAGGTCCATAGTTTTACAAACACTTAAAGCTAGCATAACCCATTATCACTACTAAAATAAGCAACATCATGTAATTTTCTGTCTCACACCCACCCATGTATTAGTACTCCCTTGCATTGCAGTAGGTATTTATATGGCAGGTAACAAGGACAGGGAACTAACCCAATTTAAGTTAGTTTTTACTKCTACTTTTTTGGCCAGGGCAATTTGAATTCCCATCAGTACTCCAACTCCTGGAACTGCAAAGCCATAAAAGGGATAAAACTACAACCTAAAACKGTCTCATATATAGATGATTTCAGCAAGTCTTTTCAGGTATCAGAGATAATGCCAACAGGTGGATTTAGATGAGCATCTTACAAACAGGTGCAAAGCTGGAAAAAGAAACAAGGTTTCTTGCAAATTGCAACTTTTCCACTTGCAAGAGTTCATATGCCAGCAAGTAAATCAGCGCCCATCACAATATGGGTCTGGGCCTTGCTAGAATGAAGCCCAACACAGAGAAAATAAGGGCATGCACATTGAATATGCAAAGTCTAACAAAGCCCTCTGTAACATTTGCAATGTGAATATCAGCCAAACTTTCATTCTCCCTTGCTCCCTCCATGAAAACAGATGGTTCATTCAGCTTTATTTTAAGGATTCTATTTTCACCAAACCACAGCTGGATCTGCTATTCAAAGTAGCATGTCTGGCTCATATTTCTATGCTCCAATATAATTACCCTTTTATCTCATGAAATTACACAATATTCATATAACTCTGTATTGAGAGAGTCTATTAGTGTATTTGGGATATAATTTGTGAGATCAGAAGAAGAATCTTTGGCGACAGAATAATTCCACTGACAACAATTCTATGTGTGCAGCAAGCCTAATAGCATTTGACATTTGAATGATAGTGAAGGAAAATAACACAGACTGGCATTAAAATATTAAAGACTGCTTGACTACTGATGAATATCTTTAATATGTTTACTCCTACTCCGTGTATGTTTGAAATGCATGAAGCTAAGCAGCACTCTGCTACTCCCACTTTCTTTCCAGCCAAAGACACTGAAAACATGTTGGTGAAGAACCACCAGCTTTCTCTCAAACAAATCATTCTACTTTGAGTTTTGTAAAATATCCCCAAGCCTTTTCTGTATCCCAAATCAGTTCGGGAATCTGAGTGGCTTCTGAAGCATTAGAAGATTTTTGCACCAGTTTTACAAAGCAAGTAGGAATTTACTACAGGACAAAGTTTGCAAACATTCCGATGTAAATTATCAGTTTTYACTTAAATTTGCACCCTGGATCCATGCTGGAACAGCATCTAACTTCAAAATTGTTTCACTAATTGTTTTTAAGTGACTTCATCTAGCACAATCCACACATCTTAAAGAACAGAAGTTTCTTCAGTTCACTCATATGGTCCTGCTGAACCATACCTTGTAAAAGGCAAAGAGAGGAGGAGCTGATTTGATATGAAAAATACTGTTAGTACAAATTACCTCAAAAAATCAACACTTCTTACTGACTCTATCTATCTGGCTTGACCCCCTTCTGGAGAAAAGTATCACCAAATCATCACTGAAATGATTCGGTGATACTTTTAAGGGAAAACTTAAAAGGGAAAACTTCAGCATGAAAATTCAAAATTTAACAGAATTTTAATCTACTGAAAATAGGGAATTAAAACTCAAAATATTAAACAATTGATATTTAGGCCGGTTTCCATCAGCTTCTTTTAGCTGTCATTCCTAAAAGATAATCAAGCACATTTATCAACAAGGAATTGCAGCATTTGTTGCTCACTCTCTTCTACAATTCTTAGTTGAAGACTTGCCTAACAGATGGCTTATATACCTAAAAGCAGTCTACTCTTCTTTATGTTCCCACAAAAGTGATTTCTGCTTACAACAGGATATCAACTTTAGGTCCCTGTTTTCAGTGTTTTGATCCCAGCAGCATTGATCTAACCTAACTAAACCAACAGAACCCACTCCCAGTCAGTCTGAGACTTGGCAATTGCCCCAAGAGATCTGTACAAAGATACTGCAGATTCAACAAACTGCCTTGAACTAACAAGATCGTCTTTTCATGATAAATAAATTATGTTCATTCTACTTGTAACAATTACCTTGAAAATAAATAAGTTAAAATTAATCATATTTACCATGATGGATAATGCCATTTTCTAATAAAGCTTGGCCAAGGTGAACACCTTCTTCAGATTTGTGTATCTCTCCAATTTCCAGTAACCAGGACACAAATTCACTGAATTAAAAGCAGATAGGGAAAAAAATATATCTATGTATACAATATATATATATATAAATGTCATACCGCCACATCTACTACCTTTTCTTTCCAGTACTTCTTTATATTTGATACACAAGTACCTAAGTTTGTAAGTAGTCTACAAAATACTTTGCCTAACAAAATTACTTCTTTCCACTTTTATTTGTTATAGATGGGGCCAATAGTCTGTCCATAATGGGAAACATTTACATGTTTCCTAATTTACACTTTGGCAAAACTCTGGAATGAGAGACAAATGGCCATAACACACATTGAAAACAAACAATAATATCCTTAAAATGCCAAAGAAGATTTAAGATGTGTTTTCAGCTGGTTGAAATTTACACTATCAGATGCATATTCTACCTTCCAAGAAAGCATTTGGGGAAAGTGGTTAGTTTCCTCTTCCTGTCTTTGATGAGATTTCCTTGTTTGCACATCATTTTGTAAAGTCTTTCTCCTTGTTCAGAAATCATCACCCAAGTGTCTTGTTCCATGCCTAGTTTTARACCTGCCAAGATACATTCAGATTTTATGAAGTTATTTGTCAGTATATTTCAAAATATTCCACAAAGCTAAGATGTAAACCCAATGCTTTTTTTACATAAATAAGCAAACATAAAAGGAATTATTTTGCATTATTCTGTTCAAGATCAAGATTCAACTAAATAGCTGATAATCATATAAACATAATAAAAAATCCTTTTTTTAAAGGTAAGTTGTTCTTGCTGATGTACACCTATATTGACAACACCATTGACATCACAGTAAAAAAACTAATTCTGTGATTTTCACTGACTTCATTATGTGAACATAGGAGTAAGGTGTCATCCCTTCTCAAGTTTAAAAGAAAAATTCTGGTTTTACCATGTGACAATTAAAATATTGAGACTGTCATGAAATATTTACCAAATTTAAATGAAGAATAACTAGTAATCTGTTATGTATTTTTTGTTTTATGTAAGATTACCTATTTTCTACAAATGCATATATACATCTTGATTTCTATTTGCTTCAACATTTTCTCAGCAACAAAAAGCTATAAAGGTTTTAGTGTAGATATTTGTTACTATTTTATGTTTTTCTGCTACTCTTTTTGAGAAAATACTACTCCTTCTTACTAACAAAGAACTTCTTGATGATCAAAACAGCTTTCCTGGAATTACATGCCACTGGACACTCACAGRAATTGTGCTCCCAAGGAGTAATCAAGACCTTTGCAGCCCATACGCTTTCTCTATAAAAACAGTTACTAATTCTGAACAAAAACATACAGTTCTGGAATGTCTTATGCATGCCTTATATGTTTCCAGTTTATTTCTTCAGACTTGTATATTTTTAGAATTATAATTGCACATCTTTGCTATGAGTAACAGTCCATCTTTTTTTTTTTAATTCTGCAAGAATTGCCAGAGAAAAAGTAAGTACCATGAAAGTATATTGTAATAACCAATAGTATCAACATATATATGGAAGTGTTTCTCATGAAGCATGAACCTGATAGTGCTGATGCTGCACAAAGAGATAGAACATCACTTGTTCCCAGGAAAAGAAAATCAATATGCTGCTATTGGAGCTCCCAGGATATTGATGTTTTTATTTGTATTGACTCTTTTAAGCAGGTATAAATACACTGCATGATCAAAGCTGAAGATCATCTCCTTTTAAATAAACTTTCAAATTCACTAAATGCCTCAGGGGGCTATATGAAAGCCCTGCAACTCACTGAAACAGTTTCTAACAAAAAGTTTCCAGTTCAGCTTCAGTTCCCCTTGCAAGAAAATATRATATAAATAGTGGTCAAAGTTGGTATTTCAAATGCAATTACTCCCTGTCCAGGAGATCTGACAGGCGTGTACACTGGATTTAGTTAGTCTCAGATTTAAAAAGCAGAAAAGATGCTGCTCTCACATAGGCTGTCACTTAGACATTGGTGTAATTGCATACATATACATGAATTCCACATCTTACTAAGTAAACATGCAATTAAAGCATCTTCATGCTCACGGTGAATAGGAGAACATTTATAGTTACATTTAGATATAATATTTGAATACTAAGATGTTAGCAGTTTGGTTCCTGAGTCTTTTGGCAACCTGCCTGCAATTAAGTGATGCATCCTGCTTCTTAAGAGGTATTTATACAGATGTTTTGAAAAATCTCTGAGCTGGAGGAAAAAGATAAATTTGTATATTGCTAAAGCAACAGAGTTATATTCAAGAAACATTCTTTAAACATTTTCTGTTGGAACTCAGTTTGTGTGAATGCCAAATTCTCTCATGCTGTATTCTCTCCTATTTCTCTCTTGGTTGCCTCCTCAGTAGCAAAGCCACTGCTCCCATCAAGAGTTGAAAAGTTCCCTGAATTACAGGATGCTGAAATCCTTGGACATAGGCTATAAGGTCAGGGTCAAACTCACCTCTATTACCAGCTTCTTAATAGTATAATATGAAATAATATTTCATAAATATGAAGTACTTGCTGTTTTTACTTTGCTAAGGAAACCATGAAACTTAACAATGGTAAAGTGGGATTTGATAAAAATCTTTATAATCAGTTTCACATAAGACTCTGAAGTTGATCTGAAGCAGATTTATTTTCTGTTGTTCATGACATATCTCTATCAAGTTGTTCTTCATTTGTTATGCAGAATGTTGAGTTCCTATAGGCCTATGTCCTCCCTTTAACTTTTCTTCTACTATTTATTCTTTATGGATCTGTTGATTACTTAGTGCTCAGATACCCTACTTGAAACTCTGACCCTAGGTCAGATGTTATATAAACATCCATCATTCAAACTGCAAAGAAAAAAGAAGGGAAGTACTACAGTTTTCAATTTACAGCTGAGGGAAAAAGTGATGGCTTATAAAACAAGCACCAGGCACCTATACTGGCTAGCAACAGAACCCCATATGTAACCAGGAAGTCCTATTTTCCTACAACCAAGGCTCCATACATCATTATTGATTTGAATATTATGAAACTAGCTCCAGAAAATGGTGATGATGTGTTACCTTTCCCTGGCTCTATTTTGTGATGGGTTCACCTTGAATACATGAGGTAATTCGTGGTTACATTTGAGATCAGGATTATATTTCATCCTAGCATTCTCCAAATAAACACAATTGTTTAGATGGATAGGTTTTCTTTCCAGTGTTTTTTTATTATTATTTTCAATGGGTGAAGGAGAATGGATCGAATGGGTTTATTCTGTACCACTTTGTGGTAGATCATCTACATGAAGATCCAACATAGCAAACCTGCCCATTTCACCAATGTGTCTAGTGACAAAATGACATCCCACCCTTACATACAGATCCCACAGACTGTAACAGTTCACATGCTTCAGTAAAGTTATGACTATTTAAAGCTGAGGCTGTGGACAAGCAGTCAAAAACACATCACATCACCTCCCAGATTCCAAAATCAAATTAAGTACTACTAACATCCATGACTCAAGTCCTTATGTCATACATCTGAGTATAAGTTTGGTTTATTTCATTCAGATTGGTATTCATAAAATTTCAGTTGACCCTGATGTCATAAATGTTTGCATGGCAGCTGCTTTTACTTTACATCTCAACATAAAAATAGATTATGGACCTCTGGCACAGTAAGACAAAAAAAAGTTTATTAACATACCTTTTCTCCTTTCTCGTTCTTTCAGAATAGCTTCCAGCCATTCTTGCTTCTCTTCAGGGGTTTTTGCCATACATACAAACCATTTGTTCTTTGCTGTGTTGTGAATCTTCCAGCCATTAACAACAGTATGGCCACTGCTGTGATAGTCAGCTGAGAAAAGGTAAAATCAAAATAAAATGGCTTGAAGAACACAAACTTTTAACATAAAAATAAAGTAGTTATAAACTCCATGTTTCCTGAACATTACCTATAACAATAGGAAAAAATAACAGGAATTTGAAGTGCTGAACCATTATCTGTGTGATTACTACATATGCAAATTATGAACTATGCAATAATTTAATGAGCAGTATTCTTTTTACTTTTAGTAAATCTAGTACATTAAAACAAAAAGCAGACATGGAAAGAAGTGTGAACTTGATGCTAAACAAGGCAAGGTCCTCTTAAAAAAAGAACACAAATTGCTTCTGTTTGCATTACAGTCTTTTAAATAATTCCTTAACTATGGAAATATTCTTTGATCATCTGAGCAATTTACTATCAAATTTTAAAAAAGAATAAATGCCACTGGGTATAATACAATTTAATTTTGAAGAGTAAGCATATCAAATGCATATTGATGCATATTGATGCATATTACTTGTTACCTGAATAAAGAACTGGATATGCATTTGTTTAAATTAAGTAAAATATAATTAAAAATTTACTATGTTTAAAAGATAAAATGCACAATTTTTGAAACGAATTCTAACAAACCTACGTTAAGCACACATATTATGGAAGAGATGTAATAATTGCCGATGTTCTTAGAAATATTGAAATTCTGACTTTAATACATAAACTTCTATGCTAGAAAGAACAGTCATTTTATTACTTACTACTTTCTCTTCACTTATATATCTTGAAAATTTTGATTTTAATGTGCTAGCCCATGAATCATACTGGAAATCAGCTAAAGAAGTTTTCTTCCTGAAGTTAGCCCCTTATATAACATGAATATCCTTCAGTAGGATGACATGCATTTCCTTTGGGAAAATTTGCACGAACTCAAATGTCCCATGATAACAAATACGATTTTTATCTAAAATATAGATTAAAACTAGAACTAGCCACTCCTGTACAAAACACTAAGAAAATCAGAGGTAACATTCTCTCATAACTAACTTTCACCAAAAGGCAACAAAATCCCAGAGCCAGCCCTGAAGTTACCCCTGTAGTAACGTCAGAACTTTATACTTTGCAAATCCTTTTTCATAATTCAGCCCAGTTTTGTATAATGAGATGGGATTTTTCCAAAACCGAAACCTTCGCTGAAATGCTGGCTAAGATTTATCATAAATCTCAGCAGACACACTAGTGTCTTTTCAATAACTCTGCATTTTAATTAGATGGAAAGCAGCCAATTTTTGCATATGCAGCCTGGAAAATGTCAGGCACTACTAGACAATTATGAGATGGGTGACTAATTTCTGAATAAACAACATACTAGAACTCAAGATGTATACAAAAGTGCAAAAAGGGAAAAATGAAAAAAAGGAGTAATTTATTTTTGCAACTCCATATTTATACCACTTACCTACTTAACATATTTTTATGCCTATAAACTACGCATTACATCCTTCAACATATGCATGGGTATCCTTCACCCCTTTAAAACTACCGTTTCTTAAAACCTCCTCACCACGTAACATGCATCCTCAGAAATTCAGAGTCAAAAGTCAAACAAAATCAAAAATTCACAAACAGAATCTATCAGTTTTTTGGAGATGAGAGGCAAGAGAGTTAATGGAAGAAAGAGGAGTAAATTGTCTTTCTGTTATTTAAGGAGATGCTTATAAACCTTGCAATATGGCACTAMTAGGGCCTTATTATTCTAAGTTACAGGTTATATGCATAAAAAGGGTGATATTTTTGCTGTGGCCTTTTTTACCATAGCCATGGCACATATCTCAGAAATAATTACTCTAACATCGTAACTCCCTTTTCTGTTAGGGAAATACTATTGTCTCCAATACAGAGAACTGCAGTGCAAAAAGTATTCATATTTTATGGCTTGGGTAAACAGATAGATTTAGGTACTTTGAGCAGAATTTTTATTTCAATTTGATAATTCAATTAACAAAAAACGGCTCATCCAGCCACTTCAGCATCTCAGTGCAGAGAAGACACTTCGAAAATCTAACTGCTTTGGCATCTAGATTTATGTAACCACACAGCCCAAAGTGCTGGCAGTTCGACTGCATTATCTCATGCCATTACAAAGTCACTGAATCAAAGAGCCAAATCAACTAGCTCTGTGCTAAGACCTCATGTGTGCATGTGTGCATGTTGCAGTGAGTTTAGAAGGAAAACAACTGGTAGCTATGTCTACATTTTGCAGGTGCCCTCCTTAGCCCAACACACAGCTACATCCTTGCTATCTCTTTTGCTCCTTGTGTTCCTTGTGTCTACAATCCTCCAAGGTTCTCATGAGCTATAATGTCCTCCACAATTTATCCATCCCAATATTCCTTTGAGCAGCATTTTCAGCATTTCACTAGCATCCCATACACCATGCACCATTTTTGGATCATCAGCGGGACAAAACCTGATGGAGACCCGCACGCAAGCCGTGTGCCTGTGTGGTCAGCCAGGAGGAATGAGTGTTTGGGCCGGCCACCTGCACAGGAAGCAGGACCGCTTGTTGTGGCTAGGCAGTCGCAGCTGCTCCTCAGCCTAAATGGATGATTTGTAAGCCTGACATAATGGTCAGGGTAGAAAGAACTGAGAGAGAGCTCAGGTTGCTCCATGTAATAAGCTTAACAAATCATTAAGCCTCCAGATTCTCAAGAAAGGTGAAGAAATATGAGATCACCTTCTAACGACACTTGCTAATACATTAAAGGCTGTAATTTTAGGTGTGATATACTGTCCAAAATTCAGCATTCAAATACTTTTGAGATGCATGACAAGCAATTTGTTACAGCCAAATATATAGACAAATTTGCTTTTACCCTTTAAAAAATAAAACTGAAAAGCTATTCTACATGAGAATTTTTCTAAGTTTGTTAGACCACAGGTTCTTARGAGCAGCTGAATTCAGAAACAGCAAATACGTAAACACATTTCTCTTCCTCTTCCACATGGTTTTGGATGCAGTCTCCAGCTACTATTACCACAATGTCTTTTCTGTTTCATGCTCGCCTCATTTCAAGACAAAGGGACAGAGAATTGTAACTGCATAGGCAGCTATACACCAGCTATTTCCTAAATGCCAAGTAGCTGTCTTCACAGACTAAATAATATTCATTTAATGACTGGTGAATGCTATTAGAAATGTACCTTTTTTCTCAAAATTGAATTTTAAAAATTGAAAAAASAACAGGATAATAGCATTGCTGTAAAGACATTTTTAAAGACTTAAATGATGGAGCAGCCACTTTGGTTTAAAAACACAAATAGTCTGCTCTAGTAAGTAATATGCATTCTACTTTAATCAGTACAATCAAAAAAAGCCACAGTACTTCATAAGGTTGAAACAAAAAAGAAAGCTTCCACAAGCTTCCACCAATTGTACTGCTCAGTCAATGTCTAATTTCATCACAGAAAAAAAAAAAAAAAAAGGCTTTTTTAGAAGAAAAGCTTTGTTCTTTTCTGCAGGCATGTCACAAGCACAGTCATAAACCACACCAACAATCCTGGTTTTCATAAATCTACGTTTCTACTCACTAGCAACAAAAACTATAGCATTATAATTCTACATCAATGCTGTGTGACCATAACAAAGGAAAGTAGTAGGAAAAGCAAGAAAAAAGGAAGGAGAGGGTAAGTAAGAAACTGAGGAAGCCCAAGTGAGCCTGAGAAAGCAAGAAAGCTATAGGAAAGAAAACAGCAGAAAGGTATTTCAGGCTAGGGAAATGACAAAGCTATTTTTATATCTTAAAGAGAATGAGAGATAAAAGGGAATAAAATAGCAATAATCAAAGTAAGCAAAGTATTGGTTATTTTCTCAGATGTGTGGAAAGGAGGATGGAGTTTAGAAATGTTGCATATAAAAAAAAAAAGGCACAAGATTTGATATGGCTGAAGAGAGGAAATGGGAAGGAAGGAAGGAAGGAAGGAAGAGAACCTTTGGTATTATGAGTCTAAAGAAAATGGGAAAGTAACAAAAATCCCTGAGGCTGAAGGAAATCTGGAATGATATCTGGAATGGAGAGGGAGATTGTTTAGGCTTAGCCAAATTACATTCAAAGAATCATTAGAGAAGAAAATTAAAGGGCAGGAAGGAAAATGGACAATACAAAAGATAAGGACTGGAGAGCTAGAAAAAGAAATCTTCATCTGTATCATCCTTCAACTCATGTTGTCTTCTGAGAGTTAGAAGATAAATGAAGAACAGTGTGACAATTTGAGGAGAGAGATGGAAGGAGGAAGGAAGGAAAATTCATTTAAAAGGTGGCAATACATGGRATTGGAGACAGTTAAAGAAAATGTTTTAAAAGTCTGGGAATATTCATGAGGAAGAAAATGGTGCCTTACAAACCTCTATGGCCACTGCAATGTCAACAACTATGAAAAATGAAATATCATATTATGAAGGCTGCTTGGTGGCCCTGAAAGAGAATTTTGTAGTCACAGAATAGTGCAAAATAGACTGGAAAAAAATAACTGGRAATTAAATATGAATCATACTAAAAAATGGATATATATGCATAATGCCAAGACTAAGACAAAACAATATGCCTGTAGGGAAAAATTCAGAAAAGCTAAGGCACAAAATATGTTCCCCTGACTCACAATTTATATCACTCCTAAATGACTGATATAAATGTTAACAGGAAAAGTATCTTTTATTTCTAAGATATTTGTARGGAAGACGTACAGAAATAAAAGGGGACAGCAATTAAATAACAGATGACATAAAAGACTGAAATACATCTGCTTTTTTTGCTCATACGCAAAATATTAACTGAGCTTCATGACTGGCACAAATAAAACCAGCAAATAGGTAGGAATATAAGCTAGAAAAGACAAGGAATAGGATATAGAACTGCTGGATAAATTATGTTAAATTTAATGAGGTCGGATGAAACTCACTATAGAATACCTACAGAATTCAGAATACAGATACCTAAATCACTACCTAAATCAATGGGCCTGGTGAAAGACAAATAGCTCTGAAAAGACATCAAAGAGTTGTTATAAAAAAAACTGTTAAACAAAGAGTGTATCAAGGAATTCTCACAGCAAGCACTTTCCAATAGTTTTATTAACTTAAATGATGCTCTAAGTATATAGTCTGTGAGAGGGTTGAAAGGGTGTGGGGCACAAGATAAGAGTTCTGAACTCWTAATAAATTATGGAAATCGTTAGTCTTCAGTAAAATTAAATGTAGTGTGGAAAAAAAACGGTAATTACTAGCAGGAAAAAAAAAACAAAAACCACTCTCAGGAATTAACATAGTATAAGATATAACTGGTACTGCACAAAAGGATCTGGTGTGACACTTTGGATCACAAACTAAATAGAAACTGAAAAATAACTTTATGGAAAAAGTCAARTAATCCTAGGATTAGTAATAGACATTTTACAAGTAATTATTCTGTTCTATTTGGCAGTAGACAGATCTCAATTTTGGACAAAAGATGCAAACAAATAGAAAAAAAAAGGACCAGAGGATACAAAAGTAGTAGAAGATTTAGAAAACATGACCCATTAGAAAAGGTTGACAGAATCGAAAAGAAGAGATTGAGGAGAGACCTAAGAGCCTCCTAAAGGATCCATTTGTTGCAATGAGGAGAGCAGTCAGCTTGCTCTCCAAATTTGCCAGTGGAATAAGTTAGCAAATAGTCTTGAAAGAAGGGAAAAAAAGTAGAAGAGAATAATCTAACTTTTATGAAATATTTCTAATACCCCTTAAGAACTGAAACATCTTATTTAATCTGTGCAGTCCTTTCCAAGCTTGCAAAAACTTAAGTTTATCAAATGCAAACTGACATTTACAGAGGTATTTAGGGAATTCACTTCTCTAAAGCTGTCAAAGAAGTTTCAAGCAATTATATGAATTATATTCCTGGAGGTACTAAAAAATAAACACCTTTTTTTCTTAAACTCCTATATTACAATTCCAGCATTTATAATGATTGATTCAAAAAAAAAAAAAAAAAGGTAATTTTTGCCTTCTCTTTTACAAATGCATCACATACCTAGGGATCTAGGGATTACCTATCTAGGAGACATTGAATGTTAAAAGTGAAGTTATACACAGGTTCTTTTAAGCAATAAATGTCACCCATTGTATTAAGTGTAAAATAGTCATCTGTGCCCAGCTAATAGTGTATGAAAGCAAAGATGTGTCACTATAACAAAGTGCTGATGAAAGTGAAGAGCTCTTTTAAAGTGATAGCTTATTCTTTCCTTCTAAATACACAGAGCAGTCTTCATTCTCCATTAATTTATAAGCTGTTTGCCTTCGATTTCAGCACTTGGAAGAGACACACAGCTCAAATACAYTTACCTGTTCCATCATCCACATTCTCCACTTCCATCACTTCTGTGTTTATCCTGCCCCGAAAAAGGTAACGATGACCCTCTGTAGATGCTTTGCTGTTCTTCAGTCGCCTGATAAAAGAAAGAGCAGACGACTGTCACTACCTTGTGCTATGTTTCTGCAAYGCTACCTGTTCACATAGCATTCAAAGACTGCCATAAGAACCACAAGCCATATAAACTACCACCATACAGACCATGGTAAAACTAGGTTACAGTATTTACAGATTAATTATAATTTTGCTAACACAGACCTGTAATACATTTCACAACACTTTCAAGGACTAAAAAAAAGAGAGAGAGGCCATCTCRACAAAATGGGTTAAGCCAATATGTCGGCTCAAAAGACCTGTTAATAAAACTTTAAAACATCAGTTACAAAATAGTCCCTTAAGTTATATATTTTATGCATAGATTTCTGTTGACTGGTTATATTTAGATATGCATAACACCTATACTGTAGTATATGTACATAGGAGTTCTCTTTTCCAATCCACATACCTCCCTCCCCTAACGACTGAAACACGTGGCTGTTGCGCATGCAGACACACACATCTCTCACCTGGAGGCCACAGTGAATCCAAGATATTTATAAAAGACATTTGGAAAAGTGGGCTGAAAGCTGGCTATCAAATTTAGAACTACTCTTGAAAACCTTTTAGCATCCTCCGAATCAGACACACGTGGCTGCAGTGAGTAGAACCTGGATYTCTGAAGCAAAACTTTCAGCAATGAAGACACGGAAGTAGATGGTGGCGTTTCCATTCATTTCCCTCTAATTCATTATTTGATTTCTGTGTACCTACTAAAATTTTACAAAGTTTGAATGTAATAGACCTTTCTCTGTGTGTTGGTCTAAAAATGCTGAGGTTTGTATTGCAATTAACCACAAAAATTACCTTGGTGGCATCTCAATATTATAAAAAGCATACAAAACACCAGCTCTACTGTGAGAAAAATGAAAATCATTTTTCAAAGTATGTGTTAATCATATATTTACCTGTGCTTTTTTTTGCAGTAAACCAAAAGATTATCAAAAAGAAAAAATATCCGCTCTTGGATATTTCCTGCTGAAATTTTCAGAAGAACTCCACTTCTCAACATTTCTGTGCAAGTATCTGTGATGTTGGACCCCTAAAATCAATTGGAAAGAGAGTTATTCCGTGTGAACTGAAACATTCAGCAGTTACATGAATACAGGTTCTCAGAACTGTAACAACATGCTGAAAACATCAAGAAGAAAAGCCATAGTAATTTACATTGTGATTAAATAATAATTTTTAATTTTTACTTAACAACTCTTGATACCAACTTTGTATTCATCTAGCATTATCATGAGCTGGGGGGAGGACGGCTTTTTGAATGAATTAATTTTAATCATGAAAGTTTCCAAATACAGCATACACATCTGTGCACAAGACATCTTCTAAAAGACAAGGRCAGCTTGATAAAGTTTTACTCTTATCCTCAATAGCATTACTATTTAGTCAAAAGTGTAGGAAATAAAGGCTTTAAAAACACTTATGCCAAGATGAACTTCAAAGCTGAAGTAACCCTGAACTTCAAAATCATTACGTATATGTGCTTCTACACTAAATAAAATTAAACACAAAACTAAAACAAAAAGCAGAAATATTTGAAACTCAGGCAAAACTAACGCTGATAAGCATTAATATTTCCTAGCATATATATTCTGAAATCATGAGAATTTTGCCAAATGTTAGCTGTTTGGGGGGAAACTTTCGCATGCTTTCAATTTTGCTTCAGGTAGATCATTCTTTTGTATGAAAACAATGCAGCACTTCCAAAAGAGTTCTTGAAAAAGGATCAACATTAACAAAGGATAGCATTTTTCTTCAAGTATTTCTGTAACAAAGTCCTAGCCTTATAATGAGAAATTGACCTCTCAAGAAAGCCTGCCTGGAATTCAGAGGAGAATTTTGCTCTTCTGAGAATCCATGCCCCTTTGCCTTCTGTTTCGTGGAAATGTCCACATGGTCCCGTGGGACAGAGCTCCTGTTCACTTGCTGCATGCATGAAAACATCCACTTTGGTGGAAAACATGAAACAGCCTGGGCATAACTTTCTTTTCAGCCACATGCACTCTGAATGACTTATGCTTGCAATAGCCATAGTTACATTTTCTTCTTGACTTACCCATACTGGCCCAAAGAAAAATGCACTCAATTAAGAGCCAGGAAGTAATCATGGCTTCTACTCAGCTCTTCCTTTTACTGTTTGTCCTTTGTAAATCACAGCCCCGAATATTGAGCCATAACTCATGGTCTGTTTGAAGGAGGAAGCGTTCTGTTTACAGACATGATAACACAGGTTGCACGGCTCTAACAGTGAAACAGAATTCAGGCTTCGAAATAAAAGCACTTAGATATTACTGTTAATTAACCACTCTATTTATGAGGAAACAAGCCAAAAATGAATGTCATCTATAGCTGCTTGGCCATATCCTTCCTTCCTAAGAAAGAATAAGTGCCAGAAGTCAGYATACTAATTTTATAGTTTCATTTGAAGGCAAGCATGAAGTAGCTGTAAAGTACAGCCAATAATATAAACTACACATACAGTTATGGTTGTATTCAATACTTGCTGAGCACAATCACAGAACAGCAAGTCATTTCCTTCCATTCTATCTCATTGCATCTGTGAATAAAGGGTAACCAATTCCCTAAGCTGCTTTTGAAAATTATTAGAATGGGACTGACTAATTAGCTGCATTTTAAAAGGCTAGATTTTTTTTCTTTTCAGAAAACTTTAGCTTCGCTGGAAAATCAGAACTTTTGTAAGGAAGCTAAACTTTTATTTTAGAGCTTCAAAACTACATTTCGGCCTTCTAAAAAGGATGTATTTTTTCATCAAAGGATTTTCATAAGAACAAGTTCTTAATTAAGTTTTCTATTGAAAAACTTCAGTTAGAGAAATAAAACCTCACTTCCACCAGTTTTAGCAAGGTTTGCCACTGTAAGAAAAMCATATCATAAAATATATTTTATACATATGTTAAATAGATAATTACCTGAAGTCTCAAGATTTGACCCATTCGTGTTTGAAATGTAATGCTGAAGTAGTAATAGTAGYAGTAGTATTTCCTGTACAGCATTACACTTTGCTATTACTTTCTTACTTTCCTCCTTTTCAAACATAAACTGCTAGATAAAAATGTTCTACAGATACTTTATTTCCCTGGGAGTTCTCCCATCCAAATACAGCGCAGTGTTAACTGCACTTGTCATAGAGCCTTTAACAAGATTGGAACCCGTGGTRCTTTGGCTGCAGGTCAGTGATTTTTATTATGCCTGCTGTGTGTATGCCCAAGGGAATAACACAACAGGACCAGAAGTCAGCTCAGTCAGCCCTCTATAACCCAGCCAATGCAGATTTGTTGTTGTTGTTGAGTTCTTTAAGACTGTTAGGACCAGACTGTTTCTAGAATTTACATGGGCATGGAAYTGGAAAGGATGAGAGAGACAACAAAAGAGCTGGTGGTGCTGCTTCTATATCTAGGGTTAGCAGTCCACTCCACCACATGCCTTAAAGGCAAAAACCATCACAAAGGAGGARAAAGCAGAGAAAGCATAAGCATACTCCTCATAGCATTCCAAAGAGGAACAACCACTGTAAATAATATCTTCTTGAAAGAGGGATCTATACGTTGAACCTCCACAAGGGTTTACARCAGGCACATCCAAGCTACAGTTTATATGTACAGCCCACTAAGGTAATTCATTTAACTAGCTCTGAACTATCCCTCTGATAGCGAAGTTCTAGGCTTGGATAACAAATAAGAGATGATCCTCACTCCAGAAGCATGAGTGCACACATTGTACAGGTAAAACTGAACTACACATGCCTACAAGTGATGTTTTTGGAACAAATCAGGTTAACTGCCTATGCACAGCTGAAGGTTATCATGCCTATGCTATCTGTCAAGTGACCAGAGCAAAGACTGTGAAACTTAGAGGGATTCAGGAGACACTGCGTTGTGAAAAAATCCCAGTTGAAAGGGATCTCAAGAGGTCCAGAGGCCTCCTGTTTCAGATAGAGTCAACTATGAGTTTAGACTTAGTGGCAACTGCAGAACTTCACCTGGTCATCTGTTGTGTATTAGGGCCCAAAAATTGAAGACAGTAATCTAGACGAGTGCTGAACCAAGAGGAATGATAATTTCCCTCAATCTACTGGCTATGTTGGCTTACAGTCCTCTTAAGGACTGTAGAGGCATGAAGATCCAGCCAGCACATCCCCAGCCTGCACTGGAGCCAGGGATTCTTGATTCTTCCTTCCCAGGTGCAAGACTTGGCATTTGCCTGGCTGACTTTCACAATGTTCCTGTCAGCATATTTCCTCCATATATTTCCTCCAGTTGGTCTAGGTCTAGGTCTCTCTGAATGGCAACCCTGCTTTCAAGTGTATTCACTGCTCCCCTTTTCCTCCCCACCAAAATTTGTCATCTGCAAAGTTGACAAGTGATGCAAGGTGACTCCATTGCCTCCTCCAGGTCACTGATTAAGATGCTAAACAGTGCAAGTACCAAAAGAGACCCCACCCAAGGTAGTACACTGGCCACAGGCAATCAGAAATAGTTGCCCATTCACCATGAACCAATTACCACTACCCTCTGAGTCTGATCATCCACCCAGACTGCAATACCCCAGCTTGGATTCAGGAATACTTCAGGAGACTATGTTGGAAGTCTTGCTAAAGGCTTTCCTTGTCCACAAATTCAGTCATTTAATCAAAGAAGGCAATCAGGCTGGGCATTGGTTGAGCATGATTTTCCCCTGGTAAATCCATGCTGATAGTTCCCAATCACCTGTCCAGAAATATGTTCCAAGAACTCACATTTTTCCCAGGGATCAAAAGCATGCAACAGGCCTGCGTTTTCCAGGATTGTCCTTTTGGCCTTTCTTTGAAGACAGGTAAAACATATGCCTCTCTCTGACCATCAGAGACCTACTCTGACATCAGGGACCTTTCAAAGACGATAGAGGATTTCTTCTCCAGAATATGAGCCAGCTCTTGTCGTGCCCTCAGATACAGTCCACTTGGTCTCATAGATATGGGTGGAATTCTTTCAAGTAATCAAATTCAGTGGGACTTAGGCCTCTAATCCTTCCAAATATCAGTGAAAATCTCAGTAGAATGAAACTTTCCCAATGTTTGACAAAGTTTTTAAATAGATTCAATGTAGAAATTTCAAACAGATTGAGTGTATTATTTTCAGAAAACAATACAATCTCCAGCGCAGTATTAAAATGTGGCCACTGGTAAGATACAATATTTTCATCTCAGGAACTGTGTTTTTTCCTAATTAAAAACAGTCAAACTCCTTTTACCGCATAAAAGCCGTTAGGTTTCTTACTGTGGAAGAGTTTATTCCGTACTGGAAAAACCCATATTGAAATTTTTTCAAATTCCCTTTTTTGAATACATTCCCAAATGTAAATCCAAAGATTCATATTTGTTTCTGAAATTAGATTAAAAAGTTCAAAGTCAACACATAAGTTCAAAATACTGTTTAAACTTTCAAAATTTTGAAATTAAAAGAATTCCTACAAAGCTAAAATAATAATCTTTAGGGAGACAAAATACAAGAGGAATTTGAAGTTTTAAGTTGAAAATGTGACTGGCACAAAAAAAAAATCATGTTTGAAAGACCCTTAGGTAAATATTAAAAATATTACTAACGTTGTAACACAAACATTACATGAATTTGAACTACCAGTGGAAATTTCATATATGAGTCATTTGAATCTAAAAAGGTATTTTCAATGCAACTTTTCATAAAAATGTATATTGAGAGTCATGGGTTGCAGAAGAAGATCATAGTTATTCATTCTAAGTATAAAATCTCTACTACTAGGTAGTAGTACCTAATATATAGAAACTCATGTTTCAATATATTAAAAGCACCTACAATTACTGCTGGTGGGAAATTTTCAGTGAAATGTGAACTTGAAAATAGTATGCATTGTAAACAACACAAACCTGTTTTAATAATCTTTCAACAAAACATATGAAGGATTTGATGAGAAGAAGTCAACCTGAAAAGCAGGCTTCTACTGTGAACCTGGAATAGTCTTCCTCCATCTCTGCTTTGAGCCATCAAAGGCTCTAAATATCCAATTATAGAGTAGTCCTCTCCACTTGGTCAGGCTGGGGCTGAGGACTCAGATTTCCCAGGATACATGGTAAGAAAATAAAAAGCCCAYTGGACACTCGGAGCTTCCAGGCTTTTGCTATGTAAAACTGGATCCTAACAACCTTGGCTGTCACTTATGTATCAATCCACTCAGGCCATCGTAGAGCCAAAAGCCTGAAGGGTGAGCTACCAGGACCATACCACAAAATAAATACTTCTAAAATGCACTGGGAGGAGAGAGACTCTTTGAAATTCAAAACACTATCAAYCGGAAGTCATTAAATATTCATCCTTGGCATTAAAAAATTTGCCTCGTTACCATGAGTTCAAAAGCAACATTTGTTGCATTTAACGTTTTATCTGTTAAAAAAGCTACTTACACCTATATTCTGGACAACTTTTAGATTTCATATATAGAGGTTTGACTTTACTGATTCAAAGGGCATCACTTAGTGATTAAGCAAAGAAAATGCAAATTAGCATATAAAGTTATTCTTAATTCTTTGCATACATGCATAGAAAACAGAAATAAAACAGGGGAAAGAGCTAAAAATTCTGAGGTTTAAAATAGAAATCTCTATTCAAATGCTAGTTGGTGATAGGGTGGAACGGAAGCCCTGTATGCAGCAGAATACCCCATGCTATTGTTACTTAGCTGGCCTGCGACTCAAACTGGGCTGTTCTGTTTTCAGCTTACAATAAATGCAACAGCCTTATTTTGCTTCTTGCACTGAAACATCCATGCAGAGTCCAATGACAGACTCTTTCAGTCACTGAGACATTTTACCAGCTGAGACAGCCACCTACGCAAGTTCTGAACAYGGTCCAACAAATTCAACCTCTTAGGAAATTAAGTGAGAAAGCCATTATACTCAAAATTTTCTTTCTTGAAACAGATGTTCCRTATTTCCATAAATCTGTATTTTTATCATAACAACACAAGCTTCATTTCATGACASTTATGTATAGGAATTCAAGACATGCTTTGATCAGATTCTAAAAATAGCCTTTTTTTGCTTTCCTTCTAGCCAAGGCCAAGCAACGCACTAAGCATTTCCTTCTGCTAGGAAATCTCCAACAATTTGGTCTCTTTATTTTTAGGCTATGCAGAAATGAGATGCTTACCTAATTAATTCCACTCTCGTCTATTGCATTCAGAAATTTTGTTGTTGCTGGGAACCCTCTAAAATATTGTTAGCTCTTACGAATGCTCTGGAATTCATACTACCTCATAGGCTAAACTCATTTTATGTTTGAAAAGGATGATGGTATTAAAGTCAGGGTGATTTTGTTAAATTGAGCATCCTATAGTTTCCATACGATATCAAATCTGATCAGCTAAGCTACAATAAACACCACATAACCCTACTGAAAGCATACTTTTTTAAAAAGAAAAGAAAAGAAAAAAACAATTTTGGAATTCAAGAATGGTAGAATTCTAGAATAAAATCTAGAAAAAAGTCAATCTTGGAAGGAAATTAGTGCTTTGAGGTTGACAGAGGACATTCAGAGCACAGAAAGAACAGGTCTATATGTCTTACACATTTCTGTCCACATTGTTATATTTGCTTGTTAATATATTTTCTGCAGCAAAATATTTATTACTCTATGTCTTGCAAAGAGATATAAGAAACGTCATACAGGAAAATGGCTTTCCTTTTGGGGACTAGAGATGTAAGACCAGTAATTTCTTAAGCAACTTTTCCTTATTGACGAGAGTTTGCTACACTAGCCATAGCACTACATTAACTGTAACAAAAGTCTAGCATTTAAGACAGAACATTAATTGAAGCTGATAAACTGCATTAAACAAGCTGTTCTTTAATTAGGTTCCYGAGTTGCTTAAATTTTTAATTTACAATTACACAACTGTAAGCAAAAAGAAAAAAAACAGAAATTACAATAAGAGTTCCAAAATTTTTAAAACTTGAATTTTTCATTTGTGGCGAGGTTTCAATTAACCAACTATGCAAGAGACTGCAAGTTCACAGTATTCAAATAATTACAAAAAACTTGTATCAAATTCCTGTTCTTTCTATTACATACAAAGTAAAAGGGATGCCAAAACCATTCAGCTTCACTGTTGCCTGTCATTAAGATGCATTTGGGAAACATCTCTAAAATTCAAGACGCTGAAAGCATGTATAAGAATTTCAGTCAATCAGTATAGACATAGAYAAGTTTATTGAAAAAATAATAGAAAGAATAAAGTCAACAATAGGTAATAAAGATTTCGCAAGTTTCTCTTGCCATTAAAYGTTTGTAACAAGCACTGCTTGTGCTTCTGCCACGAAGCTGCTGCATATGCATGCCTAATGCACTTAAATGTTTACATGTGCTAATGTGTCTAAGTAAGAGCTGACGACAGCAAGCTCCAGCTAACTACGGGGGAAAAAAACGTGTTTTTACCTAATCTAAACAAGTCATCCTTAAGATATTTTTTTCTTTTGGAAAGGTCAACTAGACCTCTCAATTATAACATGTAGAGCTTTACTTTATCTAAGTAGTCATTCCTCTTTCAAAATCCTGCAAACAATATCATAGCATAAGTACACACTCTATGTCATTTATCATTTGTCTTTATCTGCCTTTTTTGGGGGGATGGGGGAGACTTAGGATTACACCAAAATGCAGATAGATTTGTTTGAATACAGAACAGCGTCTATAAAACTTGTATGTACTAAGATGTCTTCTTTCAAGCCACTGCGTATTTTTTGGCAATTCACACAGTTTTGATACACCATGAGTGTGCTGTATCAGTATTAGAGCAAAGAAATAAGAAAACTACTGTGCTCAGATCTCTGACATAAGAGGTTTTCCCCTACTCTACATTATACCTAGTCCAGTTAGAGAAATGGAAGAGTTAGCTTTTTAAAGTGCATTATAAAAGAAAAAGCCCTAAAAATGCATTTCATATCCCATAGCATACTCGAGAAACATGAAGGATTTTGACTACAGTAAGACTGCTTAATCCATGTAAAAAAGCATCAAATCTCCCAATACTGCTCAATTAACAATAAACCAAAAGTTTGCACAAGTTTGYAGATGAGAAGACTTAATCTGAAGCAAAATAGAAAATAATTCTATAGTGTCATGGATGGTACTTAGGCAGGTTCTTTGTTCAGAATAATTTTTATGCTCCTTCAAGATAGCAATGTGTTCTAGTTGAGTCCTTCTGGAAGGTAGAGAGAMGACAATCCTTTGCTGGAAGGTAGAGGCTCCACTTAGGCATAGCAGGTTCAACAGCAGAAATACAACATAAAATTGGGAACCAACAGCACAAGGAGACAGTATAGGGAAGGAAAAGGAAAGAAAGGAAATTTGTGGGGGGATCAGAAGATACTGCACGAAAATCACTGCCACTGAGAAAGCATTGCCTCAAGTCAGAGACCCACAACCTCAGAAACAGGGGGTAGAGAAAATGCTATTTTTGATCTCGGATATTTTAACCTATTAGTGCCCATATCTAATTGATTATTCTAGTCAATATCCTGTTTTGCAAAGTCTTCAGTCTTTGGGGAGAACTCTGTGAGATAAAGTTGAACAGGTTCCTCTCAAGGCTCTCTCTGACTCTAACCAAACTCCCTAGCATTTTCCTCTCTTCCCGCTGTATCTGTTTGCCCATCAGGCAATCTCCCTCTAAACAGTAGAACCATTAAGTCTCAAGCATAGCAGAATATGTGCAACCAATACATTTTTCTTCATGCCTTTTCCAGACAGTACATCTTTGACAAAACAAAAAAATCATTACCTATCAACATCAGATGTCCCTGCCTCTCCTTATCCAAGATGAGAATAGGATTTGGGGGCACAGTTTTGTGGGCTTAGATCATTTCAGAATGAGTTTGTCAGCCTACATGCTGCTCTCAAATCTTACAGCTAATAGTCAAGCTTTATAGGCTTGGTAAGTAGTCAGTATGTAATTAATTGAAGGTCTATTCCCTGTTACAGAATAATCAAATAKTTTTGCAGACTGAAAAATGTTATTAAGCAATTATTTAAGGAGRTAAAAATTGACAGCAGCAGTTAGACTGTGATTTATATGCACAGAGAATGCTATTTGCATCAATGCACAAGTCAAACTTTAAATATTTGCTATGTTTCCTARAAGTCCACTATTCTGTCTAGCAGTGCTCAGTAATAGGCAATAGATTTTGAATAAAAGCTGTGATTTTAGTCAAGAAGGATTGAACAGAAGGATTCAGGAGGTCTCAGGACCTCAGAATCACAAAAGCAATGTAATACACGCCTGTTGAAATGTTCATATTGAAATGTAAAATTATATTGCCACCTCCTCAACATGTAAAACAACATATCTTGTGTTACCTCCCATCCTTCAACATGTGACTGCCATTCTTCCAAAAACTCTAGTTTTTCCATTTGTCTCTTGGCCTCATTTATGTTGGAGCAGACAGCTTTCATGGCTTGGAGGGCTTCCATTAATGCTGCATAGTCACTATGTTTCCTTGGAGTCCGCTTCAGTAACTCCTGTTTAGACATAAAAATATACATATATATATACGTCTGTCTTTGATCTCTAAATATGCATTGCAGGAGACTTAAGTTGACTGAGATAAAATACCTGAGAGTAAACAAACTTCTCTTTTATTAGGTGGAAAAGTAGTACAGCACTGCATGCTAGTAAGACACTAAAACTTGAATAAATAAGTAGTAATAAAAATAAAAAAGAAGTTGGGATTGCAACTACTTTCCTCCCCCATAAAAAAGKTATTTCTTGATGTTGAGCTCTGATCCATGGGATGGAACTGTTCAACAAAGCCCACTCCACTTACAAATACTTATTTACTCATGTCAAAATTAACACCTGCCTTTCCTGTAACTTAGGACCAAAAACATATTTCTGTAACTCCATGCTACTTTTCAACCTAGCATAATACACCAGCACAGCAAACAATAGTTTAGGTGACTCATTGCTTTAGCATCACTGGTAATGGCAGCCACTCTTAAAGAAAAGGTGGGGAGGGAGTTGCCAGGATCCACCGGGATACATATAAAGCCCTCCTCAATTTCCCAACTCAAACTGCCAGTTACTCATTTACACATTTGCAGCTGGATTGATTCAGGACAAGCTTCAGTGTGTATCCTAACTGCAACTTAGATACATCCTCTCTGGAGCCATAGCTAAATGCTTTAACTCTGCTGCCACCACACCTTGTATTTAAATTTGTTTTAGCTACCACTAATTCCAATGCATCCCTACTGTAATTCATTAGTCAGCTTCCTCTGTTTTGTTTGTAGACACCTCATTCAAGAAATAGAATATAAAAATAATTTTTAAGTAGGCCAAGGGAAATGTAAAAGGGTGCTGTGGGATGACTCAAACCTCACTGCAATTACTATATTCCTTTTTTAAAAAAAATCTTTAACATATTTATTTTAATTTTGTATTTCAGTGCAGTGAAATGCAGATGTCTCATAGCTGGCAATGTTTCACATCTAAATTCACATATGTATTATAAAAAATAACTGTCCAATAGTCAGGTTTCAAGTAACTTTTAAAGCAGAATCTCTTCTTTTCCTCAACTCTTCAATCAATAACAATGTTTGTTTTAAATATATATTTTTCTAAGTTTCTTTAATTTCCTAACATAAGAAAATTTTAATTACTCAGAGGCTTGAATATCTAATGTTTACAACCTATTTAACATTATTAAATTTTAAGCCACAAGACAAGAAAAGCATAAACACAYAAAAGAAAACATGCAGAGAACCACCTACTGCATCTGAGTGTTACTCCCAAATGTTAAGATGTGTCATTTTTGTAAATTTTTTCCACTTATAGTTTGCTAATGTTAACTCAGACTCAGCAAAGACTCATGTTGGTAACAACCCTGATACCTAAAGCACTTAAGCAGGCACCTGTCCAAATCCAACTTAAATCAGTTTCCTTACAATCACTTAAATGGCTGGCTGCCTTTCCAACAGTGAAGAGGAAACATTACTATTAGATTTAGAAAGGAGTGATAATTTTCACCCAGCCAAACTCTTTAGTTTTTTTAATACTGATGACAGGAGACTTGTCATGGGCTTTAATGAGAGCAAGCCCAAGTTCAATATCTTATAAAGAGATTATTCACTGTGTAAAGAGATTGTTTTTGCTGTTCTGAAATATGCTTATCAACCAGTTTTATTTAGCAAGTATAAAGTCTTAGATAACAAAGTCATAGTACCTTCAAAAGAAGGGGATATTTGCATATTCTCTGTATTGGCGTTACGAGATACCCCTCCAATGGCACATCAGTGTTCTTCCGTCCTCCAAGCAGCATGCAGTTCTGCAGTGCAAACAATTTCAAAAATTATTAACAAATTCTAAGAAAAATACACTTTCTGACACCATGAGTTCTCTATAGGTTAGGAGAGGTATGCATTACTTTTCGTTAATCTCTAGAAGACAGAAAGTTATATGTAAGCAATAGCTATTAAAAATTATCAGAAATAAAGGCAAGGGCATATCCACACAGAAGTATTGGCTATACAAAAATTGCATATGCATCTCTTAGATATATCATAAATTTGCAAAACTGTCACAAGAACAGGCTTACACACACACACACACAGGGACACACACACACACACACACACACACAACACGGAAGATGCAACGTAGATAAAAAATGAAGGCATTTTCTTCCCCAAAACTACCCTATTCATCCAGGCCTATTAAAAGACTACAAAAGACAATAAAGAAAATATTGAAAATATACTTTCGCATTTCAGTAAACAAAAATAAAAAGAACTCAGGGTGATCATCATAGATGCTGCTGCTGCTGCACTTGAGACAGKAGGTAGCACCAATGACGGTTTGAGAGGTTTGAACATAGCCATCCTAACACACAAAAAGTCTTTGGTCCAAATACATCCATATTAAAAAGGAATATGCATTGAATAAAATATCTTTGTCATGAGCTAAAGGGTATATGAGTTTTGACAATACATCCACTCATGGAAGCTGGGAATATATGCAATATCTGTTGAAAACATCCACAAAACAAAAACAAACAAACATGCGCACACACACACACGCAAAAAAAAAAAAAAAACAGCTAAGAGAGAGAAATGAATTTGAGCTACCTGAGATAACCAAGCATCACAGAGGCATCACAGCAAATATTTGGAAATCATGGAATTAAAGTGTAAGTACACACAGACCTACAGTAAAGACTGAAATTATTTTATAGAGTGATCAAAAAGAAATGTGAGACCATGGCACGAGATGGCCTAAAGCTTCAAAGAACAAGATGTCTACACTAAGAACAGTAAACCAAAGCAGATTAACAGAGCCGGAGCGTGTGTTGGCACAGGCCACAAATCAGGACACAGACACATGACGAATGGAAGAGGGACAGGACAACTAGGTGGCTGTACCCCTTACCACATAACTCACAACCCAGAGACACCCAATAACCAGAGCTACTATGGGGACCTCTGTGCCAACCCATAAACCTGTGCTTTGCCTTCCTGATTAATCAGCTCTGGCCTCACACCACTTCAGGTCCTTTATCCTAAAGGATCTCACTTTAACAGCCAAACACAAAAAGATTTATTGAAAGGGCATGGCCAATAAGATAAYGGCAATGTAAACTATAGGTTTACGGCCTGGCTTCAACTTGTTATTATTTATAGATAATCACAACTTTCAAACGAACTAAATTGTTCTGTATCTCTACGAAGCTTCAATTTTACTTTCAAGTTGAACAGTTTGATCTGTTCTCTAGGTTAGACTACTGCAGCTTATCTGTCAGATGTGTCCTGGATCTGCAAGGAACCCAAGGCAGATGTGGAACCCTCCTGCCCAGAAGGACACCACATTGATACATCATGAGCTGCTGTAAYTGCACATACCTCTCAAAAAATAAGCTCTTTTCAGCCTTTCTCAGGAATATTTTGCRCTATTTTTTGTCTCTGTAGACAGCATTCCTCCCTTCATAGTAAATCTGGCCATGCTGTTGGTGCTTTGCTGATACAGTGTTTTGCTTAAGTCCACTCTCAGTTCAAAAATACTTCAATCATGTTTGAGCATTCTCATGTTTAATATTTGAGAGCGCCTTCTCAGACATTTAAGTTCCAGTACAATATGCCATACATTTGAAAACTGATTTTGTTATGACACGATGCAACAAAGGAGAACACAAAAAGCAGTCAGTCTCTATTGATTTTTATCTTTTAACTAAAATTCACTCTTGAGAAACTCCATACTTAGAAAATGTTCTTGTTGTGTAAAAATCATGAGGACTGTCATACTTTGTAGTAACCTTGTAAAATGAAAGACCGGCTATGGATTGCTTCCTTGGTCTCAGATTAAGCCAGTGTCTCAGACCAGGATGCCTCTAGCAAAACATTTTTTCCATTTGGCACAACCAGAACTACAATATCAGTATATGGACAGTCTTCTCAGAAGTTCCRACCAGAAAAAAAAAAGGACAGTCTTTCCTATTCCTAACCTTTCCCTGCTCTTCCTCATTCATCTCATCCTATTCTTTTTTCTTTTCCAGCCACTACTTGCTTTACACCCTTGTCTCTTGGCCAGCAAAATCAAGACACATGGTCATGCTATTTTATGCACAGATCCAGACTTAGTAGTGAAAATGCAAYGTACTCAGCCCCTTCCACTGGCAATATCATCCCCAAGGGAAACTGCCCTCCAAGTACTTGCAGGCAACCTCGTAGTTCTTACATAGTAGAGTAAAAAACATTAACAGTTCACTGCGCAGTCAAATAATACTGTTAGAATACCAATTCAAAACATATTTACCAAAAGAAAAGTCCGCACTGTTCTTATTTTGTTAAGGTCAAGCAGAACTTTCTGTGCCTTCTCATGGTTACTGCAGTATTCATCATAGATACGGAATTTCTCTTTCTGCAAAGACAAAGAAATACCKTTTTCTTGTCATCTTGATTTTTTTTAATAAACACCACATGGAATGCACACTTTTGAAGGCTGAATAACTAACAGAGTCTTCATTTTGAAAGGTCAGCTCCTCTCCCTACATTTATTATTTTAGCTTTTTGCTTGTTTGTTTAGTTTTTATTTATTTCTGCTTTTAATTTGAATTGTAAAGTTGCTGGAAATATCTCTTCAGCACTTGTTGAAAAAAATTCAGAGGCTGGACTATTACAAAAACATAGGATGAAAAAATACAAAGAAAACACATAACTAATTCCATATTTACAGACATTATTATCTGTTATGCATGCACACACGCATGTTTCCAAATGTGATCCATATTTCTGCAGTCAAAAACCTGTCACTCCAATTCTGTAAATCTTTTCCATTAACAATTTTCTCTTCCACAATGCATAAATACAGACTTAGCAAACAAATGATACACTAAGCACAGAGAAAAATGAAACCTAGACTTGTTATTAGGCCCCTGATGGAAAACAAACTAACCGCTCCTCATTTTGCAGAGGTCTGGAAACAGGAAAACTAATGCTGCTAGAGAATAACTGCTACAGGATATACACACATACTAGAGGGAGAAGAAGTAAAATATCTTCACAGTCAAGAGCTGCAGTTTCACCCAACCAACACAATTCATCGCTAAATGAATTACACATTTTTTTGTGTGTGGAGAATCAAGTCTATTATTATTTCCCGTCTAAAAYTCATCCTTTCCTAGTTCTACCAGCTCACATACTGAGCTCACATGCCAGCTCACATCACTTCCCATAGCCTTTGCTGACATCCACTTCTAGAGTAAGTTATCCAGTAGGGATGYTCACTGAAACAGGTTGTGCTGAAAGACACAGCCCTTGGCTTCTGCAGGTGCCACAGCCCTGTCCATCCCAAGGCCACCCTGCTACAGGCCTCAGCACTCCTCTACCTAACCTTTTTTTTTTTTTTTTTTTGGCAGTAACAGTAAACAAGAAATGACAAAGTTACTCTAAATTATGCAAGCAAGTCATAATTGCAATCAAGTCCTTGTGACTCTGTACACTCACCACTAGGTCAGTGATTAATAAAAACAACCAGAAAGGAGAAAACAAGTGAAAAATAAGGCCRTAATAAAAGAGAGCATACATAATGAAGAAAGCAGGTTCCCACTTCATGCTGTGCATTAGGTTCCGGTTGCAAGCATTCCTCCACTAGAGACAGGAAATTTTTGTGAACTGCAAGGATATCTTCGATATTTGAAAACAACATCTGAAAAAGAATAAAGCAGACATAAATAAAACAATAGATGCAAAAGAAAAGACATCTGCAATTAGAAAACTCACCTTAACTGTCTCCTCCGTGACATTTTTATCTACTTTGGCTGTTGCACATTGGATCATTCGGTGAAGGAAAGCCTGCATAAGACATCAAAAACAAGGAAATCATTATTTTGGGAATATAAGAACTTTGGGCATTTTGTGCTTGTAATTTGCTTCCCAGCATTCTTACATGTTGTTTATGGAAGCACCGAAAGTTCCACAGGAACTTAAGGAAACACTTTTTGACAGTGAGGGTGACAGAGCCCTGGAACAGGCTGCCCAGAGAGGTTGTGGAGTCTCCTTCTCTGGAGATCTTTAAAACCCACTTGGACGCAGCCCTGTGCCACGTGCTCCAGGTGACCCTGCGTGAGCAGGGGGTTGGACTCGATGACCTCTGAGGTCCCTTCCAACCTTAAACATTCTATGACTCCATGATTCTATGAAGCATGATAGAAAAAGACTCTAAATCTCAAACAAATATTTTATTTATAACATCTAGTAACTCTGTCATCATAACATGATATCAAATCCTACATAAACAGAGTGAAAAGAGCTAACAGTGCAACTTAATGAAACTGAAAAACTGAAAGTTCTCTGTGGACAATTTCAGCCTTGATTTTACCATGAGGCAGGAGGAAACTAAGTCTCTTTCAAAATCTCTCCCTAGTACTTTTAAAATTTACTACAAGAAATGCAGAAATGAGCCCCTAATTTCTAAATCAAACCTACTCAAGAGACTATTAAGAAGGTTAATATTTAATAACTACAAGCAAGATTTCTGATGTATTAATAATCAAACCTATTGGAAAGTAATTGGCTTTGATTATGAAAACAGTTTTGATTATGAAAACAGTTTCCATCCCCAACAATCTCATCTTTGGGGATCATATCAGAAATTAGTAATACCATTAATGAATACCAAACCAATATTTTCTTATATTTCACTTTCAAAAATTGGAAAATGGAAAACATGAAGATATATATAGTAAAAGTTATTTTCAAATAAAAGAAACCATATTTCAATTAACATGGCTACCATAAATTTTCACAAATTAACTCCTTTGTAAATAAGTATATTCTTTAAATATCTATGTGCTGAAGACTAAAGTCTTACATCACTAATTCTTCACATGGGCATGCATAATATTCAGCCATGAAAAACTGGCACCACAGTTGCACAAGTGTCGTTTCTTTCATAACCATCTAGCTTCAAGTCACTGTGTATTGTATACAGTATACAAACTCATCTAAATTCTGGTGTGGTACGAATTCCATAAAAGAGGCAATAAATAACCCCTGTTTGGAAGGACAGCACTCACAGTATCCCTTTTTTCTCTCTACTGGGACTTAAACTTTTTCATTCCCAAGCAGTGTTCCTCTAACTGCTGAAAAGGGCTATGTAACTAGGAACATTTGTGTGTGTGTGTGTGATTGAAGAGACAAATCTAGTTATATAAGACATAAACTGAATTAGGTTTGGAAAATTACCATCATACTTAAAGGTTTCACATAATTTTCTACAGTCTTTAAAAACCCTTTTTCCTGACTGTGCATGCTTTCTTCTCAATGTTTTATTGATGTTAAACAAACCCATTCCTTCTTTATAACAGTTAGTTGAAGGTGGACTTTAGCCCTTTATTCCCTTACGCACTATGAAGATTTGCACTGGGCAAATGCATATTTGTGTGTGGATCAGCTCCACACAGACCAGTCCATCCCATTTACAGGTAAAAGCTAATTAGCTTTATGTCTCCCTATTTTTTGAGTCTTTTCACTAAACCACCTGACAGTATTAAATATACTTTTAAACTGAAAGTTGGAGAGAAAAAAACACAAGATAATTACCTCTAAAACTATATTTATTTCTACTATATATAATCTCCCTCTGTTCATTTTATTTCCCCATAGAACAAACACAKAACAAACACACTGCTCATCAGCATTTAGTTTTCCCAGAATTTCACCCTGTAATGCTGAAGGAAGGTGAGACAGAGAAGTGAGAGACAGAAAACAGAGAAAATGATCTGAGAGCTGGGGCAATAGTTATTCTTGACTGATTACCAGCCAAGAGTTATATGGTCACAACTATGTATCAACTGCAATAAGCAGGTTCTCGTTSATCCAAGCAACCCTGCTCCAGAGGTCTCATCTGCAGAGGTTATCAAAACAAAACCCAGTAAAATCCAGCCTTCCATATAACCTAGACCCTAGTTAAGGCAGAGAGGCTTAAGATGATTTTAGCGCCTTCCAGCAACCTAACACCAGCTCATGCATCATGTGCTGTGGTCATACAACAGGGTTAACCATGAAGTTGTTGGGGGTATTGAAGGGGTGGACACCATGGCTATCACCAATAGCTCTGCCATCATCTGGTACCAGCAGCAAGGTGKTAGCATCACCATCACCCCTGCTCATGAAACACCAGAAGAGGCTTTGTTTAGAACAGCATTTTCCGCAGTGCTCTGATGAAGAACTCAGCAAGTATTTCATGCCATGTTGAACTGTAATTCTAGATCAGAAACAAACTTGGCTCCTGAACAAGAGGCAGTTGAGTCAATAATTGCTTTTGTCACAGTGTTGGATAACCTTAATCCAGCACTGTGACAATGGAAAATAAATGTCTCATCACGTGTGATTTTCACTAAATCACCTGACACATCTGATGAATAAACACATATGGTATTATTAGGTTTGAGGGATGGATAACTATTCAAAAGACTGTAGAATATCAAMAGAAGACAGCCAAGAACTGTTCTGAAGAAACAATGAGCAAAGATGATGTAGGCCTTTTGTGGAAACAGCTTAAAAGAGGAATGTCACTGGAAACACGAAAAGCAACAAAGATACCGAGAAATTATTAAGGAGTTGACAGCTGCAGAGCTAACAGGAAAAAAAAACGTTTATAAAAGCTTTTCAAGGTACACTGCATTGAGCATTAATAATTCAGAGCAGGGAAGGGATGCTGTAAAAAAATAAATGAAAACTACAGATCCAGAGAATTTATAAATTACTATAGAACTGGACACAAAGAAGTCAGAAACTTCTGTGAAATTGCACTAACTGGTTTCTACAGGTTTTACCACAAATCAAAGTCTGCTGCTCATAGATCAGGCTCATTAGGGAGCACCAGATTGCATGAAGGAGCAAAGCATTGCAAATTGCAATGACACAGCTAACCAGCTCCTGGACTGAGCAAACAACTGTAACAACCASTTTGTATGCATGATTCCCAGGCTTATTAAAAAAAAAATTAACTCAGAYTTACTGACTTTTCACATATCATGCACACATGTCAGTAAATCATGAGTGATCTTTGTCACCTGGAGACTACTGCAAGCCTTGCTGAGGTCTGGTCTCAAGATTCATCAGCATTAGTACAGTTGGCATCAAGTGCCTGGAGAGTACTGCCTATCTTTGGGTATTCCAGGATTTCCAAAGAACTCATCTAAACAGTGAGCCCTAACTTCCCTAAAAATTTCCATAATCCCAGAGTTTTTCTTAAATTACCTTCAATCTCTAGTTTTCTCAAGGAACAGTAGAGCAGAGTATTTTAAACATAAAAATGTTCTTTTCGGTTTTCATCTAGTATGAAAAGCATTCTGGGCAAATTACTAAAATGTGTGGATTCATCCTTGCAGCACTGCAAATGGGATTACCCCAACTGCTCGCTCTACCATCTCCCTGATTTCCTGAAGAGCTGAAAGAGGTTTCCCCATGAAACATCACAGAGGAAGTATTTTTCTGAGTATTAGGAGAATTCTGAATTATAAAAGATGAGACCAAGAGCAAAGAGAAAGAGGTGCAAGTTCATTATTGAAAAAACTAATTTAAAGAATCAAAAATAATTACCCCAACTCTAGTCTGTTCATCATACTGACTACACACTGCTGTGTTTGGCTGCCCGTTGAGCTGCTGMCATTTGTGAGACTGTTGGTTACTAAGTGAATATGCACTGAGTTCCTGTTATGCGGATTTAACTTCTGGTCTTATCAAAATCAAATTACAGCTTTTTTGGCATGCTCTGTACGTTGCTGAAAAAATAAAAGCACCACTACAGTTGCTGTAGGAAGCTGCCAGCAGCACAAATGACTTTTCTGACATCTGGAATGAAATCAAACCAGACAAAGTCGAAGAAGTCTCTCAGGTCATGAAGTGTTTTCATCCTTTTCAAGAATAAGAAACAATGCTCTAGAACTATGTCCTAGTACCTGTATCATAAAATACATAACTATTTTGCTAAAAGCAGTTTTCCTTCATGGACCAACAAAAAATATTCRTTTCCTCACAAAAGAAGAATTAAAGTCACATAATTTTTCCCTTGATCTCTTTTAAGATTGTAACAACTCTAAGATTTATGTTTGTCATAAAAAAAGGCTGCAAAAAGATTTGTATTCATAAGAGTGTCATTTCCTGTGTATTTTCAATTTGTGAAAATCCAGTTCAGCTGAAGTACCTCATCTACCACACAGAAGCTTGTTGAATAAAGCTAAAATGATATTTTGAACGTTAAAATAATGAACAAAATCTATTTCTCCACACTTTGAAAGATAAACATGGTAAATGTTCATTAATTACAATTTATATAAATATGTCTCTGGCAACAGGCTTCAGATCACAATAAATACATAGATAAAATATTTATGTTTTTGTATTTTCTATTTATACTCTTGATGACTCTATTGAGGTCGTGTGGAAGAAAATAGCTGTATTTTCCACAATATTTACAATGATACTAGCAACAGCATGGGGAAATACTTAGGAAAAGCTCAAGATAATAGCAGACTGGCCAAGCACATTTTCTTAYTACGGCCATTTCACAAACATCGAGTCAGGATGTTGCCCATCTTGCCCATGAAATTCTGCACAGCAGAACTGATGCATTTTTGCTTGCAGGTCCCAGGAGACCATCACACTGGTTTGGTTGAAGCACTTGATTTTGTCACAAAAAAAAAAACCAATTCCAATAGAGACGACTCCAGCAGCAACAGCAGCGGCAGGGAAGCCCTATGTGCAATTCCCCTCCTCTTCCCATTAACCTGTGCCAGGAGCCRCGGCAAGAGCTAATCAGGCTGGTTCCCGAGACTGAACAAAAAGAC